TTTTATCTCGATCTCCTTCGCACTTCCTTTAGCTGAGTAACGGGTATCTGATAGTCGGGGCACCCGACTATAGCGTTCTCTCTTGTTAACTTTTGATTTTGTGTAATTCTGTAAATAATATTGACTCAGACTCACTGCAGAAATTAATAAACCTCAAGGACGCAGAATTAGCGGGAATTTTACACATTTGACGTCGACGTCAGCAGAGCTCTGCTACCGTCCGCGTTGTACATACATATGTTAGCAGAACAACTATTATTAAAAAAAATTTAAAAACAAGAGCAACAAAATTTTTTCTTTCGCGAATCATTTACGGATAAATAACGGCAAATTCCCATTAAAAAAGATTTGGGAAATTTTGCACTTTAGTGGGGTGTTCTGCTAAGTTGATATCAACTTAGCAGAACAACTATGTGTTTTAAAAAAAATGTTAAAACAAGAGCAACAAAATTTTTTTTCACGAATCATTTACGGATAAATAACGGCAAATTCCCATTAAAAAGATTTGGGAAATTTTGCACTTTAGTGGGGTGTTCTGCTAAGTTGATATCAACTTAGCAGAGCAACTATGTTTTTTAAAAAAAAAAAATGTTAAAACAAGAGCAACAAAATTTTTCTTTCGCGAATTATTTACGGATAAATAACGGCAAATTCCCATTAAAAAGATTTGGGAAATTTTGCACTTTAGTGGGGTGTTCTGCTAAGTTGATATCAACTTAGCAGAACATCTCATAATTTTAAAAATAATTGAGCGGCAAATTTTTTTCTTTCACGAATAATTTACGGATAAATAACGGCAAATTGTCGATAGAAAAAAATTTGCATTTTCAAAAGTTGCATTGCTAACTTTATGCACATTAATCAGCAGCAACGAAATATTGTAAACACTCATTTGTTTTGGCCACAACTTGGGAAATCGATGAGTATCGATCGGAAGTTATCAGGCAACTGAAACTGTCCGAAAAAAAACAGAAACTGAGAGCTGAGAACCGAGAAAAACTGGAACACAAAACACATTTCGCAACGCAAACGCCCACAAATCTGTAAACACAATTTCGAGTGTTCTTTTACGCCTCCCGCTGGAAATAAACTTTCGGCATTTAGCGGCGTTTAATCGATTTGTGCATAAAATTATAAGTTTACACATGGCAAGGCAGCCGAAACGAAAATAAAATCGAGATACACATCATCGTGACCCATAGGCGGGTGGAATTGTTTTCCCAGCATATATTTCAGAGATTTACCACACATGAAAAATCGAACCGATTACTCATTATAATCTAAATATATGAATGTGTAGCACATAAATAATATATTTTTGGGTACAATGTTTATTAGCTTGTAGCAGCACTACTAAAATGTAACATGTTTATTAATGTAACATTATTATTATAGCATTTAGGGAAAATAACCAAAGATAACCCATGTTATTATCATTTAATTTATTAACATTCAATGATATCCAATCGCTAAATTAGTGTAATTTAATAGTAAATAATAGTTTTTCAAGAACAACACAAACATTATTAAGATTATTTTTCTTTTCCCAAAAAAGTTTGCACATTTAAAAGTTTTTTAACATTTTTTCATTCTACGTTAAGATGAATTGATGCCATTATTCTTGATTTTCGCAAAACCCATTAGAGTATAAAAATATATGACAGGCCAATGTTAAGGTGGGTAAATTTGCATTCACTAATTTTAACAAAATACCTCAGAGCCCGTACATATTCTATTATTAACATTTAGACCATCGCCCGCTCTCTTTCGACTTTTCTAGCCGTTTTGGCCATGGCAAATGGTTATTAATGATTAACCAGAGTGCCGTTAGCCGGCACATGTTACTCTGTAGCCTGTACTTTGTCATGTTTGTTATGTTTCAGGTTCTTGTTTGCCGGTTCCATCAGCACGTTTTGTTTTGCTTCCTCATGACAGCTTTGTGGCCATCAGCAAATGTGAATTTTCACTGTCTTTCTCCAGCCTTTCCAGTCTCGTTAGCGTGAAAACTTTTTGCACGGCTTTTGTTTTTCTTTCATAAGAAAATGGCAGCTCTTTTTTGTTTTTTAGGACGGACCAGGGAATTCCACAAGCATCTTGGCTTTGCTAATTTGCCAGTCCCGCCATAACTAATGCTTTAAGAAATATAATGGGAATTAACAAGAGAAGGAAATCCGTTTTAGTGTCGCTTCTAGTGAACTCCTGACATTTTCGCCCAAAGCAGCAATAAAGTTTTAGACTTTTTTAATGAGCTCTACATACGCGGAATTAATCCACACGCAAGCCACCCCAAGTGAAAACCCCTGGAGGCGACACTTGGGCTAGATTAGACACGATTTTCATTAGGACAAACCCGAAAAAAATCGAAAGTGGTTACGAAAGATTCAGAAAACCAGGCGTGGGGAGTGGGCGGCCAAACAGACTGGAGTTTCGGATTCACGGCTTTGCCCAGATTCATTCACACAACAAGAAACGCCCATGCAGTTCACCAAAATCAAACGAAAACGAAAATCTTTTTGTGAGTGGGCAGCAGCAGTAATAAATAATACAAAAAAAGGAGAAAAAACTCGAGTTGCAGCAACAACATGCTAAACAAATGCAGCCATTCAAGCTAAGTGGCTTTAAAGTTTTACAAGTTTTCAGCCGTTTTTACTTGTTTATCAATTGAAAACAGTTGGCGCATTTAGTGGATATCGGTCAGGAGGAATCCCAAACAGCAAAAGGCAAGTATGAATGATTCACTGCTCTTTGGAAGAATATAATAAAAATACTATTTAAAATGTGGAGATTCAAATGGGAAACAATCTGACTCTGAATGGGGTTCAAAGCTCAAACTGCGAAACTCTTAGATAATTATATTCAAAGCACAAAAACACGAATATTAGAGTTCTCCTCTTAAACTTAAAGGTTTTGTATATAATAAAAAGATCGAAATACATTGTTTGTCTTATGAAGAAAATAACTAAGACTTTGAACATGTATAATTACAATTTTTATGACTGTCCAGAAAAACGGAAAACCAAAATGAGAAGATGAGGCAGGGCAAAAGCAAATTTGCACACCAAACATTTAACGTGTTTTCTTTGTTTTTTGCCATATTCTCTCGGGTTTGAGAAAGAACAGGGCCTACCGTGTTTGTTGTTTCTATGCAACGAGGGGTGGGTCAGGTGGAGCGGCCTTTCTCCATAAAGATAAAATTATTTATATTCACTGGTATTTGTTTTTCTGCTTTTGTGCACTTTTGTTTGCATTTTATTAAGACGCAAGTTGCTGGTTTCTGTTTATTTAGCGTGGTAGGAGCACAGTAAAAAATAATTCCTTTTAGTTGAAAATTTAGCAATCTATAAAATGTAAACTACCTTTTTTTACAATCAATTTACAACCAATTTATGGATCACTAAAAAAATATATACACAATATATATGAAATTTCCTTTAAAAAGTTTTTGAGCCTTAATTTTAACTATAAAATTATTTTAATTGTGTTTATTTATGGCTTACTTTCCACAATATTAATTTATAAAATCAGGATCGGAAAATCATATTTTTCTCTGTGCAGCGGCCAGTTTCTTTCCAATGGCCGACAGCTGTTTGCGGTTAATTTTATCTTTCTTTCTGTACCCCTTCTGCTGTTGTTTTCGTGTTCTCTGGTTTTTGGCAATTGCACAGGTGCGGCAGTTGGATGGTCTTCGGATTGGGTTACTCTATGCGAATCAGATAACCCAAGGCAGCCAATTTTGGCCAAGGTATCCCGGGCGGACTTTCGAATTTGAGCATTATTACTTGTCTAGGCGATATAGTCGCCTTGTATAGAGAATGCACCGCCAGACATTCCCGAGCATATCGAACCCGAGAACCCGAAACACCGCCTTTTTTTCGAAAGTTCTGCAACATTTGTTTAGACAAATGTGCGAAGAAATAATCTCGCATCGTAAACAAAATCCAGGCATAATATTTCAATAATTACGCTTATCTGCTCCATTTCGAGGCGCGCACAAAAGTCGTTTGAAAGGTATGCAAAGAGAACGAAAACGTGCGATAAGGGAGACGGGAATGGGAATGGGAAAACTCAACTTTTAAACATTTTGTCCGCACCATGGGTGTCATCGACGTGCTGCTCTGGTTCCTGTTGCGATTATAAACCGAAAAGGAAACACAGAGCCACCCCACAAAAAGACGACCCAGGCGGAATTAACAACAAAAAATTACCTCTTTTCAGATAAACTGAATTCTGTTCAGGTAACAATCCCAAAGAGAAGTCCCTGCACTTGCGCAATTACCGCGCAACTTCAAAAGGGGAGTTGTGCACAGAGAGAAAAGGATCAAAAAACAAAAGCTTTTGTTTCTCATATGTTTTCATGCATATTCACAAATGTGTCTTATTAGCAGTCAATTTTTTTTAGCTACCCAGCGTTGCAATAAAAAAATGTTTTTTAACTAATAATAGTTTACCCTTAAAAATTAAATAATAATTTTGTATTTCTTACGTCACTTTTAAACACAGTAATTATACATTTTTTGAACTTTTTAAATTTATTCTTCCCACGATGAAATAAAAAATGTTCCATTTCTTGGGTTGAAAAAAGTTGTTGAACCTACACATCTAATCAGATAAGGCCTGCAATTATATTTTAAATGTTTTCATTTGTACTCAAATTATTATTTTGGTTTTGGTTTTTGTATTTTGTTCCCATTTTTTTCACCGTGTATAACAAATCCTGTTTGGATTGGCCGTGAAAGGAGTTTTTGGTTCTCACGACCGTCTGGAATGGCCACTGGAAGCCCTTGGATCTGATTCCCATTGGAATGGAAACGGTCCAAACTTGTTGTTGTCGAACTGCAGCTTCTTTTCTTCCCCTTTCCCTTTCGCCTACCTCCCCCTGTTAACCTTCACCCCGCGCCCTCTCGCAACCCTAATAATTGCCATTATTAGCTCACTCCCCACTCGATTCCTGTCTTCTTGCGGTTGTTGTTGTTTCACGAGCACCCTTGAAGGATACTTACGGTGCACTTTCGACAGGAAAATATCGCAGGGCGACTTAAATGCAATCGTTTGTTTGATTTTTTCGGCCGACGATGCTGCAGAAAATTAAGCGTTGTTCTTATTGTTGTTCTTCTGGTTTCCTCCCCTGCTTCCCATCGTTTCCTTGCTGCTGCTGTTGTTGTTGCTGCTCTAGCATTGCATTTCCAGGCGGCAAAAGCGCACACAAAGGAGAGGAGAAGAGCGGGTGTGTGGTGTGTGTGTGGGGTGTATTCTCCCGTTATCCCCCTCGTTTTTCTCTCTCCCTCTCTTTCTAGCACTCCTGCTTTCGTGCTTTGCTTTTGCTTTTGGTTTGCCTTGCTTTTGCTTTGTTCAAATTCAAACAAACTACCCTGAAGAACCGTTGATCCTGACTTGACAGCCTGGTCGTTGTTGTTGTTGTTTTGTTTTCTGTTATGTTATACACTCACAGACACGCACACACTCGCATTCAGCAGACAGACGCTTAATTTTCCCCGTTTTCCTCGGGAAATCGCATAGAATTATTCGCGGATTTTCGCACCGAATTCGACACTTTTCCCCGCTCGCATTTTCGCCAATTCCAATTGTGTCGCGCACTCTTTTCCGGGCCGGACAACCGTTAGAAGTTTGGCGCTGCAACCGCTATTTTCGCCCCGCCTACGACTGATTTTCCGAGCGCATTTTCCTTCGTTTTGCGAGAGGGCTTTCTGATGGACAAACAAAAAACCGAAAAACAACCGCGACCGATTCGTTCGAGTGTCTGAGTCAGTGTGGCCCTTTCCGGGTGGCTGTAAAATGGCATCGGCTGCCATTGGGCTTAACAGTGAGGATGTTTGCCAGCTGGTCACACTGTTGGAAGGCGCCAGAAATGTTAACCGATTTAATGAAACGGGAATGTTAGCTGCATGTTAAAGATGAAAAGTTAATAAATAAATAAAAATATGTTGCAAAATACCTTTAATAAATCTATATTTACCATTTCTGGACTGAAGTTAATAGGTCAAAGGCAAATGCTTAAAAAAGTTACGTGAATCGGGTATAATTTTGAAATTTTTAAACACATTTTTGACATATAAAATTTTTAATTTCCCATTGAAAATTGCCAAAAATGCCAATAGAATATTATTTGCTGGTTTATCTGCAGTAATCGAAAATTACAGAATTACAACCTAGATTTGTTTTAGGTTCTTTTAACCGCTAAAAAAACAGAACTGTTAAAAAGTTTTAAATTATAATTTGGGAAAAAATAAAAAAGTGTCTTATATGATTTCAGAACAATAACTATTAAATCAATTTATTTGAGGGAATGTAACTAATGCATCTAAGCGAATTTGCAGGCGTTTCAATTATTTAAAATATGTAAAGCGGAAGATATAATCCAAAAATTCCAAATTAACTTGCGCTTTAAACCATAGTTCAATATAACAATTAAGGTATTTATTTGTTCATGTTGTTGAGCTTGGTGCAGTAGATTATAAAAGTCATCGTCAGCATTATCACACAAGTCCACAGCTTAGGGAAATCAACGAATTAAGTGCAAATACAAATATAAAAACAACTTAAACGCTTTGTACAGGTAAAGCAATACCGAAGCAAACACTACAAAGTAGGCATCTCTAAAGCTAGTCCATTCGTTCCACACTGAGCTTAATGTCCGATTTGGGCATCAGGAGGAGTCTCCTGTTGTCGTACTCCATGGGAATCGTGGTCTCCGCACAGGGGGCATATCTGTGCTCCCTCAGCAGCGCCACCAATCCCACCAGCAGCTGCTGCTCCGCGAACCGAGCGGCAATGCATCCTCGCAGGCCATCGCCGAAGGGCAGGAAGGAAGCCGGTGGACGGGATCGCATGGCCTCCTCCTCGAATCGATTCGGATCGAAGCGCTCGGGATCGGGATATATCTCCGGATCTCTGTGTATAGCCGCCGTGGGTATCAGCACACTGTTGCCCCTGGCGATGACGAACACCGATCCGGGCAGCTCGAATTCTTTGGTAGCCCGGCGCAGCAGGAAGGGATGTGGCGTGTGCAGGCGAAGCGTTTCTGTAAAGGAAGTGGAATCGATTAGGATCATCTACATATTTAACTCTTTCATCTTTAAAAATATATTACAAATGTAGAATAATAACGAGAAAGTTTAATAACCTCGCAAATAAAAGAAAAATATTTTGATTTATATTTTAAGGCTATAAAAATGAGAAAGATTAATGCCCGGGTTTTATTAGCAAGGTTATTAAATTTTATGGTTTGTTTACTATATTTTGTTCTATTCATTAAGTGTTATTAAATGTGGTTGTGAGGGTATTAAACTTTTTGGTTTATATACAACATTTTCCCTTTTATTTTTCTGTTTTTCCGGTGTCTTAGCACTCACCATTCAGGACTTGCTTCGTAAACCGCAGTTCCCTAAGGAACTCGGGCGTCATTTGGCCACCATGCTGCTCCAGTGTCTTTCTAATCTCCAGCCTGGTTCGATCCTGCAGCTCCGGCTGGCGGGCCAATTCGTAGAGACAGAATCCCAGGATGGCATTTAGGGGGCCCAAGCCTGCCAGTAGAAAGCCAAAGGCCTGGGCAGCAATCTCGACATCGCCCAGCGGCTGATCCGCGTTGGAATACAGCTGCAGGAAGGTCTGCAGCGGCTGGCGATCCCTGCGTCGCTGCTCCTGAAGCTGCGACAGGGCTACTTTTTGAAAGTAAGCCGCAGCGGGCTCCGCGTAGCTTTTGTACTGCAGCAGCCGGGCAATGAGCGGGAACTCCAGCGCGAGGTAGGCATTCCACAGCTTAAAACCTGCCCAGTAGCTGCTCGTCCACCTGGAAAACTCCTGGTGATCCTGGTCAGTCAATCCGAAGGCCATCGAGGCCATCACATCCGCATTGTAGGCACCCACCAACTCGCTAATGTTGCGCGTCTGCAGGCCAACTTTGCCCAGATCGCTGTGAATTCTGGCGGAGATTTGCGCCAGCCTGGGCAGCAGCTTCTGCATGTTGGTCGGCGTGAAAACCTCTGCTGATTTGGCATGAAGCGAACGCCATTTGTGGCCATCCAGCTGCAGGAGATTGGCCGACAGCGGTTCTCCAGCGGAATTACTGTAGAGACCGCGCGAAGTGAAGTGGCCCGCATCGGTGAAGATGATTTGGTGGACTAGCTTCAGGTCGAGCACCAAGATGAAGGGCTTGAGGCAGGCGTAGAAGCCTACAAAGGGTGCTCTCCCCTTGTAGCCCACGTAGATGTCGCGCAAGGCGTCCTGGACATGCCGCTTGCCGCCCACCACGCCCTTGATGTTGCCCCACAGGAACTTGGGCTTCTCGTGCAGGATGCCCCGTCGCTTCCAGTAGCCCAGGCTGAACTTGACCAGGGCGTAGAGCACGGAAAGAGCACCCAAAGCGGTGAGCAGGGCTCGATGCATCAGATCCATGTCTTTTTGGGGTTACTCTAACTGTTTTACGTTTGTTTTAACAGCTGGCAGTAGCTGCACGTCGAGGTTATCAGCTTATCGGCGCCATTATCGCTTGGTTGGCTCTAGTAATTGATAGTGTGTGTTGTCCAATGGAGCAGCGGCGGCCGGCTAAAATGGAAGAGAAACGTGGCTATAAGGGAACGTAGGTAGTAGGTTTTATTGCTGCAAAATTAGGCATAGGTTGTACGTGCTGGCGGGAAATTCATCGACTGCCCGCCAACTGATGTATCCCCTTTGGATTAACTGCTGCGGGGAGCTGGGCACGCCCACGAAATGGGGATCCTAAAAGGGGAAGAGAGAGCAGGCGATGAGTTCATTGGTTACGGGAATGAGGTAATTCTACTGACTCACCACCACCAGTAAGTAGATGCGATCCTCGGCACTGCGATGGTAACCTATGATTCCCTTGGAGGAGGCATCGCTCAGTCCTCCCATGGCTATGAAGCCTTGAAACTTATCAAAGTAGCTGCGAATCTGTTCGAGAATCTCCGGAGAACCGAGTTCCCTGGCGTGCAGAATCTTGCAGTTCAGCTGATGCAGCACATCGATGACGTAGAACTCCTCCAGGGTGCCGATCCAATCGCGGGATCCTTCGAACTGCGCCTTCTTGTCGCCGAGGGTCACTAGAATTCGCTGGATCTCCCGGATGGAGGGCACATGCTCATCTTTTCCTAATCTTCGGTGAATCCAGGAAAGTGCCGATTGCAAGGTGCGGTAGCCACAGCCCCATCCTGCATCCTGGTGGCCATCGCAGCCGTAGTGGAAGTAGGTGAAGCCGCCGCGGATGAGCAAAGTGTCTCCGCCCTCGGTGGGCGGGGCCAGTGGGATGTGGGGATCCTCCAAAAGCGGGTACTTATAGTCCTTGGGCGCAATTTTCAAGGACGCCAACGACGAATTATCGCCAACATCCGGTGCACAGTTTTCCATTGATTTTTCGCAACTGGGAAATTGGATAGCCCACGCCAGCTGCTCTCCACCTGTTCCTTTATTGTTTATTTACCTGGCGCAGCCTTAATTTGTTTTGTGAAAGTGAAATCGCAGCAGAGAAATTGGAATGTTTTTTTGGCCCTGGCTAGAGATGGTACAAAGTGAAAAGTCATGCACCAATAACAAAGCCATATAAACAAAAATAAATTTAAAAAAAATTAAATAAAGTGTAAATTAAAATTAAATAATTATTTATCAATATCCCTTCTAAACATCTAATATTTTTAAAAATTGTTATTATGGTTTTCTTCAAGCAGTCCATCTTCAGACCGCCTATCGATCAATCGATAACCGACTGCTTTTGGCGCCCTCAGGCAAAAAATTCAAAAACCTTTTTATAGTTTTCTCTTATTTCTCATGCATTTCAAATTTTATTTGAATTATTAAATGTACATTATTGTTTTTAGAGTTCATAAATATGTTTTCTGGTGTACGCGTGTATGTGGGTGTTTCAACGTTTTATATATTAACACCTTTTCACTTGAATTGTGCTCTTTTAATTAATAGTTTTTAGTGACCAAACATTAGTACATCGTATTTAATAATTGGTAAAATTTGTAGCTTTGCAAAATTTGCGTTTTATCATTATTGAGTTTCAACTATTTTCGGATTGCTGATTGTTACGGAGTTGCAGATTTGTTAATGTTTAAAAGTTAGCTTAAAAATGCTGAGTTTTACAATAAATAGATGATGTTTGCAATGTGTGTTGTGGGTTGTGTGTGTCTGTGCACCAATTAAAATACCTAAATTACATTTTGTGCGCTTAAATGATTGGATTTATCGTTTCGTTTTTGGTGTGTGCCAGCAACGCTTTAAAATGGGTTCGATTAAAAATTATAAGTACAATACATAAAATACATTTATTAAATATATTTAGCGATATCACCACGATTTGTTGTTATTGTGCTCTTAAAAATCATGTAACAGAAAAGATTAATATGCTAAATTATCAATATTATATTATATTTATACGTATGCGTTATGTATATTATAAATATTTATACGATCTGTGTTTCTCCCCCCGTCTCTACTGGATCCTCCTCCTCATAAATGCAGTCAAAATACGCTTGCGTCTAAAAAATACATTATTCCGCTCTTCTCGTGTTCGCGTGTTAAAGTGTGCTTAAGATCTGCATCTGCACTTTCGTCTTACCAAACTACGGTCAAGTCTACATCTGAATCGTTGCTCTAGGGTGAAAACTACTATTTCCTCGGGTTTCGAGTGTGAGTGTATGTGGGTAGGGGTGGGTTGACCCTTAAAAAACATGGAATAATAGGAGCAAAAAGTTATCTTTGGCTAATTTTGGATAGTACAGAGTTAATAGGTTTTCACAATTCAATAAAAATTGTTCTAAAAATGGAAAGTTTGAATTCTGGCTCTAATCCTATTGTTTCTTTCTTTTGGTTGATAAAATAAAGCCTTCTTGCTTTTCGAGGAATATAGCAAAGCATTGCCCAAAGATAATTGTTCGCCCCTAAGGTATTTATGTTTTTTCTTCTTTCGCAACCACACTAATCGACCCATCCTACTGTGAGGCAACCTGCGGTGCTGGGATAAATGCAATGCCACGCCCCCCTGCTCCCTTACAAGGTGCAGTACTCGGTGAGAATGGGTATAGACTTGAGCAGCTCGTTGATGTTGTGCTGCTCCAGATGCGCCACTAGTTGTTCGGAAGACTTGAGCAGGTTGACGCAGTTCTGCAGGTTCTCGACAATCTCCTTGGTCATCGTGTCCGACGACTTGCTGATAAGCTCGGCCAGCTTCTTGCCCACCTCGCACTTGACCAGCTCGTCCTGCAGCCGCTTGGCCTGCGCCGCCTCGTTGGCCTGCGACAGGTAGACCACGGACAGGATGCACAGGGCAATCAGCGCCTCGTTCTGCATCACCAGATGCTGGGCAGTCAGCATGCTGACCATGGCCTCCACGGTGCCCTCGTTGGCAAGGAATTCGCTCAGGCTGCTGCGATCGTAGTCCTGGGTGAGCGGAATCCGGTCGGCGATCTGTTCGGCGGGTGCATCGCCCTTGCGCGGCAGGGCGTAGGCGATCTTGCTGAGGTAGGCGTGCTTAATTAGCCAGGCCATCAGGCGCAGCGACTCCCCGGTGACGCCCGCATAGTCCGACGATTTGCTCCAGTGCACCAGCTGCTCGATTAGCGTCTTGTTCTTCAGAAGCTCCAAGGCGAGTTTCTCTGAAAAAAAAAAAACGACCAGATGTTGCTAGAGATGCGACTCGCGTGAGGTTTTTGCTATTTCTATACTCACCCTGCCCGTCGACGGTCATGCGAAGCGTTCCGAGCAGCTTGAAGACGACTGGTGGCTGATGGATCTCCAACATCGGCAAGATGGTCTGCACCAGGCCCGCCTGGATCACTGCGTTTTTGTTCGGTTTCGGTATAACGAGGTTACGCAACGCGGAGAGAAGCGCATGCTGCAGACGCACATCGTCCTTGACTCCATTGTTTTTGGCCAACACCTCGAGCAGCTTGTTCATGGTCTGCTGCTCCACAAAGTAGATGCAGTGGCTGTCGGTGCGCGCAAAGTTGCCCAGGGCCAGCACGCCCGTGGTTAGCAGATCGATGTCCGACGAGTCCAGCCAGTCGACCATGTTCTTCAGCAGCGGGGTGGTGTACAAATAGTGCATTGATTCATCTGGAAAAATCATAAATTAATCACTTGTTTTCTTTGTAGATAAATCTATATAGATAGCAGGGTTCGGAAAATAACACACACTGTAAATAACTTGTGTTATTAACATGTCAAAGTGTTAAGTTCAAAAAAAGTTATTGACATGTGTGTAAAAAATGGTAGCTTACATATGCTAGAAACATAAATAACACACACAGTTTAATTGTGTTATTTACACGACGTGTTTTTTACACAACGTGTTTTTAACACAATGAGCTTTTGACATTAAAACGTCAGAAATATATGTTGAACTGAAAAATGCACGGTTTTCTGTAGTTGAAAAAATGCATACTTGCTTTGAAACGGTTAAGAATAACAATTAAGATATCCTGGCCCAATATTGATTCATCATTTTCCATTTGATTCGTTAATGTTAAAAAAATGTAATTTTCATTTGTGTTAAAAACTTAGTGTGTAAAAAATACTTCGTGTTAATAACACATTGTGTAAAAAACACAAGTCGGCTGTGTGTGTTAGCAATTATTTTTCACATTTTACACTTTTGTATTTGACACACATGTCAACAACTTTTCTCACATGGTAAAATATTCTAAAAATTCTATATAGAAAGGTGAACTCACCACCAGTGAGGATCAAAACGATGAGCTCGCAGGCGAGTTTCATCAGCGCCCTGGCCTCACTTGTGCTGGCCAGAGTCTTGTACTTCTCCAGCAGGTTGTAGATGGTCTCGCACAGACCGTCCTTGGCCAGTATCAGCTTGACCTCGTCGCTCTCCGCCTGGTAGTGCAGCAGCTCCAGGCACATCTCGGCCAGATCGGGATTCGTGGAGGCGGCCAGGATGCGCGACAGTTGGATATTCAGTGCGGAATCAAAGTTCAGATCCGCCACGTTCTCGGTGAGAATGCTGAGCAGTGGGAGTGTGTTGAGCAGCAGATCCTCGTGCTGCTCCACATTCGCTGCACCCGCATCGATGATGACCTGCAGCTTCTTCATCACGCCCAGCTCCATTGCCCGCTTGGCAAGACCCTCGCCGCCGAGCAGATAGTTGGACAGCAGGCCTCCGCGCACCTTGATGAACTGCGCCGCATTGGCCACGTCCTCGATGGCGGTGATGTCCAGCAGACGCAGCAGCACAGCATCGCCCTCGAGCTCCAGTATGAGGTCCCTGGCCTCGTCGTTCAAGTAGCAAATGTTCCCGAGAGCCCGGCATATCTGTATGGGCAGCTCCATGCTGCCATCGGGCGTGGGAACATGACGCAGACACTCGAGGAAGGCGGCTATGATGTCCCGCTTGGTGAACTTCTTGCGCTGCACTTCCGACTTGGTGATCTCCGCAATGCACTTGGCCGCCTCCTTGCGCACATTCGTGTCGTCGCACTTGGTGAGCCCCAGGAAGCAGTCCGCCAGCTCGTGCTTGTCGAACAGCTTGGGATCCTTCGTGGCCGAGATCTCGCAGAGCAGGTTCGTCGTGTTCGCCGGACTGACGCTGGTCGTCTTCAGCTTCTCGATTAGCTCGTCGATTTCAGCTGGGAGAGATGAAGGAGAAATGGGAATGCTTAGTGAGTTTGTTTAATGATTGGGGGTTTTTCTCGAAGCTACATTTTTGACTGCATTTTTTTCCCTTTAAGATCTGAAGAGGTTAAGGTCAAATCTTCTTCAAAAGTCTAAAAATTATAACCATTTTATAAAATAAAATGTAATATAATTATATTTTGAAAATAGTTAGTAATAGTTAGTTAGTAATAGTAAGTAAGAATCCAAGGATGCGACCTTTTTTTTTTTGTTATAGAGAAGTTTTTAGCTAATTCGAGGTCATGCCGAGGTCATTCATAAGAATGTTAAAATCAAATGTTAATTTTCATAATAAATTCCAACTTCCAACCTTTTAAGATCTAAAGATGGTTAAGGTCAAATCTTCGTTATTTTTACACTTATAGAATCTTTAAGAAAAAATTACTAAACCAACAAAAAATTGTTTTCCTTATTTATAAAAAATATTAAAAAAAAAGGCGCAAAAAAAAAACGTTTAAAAATTATAACCATTTTATAAAATAAAATTTAAAATAATTATATTTTGAATATAGTTAAGTGAGAATGTTAAAGTCAAATGTTAATTTTCATGATAAATTCCAACCATTAAATTTGTAGGATAATTTATATGTATTCTAAGCCGTTCCATTTCAAGGAGCACGCAAACCACCTTCCTTTCTCTCCGCTGTCATTGTTGAGCACCGCAAAATTGATTGCCAATTTCGATTATCGTCGTTGGCTGGACGGAGTCAAGACAAATGGTCTCAAAGCCAGTTTTTAGGTCCGCATCGTGGCGGAAAAAAATACTTTCTTTATTTGAGGAATAGAAAGGTTTTTCGTGCTCTTGAATTTCTTGTTCGCACCGACTTAGAATCATTAGAATCCACTTTGTGGAAATGCCCAAGAAAACTCGTAAAGCATGCTCCACATTAAAGGTTCATTTTTCCTTCCAAACAGATGGCTGGGATTATAAAGGAACCCAGGATGGGCGACGATTTTCATAAGTCCTGGCGATGGACAAATGAAAAGAGAAACCGAAAAACAATTGGGATTTAATGTATTGTAATGATGAAGGTCTACCATGCCCCAGAAAATACAAAAGTTTGTGTAAGTTCATTCATTCATGGAATATAAATACGTTATTTGTCGATTTTTTGGAAAAGAACTGAATGTATAAAATGACATATATAAAATTTAATAATTGAAATTCTTGAATAGGAGAGTGAATTTTTCTATCATGTGTTTTTGGATTCTTTTTAGACTTTATTCAACTAAAATCCCTACATTTACATACATTTTCGATATACTTCCTTTACTCTCTCCAATAAAGCCAGATTTAAATTTTTTATCTTCTGCTTTAAGCCAGGGACCTAGAGTCCCGTGTTATGGCCAACATTATCACAATATTATTATTTCAGTCAGACCCTTTTTGCCGCCAAGCACACATGCTGAAAAATACATTCCGATAAGGCACTCCAGCAGGACTAAGGACGAAGGACGAAGGGCAAGGGCCAGACTCCGGCACTCGACAACTGGCGACAGTTGGTGGCAACAGCCACATCGAGTGGACGAGTGGGGGGTTGGCAATTCAACAAACTTTGTGGAGCATAAATAATGAATAAGTGAAACAAAAAGCAAAAAGAACCCTTCAACGGGCAACCATCGTCATCATCATCATCCACATCATCAACGGTGGCAGGCATCATCCACGATTTGGCATAGAAACAGCAACAAAGGTTGCAACTTGCAACAGCAACAGCCAAAGCAACCTGAACGAGAACAAGAGCAACAACAGCAAACTAACTCGCAGACAAGTTGCACTTAGAAATGTAACCCCAACTCTAGAGAATACAAGTGGAAACGTTGGTTTCGACTCTAACGACTTTTAGATACCTTTTCAATCCAGTTCTACTCTTCAATTGAATTCTTTTATAAACTGATATGTGAATACAAAATTAGTCGCTTACTATTAATCCTATTGGTTGTTATTCTAACCGATTATCCTAATTATTAAAACTTTATCATCTACACAGAAACAAAATTGACAAAAGATCAGATTGATATGTGCAGGTTAATTTTATATTTTTTAAAGATCAAGTTGTTAATATCATTTTGATATGAATCAAGATTATGTTTACATTATTTCACAATATTTGTTCAAAAACATATTTGTTAAAACAGTATTTTTATAACTTTTATGAAAAAATAAAAAATCAAGTTGATATGTTTGAATCATAAATCATATCATATCGGCTTATTTGATATTAAATAAGGTATAAATGAACCTATTTCAAGTCGAATATTTTCGTGAAAAAAATATTTTATTTTTTAATTAAACATATTTCGAGAAGAAACTAAAAGTAAATAATAACGGTATTCCCAAGTAAAATATACGAGAAATTGATGGTTAAATCATCGTAGGATACCATTATAGACCTGCAGCCTATGCAAATACTGAATACCCTTTGAATCCTAAAGGTAGCCGGTGTAAATGTACATGGGATGCATCTGCATATTCAGGTATAGGGGAATTGTTGCATTTGCTTGTCCCGTCGCAGCTGACTGAATGCAATTGGACAGGTGGCAGAGTCGCGTCGCCGTTCGGAGTGGCAGGTTGACGAGGGTGAGGGATGGGGGATGCAGGAGGCAGGAGGACAGGTGCAGTGGCACAGTGGAAGCGTCACTTCCGTCCAACCGAGCTGCTGGCGGCAGGAGGTTGCCCAACCCAACTCAACCCAGCTCCTTTAATGCGTCTCGGTTGCTGCCTCACCGCCTTTTGCGTGCCTCAGAATGTTTGCTTTGGTAACTGGTACTCGTTGGTATTCAGAGTATGCCATTCGTCCATCCATCCATCCAGCCAGCCATCCAATCCGTTCGAGTTCCGTGGCAAGTTCGTTAGCTTTTCGTTTTGCGGAAGCGCTGGCTTCGTTCGAGGCATTTATTCGCTTGAATTTCTGGGGCAATTGCTTTATTTTATTTTCGTATTTTCCTTATTTTCGGGTTGGGCAGGGCACTACTTTGGCCTGCGTTTTATTTCCAGTCCGCTGTGGTATTTCGTTTTCTCCATTAAACGATTCACTGACTTTGGCCAAATACAAAAATAGCAAACGGCACAAAAATCAGGAAAAAACTAGTGCAAAACTTATTGTTGTTGCATGTTTAATACATGTGCAATTTGTGATGTCGAAGTCGGGTTTTTTTTTTGGGCCTGGTGGCACACAAAATTTCGGCTAAAGTGGGTTAAGTAAGAGAGGCAGAGGCTTGGCACCGAAAATGGGAGTCTTGGGAACCATTTTTGCATGGATAACTAGGTGATGTAAGGAAAAGGTCGTAAATATTGAATGGGCTTTCGATTTAGTCAGGTATAAAATCAGGTTTATGCAATAAGTTATGAGATGAGCAATATTTATGTGCATAAATAATTAAAAAGGGAATCAAATAAATGTGGGAACCCATGAAACCTTATATCAACTTATTATTCTTTTAAAAAAAATGTAAGCTCGCGCCATCTAGCGGCTGTTTCAATTTCCAATGGCTTTATCTAGCGCAGTTTTAATTTTTTTCATAACTTTTTAATGAATCAACCGATTTAAAACATTTCTTCTGAATTTTGAACGGTATTTATAACACAACAAAATTGTATAAAAAGACCTAAAGATATTTTAAATATTAAACTACCTTGTACAATTTTACAAAATATTTATTTATTTCCCCAATAAACTAATCCTAAATTATAGCAATAAAAAACTATTTATGTGGCTCTCCTGGCGAACGATTCTCCAGCTGCAGTGGATTGTGTCCAGACTTGCCCAGTTCGAGTAGCGCCTGGCAGGCCGGAGTGGGCATCTGGCTGACATGTTGTAGCAGCTTCTGGTTATTTCCCTGCCGGGCCCTCAAAAGCAATGTTTCCCCTAAAAGGAAGAGTCATTTTAGATCCCCGGTATTCGTTAGACGAATTCATTGCTGGCCAAACTCACGCAAACTTCGCTCTTGCTTGCACTTCTGCTTGAGATCCGAGATGTATACCTCTTCGATTTCTATTTCCAGCTTGGCCAACTGCTGCTCGGAGTATTTCTCCAGGCTCTTGGGGCTCATAAAGTAGGCTATTTGATTCGTCTGACTGACGCGACGAATGCTGTGGGTTCTGAAGAAGATTGAGTTGGTAACCTCAGCAGCACCCGAGTGGTCGTAGAACTCACCTGGTTGGCGTAAAGCTGTAAGCAGGCGGAGCTGCTATATAGTGCATGGTGACGAAGAGGAAAATCAGGGCAGCCACCATGCCGATGACGAGTTGCTCGGTTTGATAGAGTGACTGGCGCTGGGGCATCCGCTGGTTGGCCGCCTGATAGGGTTTTCTACTTGCGGCGATCTGATCTTCCTCATGGCTTCCCAGATAATCCTCGTACTCCTCACGATTGCAGTAGCCCACTGCCGTCGATATATTATACTCGATCCGCTTCTGGCAATCCGTGAGGCAGTCGGCCGCCTCGCTGATCCGCCGGAAGGCCTGCTCCGCTCCCGGCGACCGGTTCTTGTCCGGATGCAGGCGCAGAGCCAGCTTATGGTAGGCCCTTTTCACCTCCGAGTAGGTGGCGTGGTGCGAGACGCGCAGCACCTCGTAGTGGTTGCGGCAACGCAGCACCTTCTGCACCACGTCCAGCATCTCGAGGGTGAATCCATGGGGCAGGGCGTCCGATTTTCGGGTGGGTCCTATTCTCCGCTGATCCTCGCCCTTCAGGCGCAGTCGCACCACGATGTTCTTCAACTCCAGCAGAGCCATGATCTCGTCGTGGTCTTGTAAGCCCTCCAGGCACTCGTTGATCCGGAAATGAGCCTGCTCGTAGTCGCCCATGCACAGGTCACCCAGCACTTGGTCGACGCAGAGTTGCCTCGCCCGCCGGATTCCCCTGGTGGAGCTGCCCTTGTCCTCTTCCGGCATCCTTTTTCCTCCTTCCCAGCGCAGCGTGAGTAGACAAAAAGTATTCGTTTTTCTTGGTTCTTTTGCAAACTTGTAATTTTGATAAATTGTTTTTAAGGACAATACGGAAAAAAGCGCGAAGTGTTCTTGTGTTTAGTGGTAAATTGGTATAAAACCTTTGTAGATGGTTGTATGTTCAACTGAACGAGGAGAACTACAAACTCATATACAAATTTTGTTTACCCATTGATTTTTAGTATTTGAATTTTATGAGCAGTTGAGAAAAGTTAACTAGATTCATAATAGCACATTATTATATAAGTTTAACTTATAGTGCTAGGAATTCAAATAAATAAATAAATAAAAACCAAAAAATGTTAGGTATACGATTATATTATATGAAAAACCGGGTTCCGAAGCAATAGAACTGATAGAAATAATTAAAAACGTTAAATACGAAACGCAAATTTTCTTTGCCAGCCTTTAAAATAGACAGCTTATGAACAGAAAGTTTTCCCACAAGTTATTCACTTGAAAAGTCACTTGAACTTAAAAGTTCCGTCAATAAGGGGATTCCCCAAAAATGCCAACCCTCTTCGGGCCCCAAGATGTATGCTCCACAACTTGTCATGGGGACATAACGCTCTCGAAAAAGACTCGAAAGTTAATTGAAATTAATTTCTATGCCAATTTGAATAGGGCACGAACTCAATTAAAACCGAGCTCGCCACCCCTAGCATTTTCATCTTTTGGCCGCTTTTCTCCATTCATTCTTTTCTCAAGGCCATTAGGAGGGCCAAAATCTTATTAGCAGTAAAAAGAATAAAGCGAGCGGAAGGGAGAATCACAAGTCACACAGCAAATGAAGCAACGTCGCCGGAATACGCAAAAAGGAGGTGGAAAAAATTAAAAGGGCAATAAATTCTTTTTGGGGGGTAAACTACAATAACATCCAGCTAATCTGGCTAAGCTGCGTGGAACGAATGAAGAAAGCCCAAAATAATAATAATAACAATAAAGAGGCAGCTAGCTACAGAAGCGGCCTGTTTCGTTCGGCAACTGATATCGGGCCTTATCAGAATCTGAGCTTTGGGGTTGATGGAAGCCACGGCCGCAAGGACAGCAGTCAAATTGTGTCGAAAAGAAGACGCCGAGCGAAGGCGTCGACAAAATGCAGTCACAAAGGACCAATTAAAGTCCAAAGTGACTGAGCCGAGGGGAGGACTTGGCAAACATCCCGCAGCTGGGAGCTGCACAGAGAAGAAAGTGGGTAAAAGTGGCTAAGAAAGCTATGTTTGTAATGCTAAAAGTTATTGTAATCTTTTAAAATTTAGAGTACAAAAAACCATCGATGTAAATCAGTTTTGCGTATCTTTAGAACTAAATATTTTTGATCATAATAGTTTAAGCAAGTCTTTCAGAAATGATGGGATTTAATTGATAAACCTTTGAGGATAATAAATAAAATAATCTCAAAATGGTTTTTAAAAAGACAAAATTAATACAAAACCCCAGTTTATTTATTTAATTAATAAATCTTTGAGGACATTTAAAAAATTCTTAAAAATAAAATAACTTAAAATGGTTTTTAAAAAGATAGAAATGAATGCAAAAGCATTGTATACTTTTATTTCAACATACAAGAGTTAGAAATTCAGATCTTTAAATTATATTTAAAGAATGTCACCTTCCTTTTTAATCTTGTAACTTTGACTATTATAGTTTTAAAGATCTGGTTTTATGTTATACGAGAATGGGGTACGAAACATTTTTTATCCCTTGTAAAGGTACTTTTCCAGTACCGGATACACAAAGTTACAGATTGTTTCCAGTGTGGCAATGGGTTTCGCTACGTTGAGCGCAGCTGGTGGGTTACGTTGGCAAGTGAGGTACAGAGTGGTGTGGGGTTTGGGATGCACCACCGCTCCTGAAAGGGGGAAGTTCCTAAGGCCGGGTTTGCCAGCACGTTCAAGTGCTGTTTGTTGTCGTTCTGCACAGGTTCCCCCTTTGGGAAAGGGTATACAAAATACAAACAGTACAGTCTGTGAGCTGTGTGTGTTTATGTGTTGATCCAATGCAGTGGCAGTTGAAAACTAAGAAGTTTAGAGACTTGTTTACGTTTAGCAATTCTCATCGGTGACTGACCTAAATATACACCACCAAGGCACACACATAAATATAGAAATATACAATGGTTAAAATTAAACAATATATAAATGAAGTTTAAATCATGTCAAAGTGCTGGAAAAATTATAAACCTTTAAAAACATATTATTTAACTTTAAGTTTTATAAAATATCTTTAACAAATATCTAACAGCTTTAAAAAGTTTTGTTTCCTCGGTATTGAACCTATGTAAATGGTAAAGTAAACGTTTTACGACTTTTAAAATAGGTTTTCTTAAAACGGCAGAAAAATGTTAATGGAAAGATGTAATGTTTTAAAAAGAGTAACACTTGAGTTGTTCAGTTTTGAACCCAAAGAGAAAAAATTGTGGTACAGAATCAACAAATTAAATATGGGCACTTCCTAAAAAAAGTCCACCAAGCCAAAAACCTTGAAACTTGAATAAAACATATTTCCACATGATTTTGCCCCGATATTAGTTTCTAATTAGTTGGATACTGAGCTTAACTACAAATTTGGAGTATAGTTTGATTATTTTTATGACAAACCCCACCAATATACGCAAAAATCAGTTTTTGGCTATTTTTTTGTTATTTTTTGGACCTGTCTTCTGTTGTTAATTTATCCTATAGGAATGCTAATATGTGACATTTTTCTGTACTGAATGCTTCATTCACATGCTAAACTATTAAGTTAAAAGCAAAACATCCAGCAATTGAGAGATAGAGGTAAAGAAATCCGCTTTACAAAACAGTCGGAAAAAATGTCCCGAGCGACATGTCCCGAGCGAATGTGGTTGAAACTGCATAAAAAAAAACGGCAAAGAATTTTTGAGTGAAACCAAAAGCATTTCACAGCGACATGTTTGAACAACATTCTAAAAAAATCGCATTCAAATATTCCATCAGAATTCGCTAATTTCTGGTGTTGTATGAACTTCCCCGAAATCCACTTCTATTTTTGTCCCGAGCGAATATGGCAGTTTTTTACCGATATCTTAAAAACTAAAAGTGGTACAAAATCAAGATTTTTACCAAAAATAGAGCTTGGGAAGAGTGAAAAGAAAAGCCCATAATTAAAATTAAAATCCATTGTTTTACAATTTTTTTCAACTTTAAAGGTGTGCAAATGTCCCGAGCGACATTTTGGAAGTGCCCATATAATAATGAATCACTTCCATGCCTTGGCTATGACTTATGTGTGTACTTAGATATCCGGATCTCGACAGTCTAAAACAAAAGTTTTTTGTTTTTTTTTGAGACGTGAGTATAATAAAATAAACATGAATGGCTACGCTTTTTTAAGTCCTATTCAGCATATTAAATACAATTTTTAGATTTAATTGTTATGTTTAAATAGGTTATTTTTTTGCATTTATTTTGCGTACACAATTAGAATGCAAAATAATTTCTTTCCGTGCATTTCTTTTGCGTTTTGTTTGTTATATCACCCCCCGGGGGGATAAAAGGAATTGTGAGGACTGTGGGGAGAGTGTTGAGACACACGGGTAAACCTGGCACCTCGCAGGAGGCATATTCTCATTTATTAATGCGTCGTCACTGCTGTTCCCAGTTCCCCTTCCCCGTGCCCACCGAAATCCTGCGGTGGAGTGGGTGGCTTGGGTGGATGGTTTTTTGACAAACGGTGGTGGCGACCACACTTAACTCCCGCCAGAATAGCCGGGGCCATTAAAGGATAAAAAAAAAGTGGGATTTCTGATTGGAAAGTGGGCATCTCATCTGTAGATGCAAATGCAGATTCCTAATCCGATCGGCCCACTGTGCAAAGGAGAAGCGTAAATATTGATTTTTCTCACATGTCTCCGGCAAACAACACACATCTCGTCTAGGCACCCCCCCCTCCAACCCTTCCACCCCCTCGGCAGACAACTTCGAGCACCTGGCAGCGATTTCGAAACTTCGCAGCTCGTAAATGCTGCACTGCATCCATAAAATGAAGACATGGGCACACGCACACAATGACTCGCCTGAGTTGCATTTGTTTACAAGAAGGAAAAGGAATCCGAATTCGATTCTAGAGTCTGTTGTATGTGATATTTTTGGGTGCTTTTAGAGTAGAAATGCCCTGATATTACTCACTCGCCATGTTTGCCGCCTTTGTTGATTGTTTCGCTGCTGCTTCTTCCGCTTCTCGTTTCGTTTTCTATTTGTTCTGCGGTCGTCGCGTTTTCAGGCACGTTGTATCACTTGTTAACTGGCTAACACTGCTGATGGGCTAATGGCTGCTGCTCGCAAGAACTGAACACATTTCACGGCTTTTCCTTCCAGTCGCGTCTCCGTACGATTTCCGTAATACCCGTTTTTCCGCACTTTCCGTATTTTCCGAATCGCGTCCCACGTTCACCCGCACCAGTGTGGCCATGAAAATTCAGCTTTCCCCCTAAAAAATCTCAAACAGTCGATATTTCCCCCTAAAAAATCCCTCCACCGATATTCCACAACGATTGTATTTCGTTCCAATTAGCAATTGTCAGCTCACAAATGTTTCCATAGAGGGCGCCCGTTTCTTAAACCAGTTTTCCCCTTCCGGCAGTTGATTACAAAATTAATTGTATTAATTTCCTTTTATTTAAATTGTAATATTGGGGAACTTGTCTGTATAAACTTTGACTTACTTAAGTTACCTTTTATTTTTTATAAATGCTGCGGTTAGTGCTAATGAAAATGATTAGGGGAATCCCCAAACTTTTAAATGGCTTGTTTCCCGCAAAATGTTGCTGCACTGTGAAAAAAGCCCAAATAATGCTTATTAGCATTATATCAATTTCAAATAATAAAATAACTCTTATTTTCGGTCCCTGATTTCAACTCTTTATTTATTAACATAGTCTCATATAAATTTATATAAATTATTTAACTTTTTTACTTTCGCCCCTCAGTTCGAGGCACGTGAATGTTGCTCGCCTTACGTTATTTTTCAAATGCTTCAAGGAGTATCTCCGATTTATAGCGTCCACGAAGAGGATTTCCAATGATCTCCAAATCTTCGTACCTAAGAACTTATTAAACGTTACCCTATATGAACATAAAATCTAGCTGTTTTATAGCTACAGCCGGCTGCACTACAGTATCGAAAGGTGGCAACTCTGGTCGGCACATCACTCACACAAAAAATTGTTTACCACAAAAACGTTGCTGAATTAGACAAAAAAACAAAGTGCAGAACATTTGCAGTGATCCCCAAGACGCGCGCCAACCCCCAGAGTTTCCCGGAGCGGTGTCCACCTGAATTCCCGCCCACTGCCGCCAGCACAGCATTCCATTTTTGGGGAGCCCCTCGATTGCCCGGTCGTCCACGAACGCTTATAAAATTGGCAAGATAACTAAGCATAGCACAAAGATGCCGCCAGCATCAGCGGTGAACAATAGCAACGCGGCCGCCCAGGCGGCGAAGGCCGAGCGGGCGGAGAAGCTGCGCGGCGCCCTGAAGGGCTTCATCGTGGCGGACCGCCAGCGGCGGCAGGAGGAGTTCGAGGCGCAGTGCGAGGAGCAGCGGCTGCGGCGGGAGCGCGAGGAGGTGGAGCGCCAGAACCAGGCGGCATTGGACGACACACGCGGCCAGATCACCCGGCTGGACGAGCAGCTGGCCGACCTGCACAGCCAGAAGCACCAGCTGACCGTCCAGCTGAAGAAGGTGCTCAACGAGGATGAAACACGGAAGAAGCTGGCCAAGGAGAACGAATTGTTCGCCATCCAGCAGGCGGCGGCCAGCGCGGCGAGCGGCCCGGTCTTCCTGCCGCCCCTCCGCCTCCAGCACCAGCATCATCCGCTGATGCAGAAGGTAGGCTATCTAGCATTTTGTGTGTTTCCACTTTCTAAAGCTCTTTCTTCTTTCGTTCCCATCAAATACAGCCCCCGCCCGGTGGACAGCCAGGGAAACGGGGCAGGAGTCCCTCGCCGCCGAGTCAGCAGCAGCAGGCCTACTACAAGAGCGCCGCCAGCTACGCCCAGCAGAGTAAGCCAGGACGACGATGTGGCCCTCGGCCCTCCAATACAGTGAACGCTGCCAAAGGCGGACAGTCGAAAGTTCTGTACAAAAAGACGCACTTCCTGTTGGATTTCTTTAGCTCGAATATCGTCATGGTTTTTACATAGCACTACTAGTAACTTTTCAAGCATTACACTTCAAATTAACATTTTTAGTGGCCGAAAATGTTATAGTTTTTGAATAGACCATCTTCTAGTTCAAATATGTCTATCGACAACTCTTAGTAATTCCAGTGTAATTCACTTTTGTGGTCGGATAAACATCTATGCCACTAACTCAATCGAAATCACAGATTTTTCCACTAATTTATCAATGTTATCATACTTTTATTAGTGGGCTTATCTGATCTATTGCTGTAATCTTATTTTACGGAACATAATACACTTCCCACAATCAAAAGGGCCATAATTATAAACTATAAGGCTGCATTCAGGCCTCAGAAAGTTTAAATTTAATGTATTTTTCTAAGACAAGCATATATCTATTATCTTAAAGAGTACTAGTTCCTGAAAGTTTTAAATATTGCTTTAAAAATTACATTATTTATAACTGTTTGTATTCGCTAGCCGTTCGAGTTAATGAATTTCAACTGTTAACCATAATTATTTTACTATTTTATACAAACACCGTTTGATCTGCTCTGCGGAGCCTTCACTGTACCTGATTAACCTGCTCGCTAACACCCCGTCCCGCTCATGCGAAACTCATTTGACTGCGCACACTAACCCCTAACAACACAGGCACACAACTTATGTTCATTTCGTTATTTGTTTACGATCGATTCGCAGAACACGATGACTACCGTCGTGCCGCGGACTATGCTAGATTATCATGGAACAGTAAGCACCTCACTCGCAATACCAAGACCGAGCTCCTCCGCCGGAACGATCGCAGCCAAGACTCCCCAATGAACCCCCGCTCTTTCCCTCTCTTCCAGAGACCACGGCGCAGTATCCGGGCACGGGCACGGTCTTCTATCAGACGACCGCTCCTCCGCCGACGACGCAGCACCAGGCGGACGCCCGTCTGCAGTCCATCTACAACTACAACCTTCCCTTGCGCCAGGCCTACCACGTGGATCTGCCCAGCGCCACGGCCAGCAAGCCGCCGGACTCACAGTCGCCGAAGGCGCCGCAAGGGCAGCCGATGCAGGTGCTCCACATCAACCTCGACCAGCCGGCCATCTCGCAAGCAGATCTGGTGGCCCAGGTCGGTGGCAGCATCTCGGTGAAGGCCTCCCAGCCGCAGGTGACCATGGAGAAGCTGCCCGACCGCTACCACATCGAGGTGAAGCACGACGGCCAGCCGAGCCACGGCCCGCCGCCACCGCATCTGCTGTCGGAGGGCGTCATCTTCAAGCCGCTGCTCAGCGAACTCTCCATGCATACCAACGTGCTGCAGATAAGCAGCAGTCAGGTGGGTCTCTATTCTAGGAATCTAGAAAAAAAAACATAAACCCCTATCAGTAGAATTATTTCCTTTGAAATTTAGGTATTTTAAGAAATAATATTCAAATCTATTAAGTGGGAATTTTTGTTGATAACGAATTTTAATCAGGGTTCGTAAACATCACTCATTTTAAATATCCCTCAAAAACAAGCCGACTGTGATGAAATTAAATAAATATCAAACTAATTGTCATCTTTGAGTGACAAAAAGTGAGGGAAAAAAATATCCCTCACGAGTGATGAAATGATCATTGACAATATTGTCAAAGACTTAGCAGAAGATACAAAAGATGTAACCTGCGTTCAAAAACATATGAATTGCATATTAAAGTCTAGATAATACACAAAAAAACTTTTATAAAACTTGGTGCTAGTAGCCTTTTTTTGTTTTTATTTTCCTAATTTTTTTCTCACAAAATGAGGAAAAAGCAGTATAAAGCAGTTGAGATTTTTATCTCCTCATTTTATTGTGACAAATATCACCGCCCTATGCTGATATTATTATATTTTAACAAAATGACAGATTGTGAGGGATATTTTACGAACCCTGAATTTTAATCGAAAATGCTTTGAACATTTATGAAATAGCCACTGTACATAAACAGTACCCGAAAATACTTAGAACATTTTGACTAACATCTGAACAGTTTCCTCCACAGAATCCGAAAACGGCGGGCAGCATCACGCAGGGCTATGCCCCTGGACGAGGAGGATCCGCTCACGAACAGCAGCTAGCCAGGCAACAGTTGGCGATGCTGCCCGGCCAGCCGGGAGCTCCGACCGGATCCGTTCCCGGGTCCGCTCAGCAGCACTACACGCGACGAATGTACTAGCCCCGCCCGAGGATTTGGCAATGTTGTCGCTACGGAACTCACTCACTGATATACTTACGATTTTAAATGGACATTATACTGACTACGCTTCCCACGTGGAGTCGGATACACGAAATAAAACACACAACTATGGCGTCCCTATTTTCCAATCGATAATACAATACTGAGATTTGATATTGATATTGGTATTCATGGGTTGGCATAATCTGTGGTAAGTGTGGTATGATTAAATAACGTTGAGAATTGCTTCCTATTTCACTAATTAGTAATTCAATTAATCATGGAATATCAGCATCGAAAGGAGGTATGGTTTTGTATGTTAGCACCTCTCCATTTAGGAGAAATGCCAAATGTCTAAAAAAAAGCATGATACAACTTTGGATAAAATTTGTTATAAATGTCGGAAATTGTTTGTCTTTATCTAAACAATTCAAAATTTCTTTGTTTGGACAGCTGCAGAATCCAGAATACAGGCAGAACTTTTTATAAATTATAAACGTTCTTTAAAAATGTCTGCTTCGAAATTAAATCGGATTCCAATAGTAATAAAAATGTAATCTTGAAAATTCTTAAAAATATCAGTAAAGATGAGAATTCTTTTAACAATGAAAGGCTCTGTTGCTTTGGCAAATTCTAACTACATTTTTATTCGCTGTGCACAATAGATGCTAATCGGATCTCCCGCACCCATGGGAACACCAAGATTTCCCCGGGGTATTAGTGGTATGCTTATTTACGAAATTGCTCGAGTGTGACGCATGTTGTCTCCCAATCCCGACCACAAGCTTTTCCTGACGGATAATTGCCCTCCCCTTGAGAGACAATCTCACTTAAGTCATTCTGTATTTAACAGTAATTCGTCATTTACAAAAAATATTTGCTAGATAGGAAGCTAACCAGAAGTGCACACAAATGATTCATAATTGATTCTATTTTGTCAATAATTGGGAGCTCAACACAGGGAAAAAATACTCGATACTGTTTTTAGGACAATCTCGAAAAAACCCAAACGAAAAATCATAAAATTGAAAGCGGTTCAGAATTTGTAGATTGATAAATGGTAACTATGTATCTATATATAAATATATATATTTATATAGATATTTTTTAAAATTTCCATTGCTAAATCATTAATTTAATTAAATTTTGTTAATTTTTTTCAGTACCACTTAAGAACTTTAATTCGTGATCAAATATACAAATACGAAATTTTATTATTATTTGTGCATTAATAAGAATGACGTATATGAGATGTATGTATAATTTGTGGACTATCAAAATTTCGTGCTATTTTTCAAATTACCTATTCAGAAGTAAACATATATATGAGGAATTTGGCAGGTTTTGTGGTTTCTCTATATGGCAACTAATGAGTAATCACATTACTAAGAGTTGGAAAATTTGAAATCAAGCCAATCTTATAGATATAGAAAAAAAGTGATATGTATTTTCAATAATTTCATCTATGATCCATGCAGATATTTCTCTTGGTGCGCTTGGTTGCTGTGGAAATACATTTAAATTTAGATACGGAACAACGTGAGGTTAATTGCGGGGAGCACACTTGTTAATTAGGAATGTCAGCGGGTGCGACAGTTGGCGTTCTGCTCTCCTCTCCAAATCCAAAAAATAATAATGCTTCCAAGCCACGTTTTCATTGGATTACGTAAGCTGTAAACCAGTTTCTGCTGCTGGTGTCTGTTGTTATTGTTGTTAGTGTGTCAAGGAAAAGTTACAGACAATTACAACGCCCTTCTGTCTGGTAATTAAAAACGGAAGCCATGCCCGAAGCCATAGTAACGTGGCTATTGAAAGCACATCGGCGGCCCAAACTGGTTGAAACTTTCATGAAAAGTCCGCCCACGACAGGCCCGAAAACCGCAAAACACGTTCGCCAGTTGCAGTGGAAATCGCATCGAAAGTATTTGCGGTTCAACGTGACAGTCAGGCTTCGGTAATTCGAAATTTTAGAATATTTCATTTGTAGGTTTGTAATTCGAAATTTTCTTATTACGCAGTAATAATGTGGTAGAGAATCAATCTGGAAAATGTATTTACATTGTACGAAGCTTGTAAACTTGCTAAATGGCAATTTCTGAACCAAAGTTTTTAGCGTTTTCAGCAAAAATCAAAACATGACAAATAGAGTTTTATGAAATGAAGTTTTTTAACACTTTCAGCATAAATGTCGGTTTTCAAATATTACTCATTTACTGATATATTTTTAATATTCTTAACATTTATAGGAATTTAACTCTTGTTGAATATTTTTAGAATTTTTTTAAGTTTAAAATAAAATTAATCTTTAATAAATGAGACATACAAAAAATTAAAAATAAATCAAAACTATATTTTAAAAATAATATTTTTAGCAACGAAGTACATGTAATTTGTTTTAAGAACTTAATCCCTTTTAAAGGCATTCGTATTCTTACCTTAACATTTTCAAACTCGGCAGCAGGTAAAAAGCAAATATCGACCGCAGTAAATTTGCATAAATAAACAAAGGGTTTAGTCAGCGCGATTTGTAACAGAGAAGAGAGCGGGAAAAACAAGTTAGTGCAATTACCGTTGGAGAGGGGGGGAAGAGGAACCTAAGGGGGATGGCGAACCGAGACCAAAACAAAAAACATGTGCGTTTGTGTGAGTGTGAAGCAACAGGCGGTTGGGGCTGCTGCTTCAATATTATCGCTTTGGCGCAGCTTTTGAACGATCTCGCCGTTCAGTTAGCATTGACTACTACTCGGAGGCGGTTCGAAAAAGCGGAGCGCGCGTAAATTCATTCAGCTAATACGAAAAAAATAAGCGGAAAATCCAAGGTGTGTGTGGGTTTTGTTTTCAAACTGCGTGTGCTTGTGTGAGTGAGAACGAGAGAGGGAGAGCTTTCAAATTTAAAACTCGAACATAACAGGCCCACAGGGTGATTCCTGTTGCAAAGCGTCGAAGGTGCGATCTGTCACACACTAGTTGTCCTGCTCGCACTGAGGCAAATGTCAAAGTCTTCCGTTCAGTTAGGAAAACAGAACTGCAGGCAAAGTCAATCGAATCAGCGACAAAATTAGCCCCACTAGGGAGAATCTTACATATAGATTAGGCCAACATAACGCAACCGGTGTGGTAAAGTGAGATCGGCCAGATCAGAGATAATCCGAGCAAAAGCATATATAACCAGCGAACAATTTCCAGTTATTCCCCACCCCGTCGTCGCCATGGAGTCGGCCAAGGATTTAGTGCGGTCCAAGTACCAGGACTTATGTAACTTCCTGGAGCGCGACACCCGCGGCAGCGAGCTGGTCATCTACGGCACCTCGGCGCTCCTCCTGGCGGTGGCCTACGTGAAGCGCAAGCCGGCCTATCTGGTGCGCCAGTTCAAGCAGCCCTCGCACATCCCGGAGCGCCTGATCAGCGAGCGGGTGATGCACACAGGCAGGATTGCGGGGGTCAAGCAGCAGGAGCAGGACACCCTGCTGATGATCCAGCATCGCCCTTTGATTCCCATCTTCACCAGCCGCCAGCGCCTGCTGCCCGTGAAGTTGCCCGGTGTTCGGGTGAATGCCAATGGTTACTCCTGGCTGCAGCAGTGCCTCATTGGTCGCGAGGCCACCTTTCTGCCGCTGAAGAGTCCCAAGGGACAGGACTTTGTGGTCTGCCAGCTGTGCCTGGTCCATCCGCCGCGGGGCAACCGCCTGCTGGACGTCTCAGAGACGCTGTTGAAGCTGCGCTTCGCCAAATACGCCCAGGATGCGGCGTCGGGGGTGAAGAGGAACGGAAAGTACTACCAGCACCTGAGGAAGGTCGAGCAGACCACCGCCGAGAAGGAGGCCTGGCTGTCGTGGGCCTCCGGCTATCCCTACATCTGGCGGCGCTACAACGAACTGAAGCAGCGCCTGCTGCCCAAGGAGAAGCTGCTGCCGGAGCTAGTGCGCTGATCCCGATCTCCAAGCCACTTACTTAGTTACAGGGCTAGCTCCCTAACTTAGTTATACGGCTAGCCACTAGCCAGCTTAACCCAATGTGCTTTCTTCACTGGCTTGTTGATTGGATTGCTGTATCAAAACTCATTCTAGAAAGCACATTAGTTGTAGGACTAGCTAGCCCCTTACGAAAACGAAACCAACGACAATCGATGCCCAGGCGGTACGTGATCGTGTGCTTATTTCCTCGTCCAGTAAAGCCGCAGCGCTAGCATTTCTTTACTCAAATGTTCAAATAAACAAAATGTTGTTTTTACCACGGATGACATCAGTGCGTGTGCCTGTGTGTGTTGTTGTTCGTGTGCGTGCATGTTTCACAAATAAAACGACAAAATACTTAAATTTTCACGTTTGTATCTGAATGTATCTCAATTCCATTCTTTTTTCGTTCCCCCAACAAACGATCAGTTGCAGTTTTTCCTCCACCTTCACCAGCAATCTCCCACGAAACTCAAGCAAAATGAGCTGCGGAATCTCCATGGTTAAATATATACTATTTATATTCAATTTGCTCTGTTCGGTGAGTATCACACATTTAGATTATATCATTTCTATCTAGCGCCAACGGCCAAGCCCAGTTTTCTCGGTCTTTTTAGGCTCGCTATGATATCATAAGTTTGGCACGGTTTAAACTGGTTTTCCTTAAACTTAGTTTTTTGGATTATTTGCTGAGAAAGTTTGGGCATAAAAACGGGTTTACAATAGTACGTTTCAAAAAGGTAAAAGAGGCTCGTTAAATAAAAGGGGCTCGTTAAAGATCATAAAGGTATCATTTTGTTTAACAAAAATAGTTTTCAGTCCTCTGATAACAAATTTTTGTTAGGCTGTAAATTTGTTTGGTCCAAATCCAGGGGTTTTTAATTTTTTTTTGCTTTTATTATTATTTTTAAACGAATTACGCAGTTATTACCAACGTATTAGTATTATTTATAATTCGTTTTATTCAAAGACTTAAAATATTTTTGTAATTAAAAACAATTACAACCTATAATTTTTCGGTTACGAAACGCACTGTACATGTAATGTGGGGGCAGAGTTTGAGATCATCAGTATGCCAAACCTGTTATTAAAATGGGGCTACCATTGTGACGTAGCGGTACCCAAATAATTCTGTATAAATTTGTGTATACTACGTATTTTGTTTATTTTGGTGTCAGAAAACGAGTTTTGATTGGTTTGGTTCAACAGAGTTTCCCACATCCGAACCCCAGAAACACGCATCCCATTAGTTGGATCCGCTCGAGGTTAACTGGTTTCAAACGCCAACCAAACAATCGTTGAAACGCCAGCCAGCGGTGGCATTTCGATATTGTTTTGCAACTTCTATGTAACTAACTGCCCCAAAGGCGCTGCACCGGCCAGAGAAACTGTACTTTGCCTAACCAGTTTGGGGCCCTGATTTGCAGGTGTGATTGGACTCCGTCGGAGGCCCAGAAAAATTACAGTCACGCAATCTTGGATGTCAATCCTTACACGTGAAAAATATGAATACTAACGAGTTATAATTTCTCAGGCCGCGAATTCTTAAGTTACCCAAATATATATTTAATTAATTAATTTAATTAATTGTTAATGGTTTTTTTTTAAATTTTTTTATGTATTAGACAATGAAATGTAGCTACTACTTGAATACAATTCGGACCAATATAATATGATAGAACATTTTTTATTGTGTATAACATAAAATTTAATTGTGAGATGAATACTCAAACATTTTGTCTCTATAAGAAACACTCCCACATCGTCTGGCAGTACTCAATGTAAACCTATGTAAAAAGCATTACAGAGGGGCTCACCCAAAAATAGTTGAGTTAATTAAATTTGAACTTGTTCCCATTAAGTGACGAGCCAAAACTCGGAAACAACAGAAATTTAATCTGCACTTGAACTCAATTTTCCACGGATTGGTGGGGGTTGTCCGACCGATCTAGAAATATCAGACGGTTGGGTGGGTTGGTTATTATTATAATTAGACTTGTGTCGCAATATCGCTCTCTCTTGATCTGATCCAATGAACCTGCTGAACTCAGCGGCTTAGTCATGGCTGCAATTTGGTGAATTCTTATGAATTATAGTTTAATTGGGCGCTTCTAATCTAATAAATAGAGGTTGACGTAGGGTGATAAAAAATCAAAGCCAAAGTAAATTTGTTTTTGATATTTATCGTAGATAGGGTCTGTTCTGTTTAATCTTAATTAGCAGGATTGATAAGAGATAAGCCTTTTGATAGGCATGCAAATTGGCAGCTGGGTTGCCATAATCATAATGTAAATAAGAAGTAATAGGATTGCAATTGCACTTTTGTTGTAGGTTATTTTTTGATCTAAAACAAAATTAAGGACGCAGACCTCTTATTAGATACTTTTAAAATTCTCCCAGTGCATTGAAGATATTTGTTTTTTTTTATTATATATAACTCATGAACTTTTCACCTCAAATAGCTTTTTGGTGAATATGAAAAGCTCAGCGTAATCCCAATAGGCATTTATTTTGATGGAAGATTTTAACGATTTTGTTTTTTTAAATTCCTTCAATTTATTTTAGAAATCAATAAATAATTTTTATAAAAATTGTAATAAATAATTTGTTATTATCCATTAAGTTTAAAGATAATAATTGTTTGCAAAGGTATTTTTATCATAAAACTAAAATGGGCTTGACTGCTGGGCTATACAAACTTAAACTTCCTTCCTGATAAATATTTGATTTATAATATGATCTTCAATATGATCTTCTTCAGATATGCGGCATCTTGCTGATCGTTTTCGGAGCTCTGCTCTTCAGCAAAGTTCACAACATCGATGACTTCGCGGAAGCCCTGCGTTCCCAGCAGGTTCCCGTGACGATGATTATCCTTGGCACTATTATCCTGCTGATTTCCTGGTTCGGCTGCTGCGGTGCCATTCGCGAATCCTACTGCATGTCCATGACGGTACTTGAATGGCCTTTGAGTGTGATAACCCTTACCTACATATAATGTTTACCCATTGTAGTATTCCATTCTGCTGTTCGTCCTTATGATTGGCCAACTGGCCTTGGTCATCTACATGTGGGTCCAGAAGGATAGGTACTTGCAAATTATGGGTGATGTGGTTGAGAAGGCTTGGGACCATCGCACCCGTCGTGCCGACTACATGGATGCCCTTCAGATTAGCGTAAGTTCATGTGGTTATAGGGTATTCTTTCATATTTTTTACCAACTCCCAACTCTTTCCCCCTTTTAGATGAAATGCTGCGGACGCAGTGGCTACACTGACTACGCCTACCAGGGCAAATACCCTCCTTCCTGCTGCAGCGACACCAACCACTGCAGCAATCAGAACGTCTACCAGAGGGGCTGCAAAGTCACCTTCGTCGAATTCTGGGACAGGAACAGCGACATCATCAAATATGCTGGCCTGGTCATTGCTGCCATTGAAGTAAGTTTTTTAAACTATCAACGAACTTCAAAATACGATATGTGCTCTGCTGGTACTCTGCTATCACACACAGTATAGAAAAGCTGAGCAAAAAAATCTCACTGGTTTAAACTGAACTCCAAATTTGACTCATACTCGTATTTCCCAAATGAAATTCACTTCTTATCTAAAATACTTTATTTCCTTTCAGTTTGTCGGCTTTGTATTCGCCTGTTGCCTGGCGAACAGCATTCGGAACTACCGGCGCCGCGCGGAATATTAATCGCTGGAAAAGAAAGCCTTTCACTAATTTTAATTGAAACCGAAAGTACGAATTATGTTGCCCAATTTTACGAATATATCACCTGATACAGATGGCCATTGAAATTTTACATAATCTCAAGTTTTAGCAGAGAATCCCACGTCGAATTCGATATGATACATTTTTTTAAGATCGTTAGTTGAGAGTTATATTGATTGTGCTAATATTTTTAACTGTACAAAATAATTTATACTCCTAGAGATTGCAATAAACTGAGAAATTTATTATAAATTGTACTGTTTTATTATTCTTAATGGTATTGTAACCAAGTAAAAGTTCGAAAGAACTTAAAACACCTTCTACATTCATTGGTAGAACTAACTAAAAATGTGAACTGAGGAATTTTAGCTTATCACGATAATATTTTACTCTTGAAGTACCGGGTAAAAATAGAGGTTGTAAAATTGAACAAACATAAAACTTATCAATCATTGCTATCATCTCTATTGACATAATTCCATAGAACTAACCTATCAGAAGATTATATTTAGTTGGCTTTGTAGGGCTTATATGCTATCTAATCTAGTCGTACAGGTACATATTTTATCTGCAAAGGGAATTTGGCCATTTTCCAATGTCAAAGGGAAATTATTCTTCCCTAAAAACCCCATTAATTATCAAAATCTAAATCGGGGTGTTGGAGTTACGCTCGTTGGAGTACACTCGGTAAAATGTTTATTAGTCGATTGATAGAGTATAAATCTATGCGATAAGATCGGGGACTCACGGGGAAACGGTGGCCAAGCAAACGTAAATTGTGAGTCAGCGCATAAACGAAATTATTTTCCACCTGATAAGGGAATTTCACACCTTTCCCAGGCAGGAAGGTCGCGAAATTCTAAATGATTCATCTTATTAGAAGACGAACGCCCCCAAAGATTGAATTTTATGAATGTAAGATAATTTTTCGCCCCCAACCGTGGTTTATATCAACATGTGAATCACTGCGTCCACCAAGTACGTAATTTCCCTGGGTTCTGTGGTCTGTGGTCTATGGTCTAGTATCTACGCGGGTGCAAAGTGATCAACTGAATGATTTTTTCAAGTACATAGGAAAGAGAGCTGGCAGTGCTAGTACATAGCTAACTTTATGGCTGAGATAAGAACGCACCCGATAAGATGAGTACTTCGAATACGCTTTAATAGCCGAGTGCTGCCAGAAAGCCAAATCAGTTTGACGAAAAACGTCGCTTCGAACGAACGGATTATCCAGCGAACCAACGAGAACCCCGAAAAAAAAAATCCAGCAACATGAATTGTCTATCCGCGATGTTCAAGTACCTCCTGTACTTGCTCAACCTGATCTTTGTGGCCGGTGGCATCCTCCTAATTGTGGTTGGTTCCATCATGCTCTCAACGATGGGTAACTTTACCTCCTTCGACGGAGCAGTTAACACCCAGACCATCCCGATCTGCATTATCGTCATTGGCTGCGTCACCTTTGTGGTGGCATTCTTTGGATGCTGCGGCACCATTAGGGAGAATGCCTGCTGCACTACGATTGTAAGTCTTTGGGATCCCTTGTCCATCCGATTTGGGAAACTAACTGGTTCACTTACCCTTTCAGTACGCCATCTGCATGCTCATTCTGTTCGGCCTTCAACTGGCCCTGTCCATTTGGATCTTTGCGGCCAACGACAAGTTCCTGACCAGCATGGGCAAGGTGGTGGACAAGGCCATGGATGAGAATGACGCTGCCCAGGGATACCCCATGGATGCCCTTCAATTGGCCGTAAGTTCCTAGAAATTAACCTAAAAAAATTGGAAAAACAGTAGATTCTTTTTTAAGAAAATTTATATAAAAACTTTTAAAAAAAAAAAAACGTTTTAAAACAAAGTAAAAAAATTTTAGAGCCATTTACTTTTTAAAAGTTTCACCCCTTATTTGCACCTAAAACTTTTGATAATTTTCTCTGTATAATATTTCTCAAGAATCTTTTTCTGTATTAATTATATAGTAATCTAATTTAATATACAATTCCAAAATGGTCAGTAGCAAATCACCCAGAACGGATTGACCTAAAAATCTAAAAAAATCAATATAAGCCAGGGTGACGTAGAGATTTAATATAGTAATATAATATTAATGTACCCACTTTTCTTACAGTTCAATTGCTGTGGCAACTCTGGTTACGCCGACTACACCACCGTGCCCGCCTCCTGCTGTGGCTACAAGGATCGCAGCAGGACCTGTGAGGCTGCCATTTATACCCAGCGACCTGGCTGCCAGGCGGAGTTCGTTGATTTCTGGGCCTCCAACACGGACATCATTCGATGGAGCAGTCTGATCATCGCCCTCTTCGAGCTGGGCATCTTCATTATGTCATGCTGCCTGGCCAGTGCGATGAGGAAGCGCTAAAAACAATAGTCTGACCTAACTTTATAGCTGTAGCCCAGTTCCTAGCATAAATCCAAAGAAACAAAATTATCACTCACCTTAAATAAAAAACAAAATAGGTTAAGCTCAATAAAATATTATTGCTTATTCGCTGTCTATCTTTGGCCAACGCCTATCTTATCACGACAAGTTGATGTTTTTCCAAAAACTATGTCCTTATCTGACAAAAAGCCCGGGGCCCCACGTTTGTGAGATCAATTGCCCTCAGAAATGAATCACTTCCATATGCCAATTGTTATCGATTTCCCCCACACATTCAGGCCCCATTATCTATCCTTCTTTTCGGCCTCGATTATGATATCAGGCACTCGCGTATCTTTCCGATATCGCCCGTGTCTGTTGGACAATTTAAAAACGGTAGCCCATCTGGAAGTCCAGTCCAATCGAACGACAGTAAACGACGCGAGTACGCGATAAAATCAAAGCAAATCGGAGTTCCTCCTCTTGGATATCATACTTGATTTTTTTTATTCTGTAAATTAAAGCCAACATAAAACTTTCAAAATGGGTTGTCTATCCGGAATAGTCAACTTTATTTTATATATTGTTAATATAGTGTTTTTGGTAAGTTATTAGATCATTAGAAAACAAACAAAACATTTAAAACACAAAAAAAAACCAACAAAAATTATAACAAAGTGAAAAAATGTTATTCAAAAGTGTCAATTTTGAAAATAACAAATGATTGTTTGTGTTCTCCAATATTATTCATTAAAATATTCGTAATGCAGTAAAATATTGCAAATTCAAGTGAATTTCAAATAGTAACCTGCTTTTAAAAAATTTATGACTACGTGAATTTGAACACACGAAATAACATTTATTAAAAATTTTATATGAAAAAATCACGCACTTAGATAGATTTAAAAAAATGAGATATTTAAGTAAAAACATGCAAGCCGTGATTTGGTATAACTTACTAAAAATTGAAAAAGGCAACCGCCATATTTTATAACATTTTTTTAAATTATTTTACGCACAAACTCGCCATAAATCAAATTTAGTTTAATTTTTGATCACGACGAATAACTGTTATTGTCAAATATTATTATAAAACTCAAAAACGTAACAGTTTTTTTTGAGTTTTTGTTAATAAAAAAACTTTTAAAGTGTGATTTTAAATAAACTTATAACAGTTACGGCCCCTGGTTTTGATTTATAATTCTAATTTCTATGTTTTCCTAAATTGTTTAAAAAAAGTTACTAATTACACGGCATAATAATAATAAATCGCCGTAAAGATAAATAACAATAAATTTTCTTTAAACTAATGTGTACTAGCCCTTTTTTAATTCCTATTTAATTTTATGTAACTTATAAACCTAAAAAATGGAATTAGATAACAGTTAAGTTAGAAATGCAGATTTTATTTATTAGAAGTGAACTATAAGTTAGTTATAAAGTTTTACAATGACGCCATAGAAATTGGTAGGAAATGATATAATTACGCATCGGTTGCTTCTGTGTCACAAGGTATATCATATTTATTCATAACAATGTGTTAGCAAAGTTAAAAATACCTATCCACCACTGTAATGACAGCAGACATACACGAATTTTATCAGTTAATTGACATTATCAGTGTTTTGTAATATAAATAATGAGCCAAATATTGGAAACGAACGTGAACACACATACAATAACCATTTAATAAATCGTAAAAATATGTTGAATTTCAATAGAATAATAAAACATAATAATAATATTTAAGTAATAGCAATAAAGCAAAAAAAATTTCCCTTTTATTATTGTACTTTTCGCCCTTATACTTATTTTTAAAGGAACTATCTTAATTACTCTAACTTAAAATTTTTTTAAAAAACTTAGCCAGAAAATCAAATAGATAAATAATGGTTTTTATAATATTTTCTTCATTTTATTTAGGAAGCAGCAGCAAAATTTACAACTAAATTCCAGAATAAAAGTTATAATTTATTTATTGTACATTTTTTTACAGATCGTGGGCATCCTTCTGATCGTGCTGGGCTCGATCATGTTATCGGATCTCAGTCACTTTGATGGTGCCGGAAGCGGTACGAACACCGATACCATCCCGATTTGCGTAACCGTTTTGGGAGGCCTGATCTTCGTGGTGTCCTTCTTCGGGTGCTACGGTATCTTCAGGCAAAGTGCCTGCATGACAGGAGCAGTGAGTTTTGATAACGACGCTCATTCAAGCAACTCCAACTTATATAACACTTTTCTATTAATAGTACACCAGCATGGTTTTTATCCTCTTCATCCTGCAACTGGTGCTCACCTGCTGGGTGTTTGTGAATCGATCAGCATTTCTAAATGATATGACCAATTTGGTGAACTTGCTCTGGAACTCAAAGGACTACAATGCAATGGGTGTGCTGGAGAACACCTTTGGTTGCTGTGGCGACACCGGCTATACGAACTACGGTAGTATGGGTCTCTCGGTTCCCGGAACCTGCTGCGGCTACTTGGATCGCCAGACCACTTGCAGTGCCCAATCGGGCTACCAATCGAGACCCGGCTGCAGCGAGAAGTTCGAGGAGTTCTGGAACGACAACATGGACATCATTCGCTGGTCCGGTCTGGGCCTCTGCATTTTTGACCTGATCGTCTTCCTGATCGCCGGCGCCCTGACCAATTGTATGCGCACCCAGAACGGTGGGCGACAGGTTTATGCCTAGATTTCGATTGAACAATAAATAAAGTCTAACTTATAAAACCATTTACTTCTAATAAAATACTTTAAAAAACCTTTCCGACTCGGATCAGGAAAAATGTTCGTTAACCGATATTATTTTTGGAGAAAAAACTAATTTTTTTTAGCTGCCTGGGGTTATGGGAAAAATTAAATGACAATCTCCCAGGCCCCAAGACAGGGAGGCATTTATAATAATATAGCCTCGAGCTAAAGACATACAAATTTCTGAAAATGCCAACCTAAATTTATGTTATATATTTTATACAAAAGTCATTTAAAAATGTTGATACTGGGATTAGGGGGGTTTGACTCCCACTCTTATACAAAATGCTCTGACTTGAACTACCACTCTTATACAAAATGCTCTGTAAAAAAGTATGCTACAAAAATGTGTTCTGAAAACCCCGCCCACAACCAAATTCCGTATACGCCATGAAGTGCAAGTGCTATTTAGGGTAATAAAGACCCTAAGCAAACATTTTTTGATTTCAGTTTTTTTTGATCGGTGTTCCTTTTTCGGATTTCTTTTAGACTGTCCTACAATATGTGTGTTTATATGAGGAATTGACATCATCGTACATATTGAAAATTAGATTGTAAATAAGTTTGAACAAAATATTTTCTTTTATTTATTTAGTCATTAATTTACTTTATGTCGTTTTATAGATCGGGAGATAATCTTAATACTATAATAATTGGTGGTTCCACACTAGTAGTTCTGGCGTCTCTGTGAGTTGCGGGTCTGGTTAGACAGGCAACAGGCGAAAATGAAGGCCACAAGCTGAGAAAAGAAGAGTTACCATTAGTATTTCGAGTGTATGTAAGGCTTCAGCTTTAAGTTACCTCAACAGCGGTCACACCTAGACCAGCGTACTTAATGATATTCACGTTGGTGTCCCAGAACGAATCGACGGCCTTTAGGCAACTGGATCGCGTCATAACCTGGGTTAGAGCGCAGGTTCCATTCGAGGGTGAGTCGCAGCAGGAGGCGGGATACGTAATGCCGTAGTCAGCAAAGCCATTCAATCCACAGCACTTGAACTACAATCAGAGAAAAATATTATTGTTATGCAAACCCTATAAATCATCTTCAGTCTAATTCTAAAAAAAACGGATGTTTACACTCGAGAAATAATTAAAATACAAGGCAGCCTTTTAAAAACTAATGTTCATACGTAGAAATATTTCAATTTTGTATGGACCCTTATAATATTTTAAAGTTAGATTCCCGTTTCAACCTTACTTAAAAAAAATTTTCCATAATGTATGTAAAAAATACTCACCGATCGCTGCAGTGTGTCCATGAGAAGGGCATCGGTTTTGCGCTGATCCCAAATGGTTTGGACAATCTTCTCCAGGGATTGCTGTATCTGGACGTGGTCCACCCACACGTAGATTATCAAAGCCAGCTGACTGATCAGCAGTACCAGCATGACAACAGAGTACTAATAAAGAAAGGAAAATTCATTATTCATGTGCTAAAGGGTTTGAGATCTTTGAACCCACCGAGGTCAGAGCACAGGAGTTCTCGCGAATAGCTCCGCAGCATCCCATGAAGGCCACCAAGAAGATGATGCATCCGAGGGCCAGGATGATGATGGCCACGCTGTTGGCTGTGAATGTCTCACCCACACCCGAGAAGTCCTTTATGGTTGACACCATAATGGAACCGAAGGTGATAAGCAAAATACCGCATATCTAAATACAATGGAAAATCAAGAATTAGCCTTGTTAGTCAAAGGTTTCGATAACAGTCATCGTGCTGATGATTCAACCAAATTGAATAACAGCCACCTCCGCCCAAGTTATTGTTCCCGAGCGTACCGGGTACTTCACAAGGAGGGGGGAGATTACTTATAAATAATATGCACAAAATAGATTTACTTAGGAAACCCACTTCTAACTAAGCATTATTAAGTTTTATTATTTTTAAAACATAAATCACGTTAGGCAAAGCCGCATTGACAATAATTGAACCAAAATTATCGGGCTATACTAGTTGAAAGCTTTTGATTTTTGTCCACAACAAATTTCATCACAAATACTATACAGAGAGGGGAATCTCTATCTGTCGTACGATCGTATGTATTACTCATGCTGTTATCTTTTCGGAGTACAATGCGTTTTCCGACAACTGTTTCAGCTCATTAGCCGTAATTACGTTCCCCATTGGCATGCAATGATTTATTTAAAGAATTTTAGGGTTTTTTTTTTAATTTTCTACCCATTTTCTGTGTATTTTTCGATAAGATAACTTTTGAAAGCAGTGTGTATCCAGGGCGGTATGAACGGAAATCTTGAGCCCCAAGAGTTTATTTGTCATTGCTTTGCAGATAAGATATGGCCCGAGCCAATGGATACTATTTTCAAACCGCTCCCGCTGTTGTAACTGAGATCTTTGCATCTCTTGAGAAACTATTCTTACCACAAACAGTATATTGAATATGAAAAGCACATATTTCACAAATACTCCGCCACAATCCATTGCAGAATTATATTGTACTTTGATTGGTTTCAATAGGAAAAATTAATTATTCGATGCGTTTCGTTTCGTAGTCAAGTTGCGACTGAAAAGCATTCGATATAAAACAATTCTTTATGAGTTTCCCAATCGCAAAAAGCTTCGTTAAACTCTCTAAGTCAACAGTTGATAAGGAAAAGCGTTGAAAAACATTTTCCGAAAAGTATGCATCGTTTACTGGAATAAACCTCATTTCAGAAACCGGGGAACTGATACTTATACAATTTTTTACTTTTAAAGGTCTTTGCAAAATTTATAATAATTTTAAAGTATATACTAAATAAAAAACAAATAAAAATCTTTTTTTAATCATAAATATAAATATAACCCGCTTGAAATTCCTTCAAATACGTTTATTTAAGATTTTAAAAATGTTTGAATATTTTTTAGAACCGCAGTTGTAAAATAAAATGGTATTGAATTTATTTTTTACCTCAGCTTAAAAATGGTTTGAGTCAATGGTGAATGTCTATCAAAGTTCCCCACCACGCTTTTCGTGCGTGAGCACGCACAGTTGGCATATTTAGGGTTTATTTCTAGGGTTCCGAAGGCATAAAAGAGCGGTGCACCAACGGCCACACTGATTCAAAAAAAGCAGTTGACTTGAACGGACGCGCATTTCGTGGGAATTAATTTGGCTATAATTTAAAGGCGAAGGTAATGATGCGTGTCCAGATTAATTATATACTGTGTGATTCTCGGAATTAGCTGTCCAAGTGCAAAAATAAATTGGTGGTGATTTCTAAAGACCGGTCTCTTGAGACAGGACGAATACAGCATTAGATGCTGCAGGCCAAGAAAAGGTGGTTGAAGAAGGGCAGAGACGAAAACAAAAGACTGCGTAGTACGAGAAAATAAGTGTGAAAAGCGGAAGAAAAATCGCATGAAAATGAGAGAACAATGTGAGGCTGCTACCGCTGCTTCTTCTTCTCCTCCTTGACAGAGTGCAGTGAACTTTTCCCATTTTCATTTTCCCCACTTGAATCTTGGAGCCCCATTGACGCGGCCTTCGTTGTTTCGTCGTTCTGTTGTAGTGGAAAAGTTGCATTCCGAGTGCGCCTTTTGTGTTGTCATTCCACCTTTGTTGTTGCCCGGGCGACGCATTCGGAAGGACGCCAAAAGGAGCGGCGTGATAATGGATGCTTGGAGAATCCTTATCTCTAGGACCCTATAAAATGTATATTTTTTCCAATGAACTTGTGTATTTCCCGGTATTTAAATTTAAATTAAACATTTAACTGGGCAATTACTTAATTTAAACACCCGTTTCAATAAGCTTTACTCAATTGCGCTCTCTTTCCGCTTCCCCCTTTCCAGACGGTACAGTAAAAAACCAGCATCATGGACTGCGGCACTTCTATGGTCAAATACATCCTCTTCATATTCAACACCATTGTGTCGGTGAGTATTTTGTGTTTATATATCAGGTTTACAACCACCGAACGAACCGAAATCGAAACTTATACAAAACCGGTACAAAAGAGTTGCGTGAAAGCCAAAATGGGACACTGTGTTACGAAAGTGTTGTCGAAACAAGAGTCGATCAATTCGGTTGAATGGCATATGCAATGTGCATATTGATTGTCGGATATATGCACCTATATACTGTGGGATCCCTTGCTAAATTCACGTACTGTAATAATGCCCCTGAGAACAGAGGCGGCGCATTGAAAGTCGAGAACTCGTGCTTTTCTGTTGTTTGCCTCTTTCCTGAGACTCGTTATTGAACTTTGGTGATGTCATCGCCGCTGTCTGTTCAGCTTCCATTTTAGCAACTGGATTTTTAGCTTTCGAGGCGAATTCCCCGGGTTCCGAGAAGTTCACCCTTATATCGATTGCCTCAGAAGCCAAGAATTTCTAAGTCGCTCGTATGTGATGTCTTAAGGCAGCTGTATCCGTTTGCAAATTTCCAACCTTTTCAAAATATTCTTTCCGGGGTAAATTCTTTAGATAAGAACTTCCTCCTATCGCCGATTATACTTTCAATTTTTGCAAAATGTAGAATTTAATTTAAGCTTTGCCAAGTGTTCTGTGCAAAAGATAACACTTCCGAGCCTGAAAAATTACATTTATTAAAATGAATGAATGAATGAAATAGTTCCGCTTAGACGCCAACTTTCGTTTAATTATTTTTATAAATTAAAGCTTTAATTACTGCATGAAAAAAATAATTTAATTCAAATATATTACCTGTAGAAACCGGCTGTTTATATAAATGAAAATGATCTCTCCAAAAGCGATCGTAAACATTTTTCTGGTTGGCTTCTTCAGGCTTCTTTTGTTTGTAATATGAACCTGGTTTTAACTTGATCGGAGTGCGATTTTCAGACTCAGCGTATTTTCGATGTATAATGTTTTGGCGTGAATTCACTCACACCCACACACATTTTAGCCTTGTCAGGCCAAAAACCCTGTAAACTGTGCTTAAAATAATAAAGCAAATACTCATCGTAAAATTTTGAATACTTAGCATTCGTTAAGGCGCCTGCAAATAAACGAAATGTGAGTCACAAAAGTCACGGCGACAAACCGAAAGCGAAACGAATTATAAATATAAAAGTAATATATATAGGTATATGCGGTCAAAATGTTATCAACTAAGTCAACAATGCTCAGGGATTCCCAGCAAAAATATAGAATTTTATAAAAAACTTTAGATTAAAATAATAAAAATTTTTCTATTGCTTCATTTGTTTAAAAAATAATTATTTAAATGATTGTAAAGTTAGATTGATTAAAGTTAGGCCTTTTATTGTGGCATTAAACCCCACAAATTCAAATAAATTTTCGGTTAATTTCTGTAATTTATGGACAGTCTTCAGGTTCAGGGCTTTTGATTTTCCCGCATCTGTGGGCCCAAACATACCTGCACATAAGTAGGTAAATGAGCAGAAAGCCACAAAAGAAGGAACGAAAATAAAAACTTGTTGCTCTAGAGAAGAGCGATAAAACAAAAGCAACAAATAAACAACTGGCTGCTCGGAGCAGAAGTTTCGGTATACATAGTCTACACTTACAGTGCGCCGTGTTGATATTTATCTGCTTCGCTGGGGTATATAACCGAGTACATAACACACTTGACAGACAAGCCAAATAAATTAACAAGCCGCTTTTAGAGCTCGCCGAGCACCGCCACATACATTCAAAAGTAAAAAAGCTGCCGCAACGCTCGAAAAAACAGCAGCAACAAAAACAAAAACAAAAGCAGAACAACAATTTGCAGTTTGACAATAAAAAAGGGGAAAAACAAGTAGAATACAGTCAGAATGAAACACTAGCTTTTGAAAAATTAAATTATTATGATAAAAAAAGGGTTCCTAATCACAATAAGGGCCGTTTTCTCGTCCGTTGGTTAAATTTAAAGTAGAGTTAAAGCCTTGAAATCGTATGGTAAACAAGTTCTCTAAATTTTTTATTTAAATTATTATTTTGGTGGTAATAGTTGTACACTATATATTTTATTTTTCTTTATGAGATCAATACTCCAGTTTGAGTGATTGCTTTTTCTCAGTGACTCAGTCATGTTAGAACAATTCGTTCGAATTTCGCAAGCCATGTGACAAACCAGTATTACTATAATAAGCGCAACAGGTCTGCCCCAGGTGCTTGCTGTTAAAAGGGCGTGCAGTGCCGCCCATGAATGTAAGGCCATCGGCTATTGAATGACCTGCATTCAGCTTAGCGATAGCCATTTCCTGTGCTATGAATTACTGAGCAAACAACTTCAGGAGTAAATATTTACATATCCGTTTAGCGAAAGCAAAACTCGGTATTGAGCGAATCACAGGGAAAATTTTTCCGATGACGTGTCAGTTATTCAATTGTTGAGTAAATGTTGGTATTAAACACCCTACTGATTTGGGGTGTGGATTAATTTACTTTGCTTTAAAATGATATTGAGTAGGAACAACGATTTTTTATTTGAATCCTCTGCTATACAAATAGTAGATAAGCCAAAGTACTTATTGATTTTAGGGTTGCGTTTTATAGCATTCATATCGATCCATCGATCTAGCAAGCAATACATCCTCAGATTTTGGTGACTTTACTTTTTTTATTTTATTAATTAAATATGAATAAAGCCAATAGTTTATTTAAAAATTACCTAGAAATTTATATACACTACGAGTAAGGATAGAATCAGGGAACGTTATTTTATTTTTGGACTCATCTATTGTTATTCCTGGGATTTTTCTACAATTTAACTGAATATAACAAGATTATTTATCACCGGAAAAACGAAAAACCTGCACTACAATTCGCTTTAATTATTTTCATCACTACTAGCGTCGGTCGGCTTGTCAGATATATATTGCGTTGCATGTCTACGCCAATTAAAAAATACACTTTAATCTTACAATTACATATTCCCAACACGCATTTGTCCTGTTGCTCATCGGGTAATTTCCGAATTTTTTTGCCTCCTGGCAACTCAACTTTGCTTCACTTGTTCGCTTTGAAGATGCAGGCATTTTGGCGCCACACAAAGCCATTCACAGCTTTGGGTGTGGTTCGCCGTCACAATAAATATATATCTATCAGTTTATTATGGTACGCAAACATTCCCAACTTGTTTTCATCTCCTTTGAGGGTTGTTTTCCTGCTTAATTTTGCCTTTTTTTTTTGGTCGGCAATATGATCTCAGACCCTTACTTCGGGCTTTCTGGAATTTGCAAAACCCATTTGCATTATTTTTCCATTTCAGTGTGACGTCACTGAAGCTGCCGTTGACAGTTTTAAGCGAAACGTGGCCGACAGCATATTTATGCTGGCCATATTTATGTGGATTGTGTAATGTCCTCGTTAGCAGAAATCGGGCTAGCATAAGTAAAAGCTGAAGAGGAAAAGTTGAGAGCAGCTGCAAACGGGTTTTTAAAAACGAAAACTGTTGTTTTTCTACGGCATTTTGTTTATTAGTGCCGGCAAAGTGGAACAATTAGCAGAGTGGCGAGGCTTTGCTTTCCATTGTTTTGGATTTTTCAATATTTTTGGGTCAATTTTGACACGAAATCAAATCCAGCTGGCGCCGCCCACGAACATATTCAAAGCTCTTCGCGCACAGCCACTCGAATTCTAAATCTGTGGAGCTAAAGCCAGCCCACATGTCCCACGAATATATAGATGCATATACAGTTAGCGCGATCATCATGTACACATAATGAAATCAAGCGAATTCAATTGATGACCGCGCAGCAATTGGGGCTACAAAGATCAAAGTTGACTCGCATTGTCTGGGCAGCTTGCAAACCTCGCTATAAAATCAAAAAAAAAAATTACAATGCACTGCAGGCCTCGTCGAGATTTTTGTGCGGCATTGTCATGTGTGAATGTGAATGTCATGGGATGCGGCTCATCTTGGGCTGGCCTTATCTAATCAGATTCAGAAGGCCTTGTTTGGCTAGCAAATATTCTTGGCCCAATACAGCGTCGTGGTGTTGGCCAACTAGTTGGGAATTACGTAACTGACTTCTTTTAATTATCATTAACCATGCGCCGCTGATGGCGTGCCTGGGCCTGACTTGGAGTCCCTGAGGTCAGCCAGAAGGTTCTGCGGTAATTAAGTCTTTTTAGCATGGTAATTGTGAAAGCTATTCTACTCCGGCACTTTCAATTAAAATAAACGAGAGCAGGCTGATTAATTTGAACTATATTTAGAGTTGTTCGTCGAAAGTGCAATTGCAGTATGTATCTTATGTATCTGTTACGCCTTGCTTTTAAGCTATTTTTTGAGACATAAAGAGCTCTCTTATCAAAATAATTATTTACCTTAAACTAAACAGATCCGTTGCGTCTTTCCCCCTCACAGGTCATCGGTATTTTGGGCATCGTTTATGGCGTGCTGATTCTGAAGAGCATCGGAACAATCGAGGTCAATGGACAGGTGGGCTTCCCCCCACAGGCTCTTATGCCGATCGTTCTGATCAGTTTGGGCTCGATCGTGGTATTCATCTCGTTCCTGGGATGCTGCGGCGCGATTCGGGAATCTGTCTGCATGACCATGAGCTATGCCGTCTTCTTGCTGATCCTGCTGATCCTGCAGCTGACCCTCGTCGTGCTGCTGTTCACCAACAAGGATAAGTTTGAAGACGCCATGGGCAACGTCATCGAGAATGCCTGGAAGTCTGACACCGCCCAGGAGGGAGGTGTGTTCGATGCCATCCAGAAATCGGTAAGTACTGCAAATATAACAAGGCTCTTAATATATTTCTGACCTATTCTGACTTGATGTTATAGTTGCACTGCTGCGGATCAAGCTCTGCCCTGGACTACCTTGCCAAGGGACAAACTATGCCCCCCAGTTGCTGCAGTGGCTCTTGCCTGAACCCGATCAACTACTACGGAGGATGCCGTGGAAAGTTCGTCGACTTGATGTCCGCTGGCTCTGATAACGCCAGATATGTGGGCATCGGCCTTATTGCCGTGGAGGTAAGAATTACAGCCTTAAACAGATATGTTAATTTATTAATGCTTAACTCTTTCTGTACATTTAATAGCTGATCGGCTTCATCTTCGCCTGCTGCCTGGCCAACAATGTGCGCAACTACAAGCGCCGGAACGCCTACTAAGGGCTAGATGCACCCATCAACCACATCGAGAGGCACACCCGCATCCAGTAGCACACACTCCTCACATTCTCATTAACTTTTGCAGTCGTCGAACGCACTTACACAAAGGGATAAACAATAATAACTTCAAATAGCCCATTCACTTGGATATTTGTCAAGGAAAGAACGAGAAAAAGCTTAGTTTAAGGCGATATGAAACGCTTACATTTTTTATATCCTATGTATTATTGGTATAATTCGTTTTTTACCTACCAAACGAACCGAGCTAACAAAGCAATTCCAAAGCCTTTGTACAAACGTTTTACTTGTTAAACCGAAACCCCAAAAATTAACTAAATAAACACGTTAATAATAATACCTTTGTTTACAACTAAGCATATAATCTATAAACTGTTGAAAAGCCCCAAGCAAAAGGAAATATATATATTTATCATAAACATATATACTCGTATATGTGACCACTGTTCATTCTATTCATACGCGTCGTGAGAATCTCCGGGTAAGATTTAAATTTGGAAAATGCATCAAACAAAGCGAGCTCGAATTGCAAAACAAAATGTATGAATAAAGCATTTACTATGTATTTATATACCAAAAAAGTTGTGTTTGTGTATTCGTCGAGGGGTTCAGTGTGGAACTCAACCCTATAATTACTTCGTCGGCTTCGGTTTGGTTATTGTTTTGTCCTCAAGTTACCATGGTAGCGACCTAATAGTCTTTTGGCTCTGCCCACTAAGCGATATTTGTTAACTGAAATTATTTTATATGCATTTCTGAAATTTGTATACACCTGCTGTCCTGTAACACTCCCTTGATTAGATAATTCGACCCATTAGGATTGCTATATTTCTTATTAATTGAGGATACATTAATTTGCTGGTTTTTCTCTTGAATTACTACAATACCAACATAGTTCAGTTCACTCAAAATAACAGACATGTGCTGCTTACTAGAACATATTTTCAAAATTTTGGTCATCGTCACCGGAATAGTTCTGAATTGTATTGTTACATTTTTTGCACTAACTAACTTCGGCGAAATTATACATGGAACCAACGGTGGTAATATGGCAAAGATTTTAGTTGTATGAGAAATTCATTTTAAACAATTTGGCTTAGTACTTATTTCAAATGTGGAACATTGCTATGTGGTCTGGACTTTTCATAGCTATTGCGGAACTTTAATGATCGTAGTCAAGATTAAGGTTTGAATTGACGTCTACTTTTGTATATCTCTAAGCCTTGACCCTTTTTTGATAGGATCTCTGTTATCTACATTGGTGGCTTTTGATGACGTTGATCTATATATTAGCTGGTCTCATTCTTCATTTGGTTATATTGGACTACCACAGAGTCGACTTTGGTACCACTGAAAAGATCCAAAACTACTTCGGTCTGGGTATTTAAATCAGATAAGGTGGTATAATTTTTCGTTTAATCTTATAATATGTATTCTTTCTAGGGTTTATGTTAATTAGCTTAGTTACAGTCACTGCCTATACTAGATCCATAAGGCCACCTGAAGATACGTACGTTATTGAAACCGAAGGCGAAGGAGAAGACAATTTAACTGTAAATGTACACTAAAATAAAATCACTCAAAAATGTATTTATTTATCTATTTATCAATAATTAATTTAATTTGTGAGCGATGAAAACATAATAATATAGCAAAAGAACTAAAATACTACAAATACAATTCTTAAACTTTTTTTATTTATTCCGTTTTTAAGTAGTTTTTTAGGTTTATCTAATTTTGGAAAATTCTCTCATGTTCTGTTTCTAAATCAAAAAAAGTACGATTTTTTAAAAATAATATTAATGATACATGCCCATTATTTGATTATAAGCATAAGTATACAAACTGGTTAAAAAGTGAAAATTAAGTAAAAGTCCAAGGTAATGTAATCGTATAATTTTGTAAAATGTAATAAGCCTAAAAGCCTAAGCTTACACTCAAAATAAAATTAACCCTAAAGTCAAGGAAATCGCCCTACTTTTGTCTTCAAGACAAGCTCGCCCTAAATTTTAGGGTCACATTTTTCTATATTTTTGATTTTTTTTGACGTCATATTTCTAAATTTTAGGGTAATTTTACTAAATTTAAGGGCAAAAATTTCTAAAAAGTAGGAAATTTTCCTAAAAAAAAGAAATTAAAAACCAAACAAAAAACATGTTCAATCATGATTTTTATTTGTATATACGTTTATATTATGTACTCCTCCCTATATACATATGCAGGCGTTGTGTGTCTTGTATATTGTGAATGTTAAAGGTTATGTATTTATTATTATGTATTTTCGCTTGGATTTCTTATCTAACCAAAGCCAAATGTTGTTGTAAATGTGGACTACGGGACTGCGGAAGATTGGGAATGTAGAAATTATGATTAGTTAATATTTTATCTTCATGAAAAAAAAACTTACATTTTTACTTGTCCGTCGGTGAGAATCGAGCCCGGGTCTCCCGCGCGAGGAGTAAACGGCTTACATACTGGGCCATTGTAGCACTTAAATTTGCTGTGGCAAACCGAGCATTGTATGTAAAGGGTCAAGCGGAGAATACATTTGAATACTAATTGCATAATTTTGACCATTCGCGTTTTACTTATTTACATACATACATATATACTTATGTATATATTTATGCTATCGCAATTCATATTATGTGTACACTCATAGAAATTTTTACCCTAAATCGCCCTAAAAAACTGACTTTTCGCCCGTGGATTTAGAAAATCGCCCATAAATCGTATCCGCTGGCGATTCGCCCGTGTATTTAGAAAAATTTTCTAAAAAATCCCGATGGAAATTTGGTTTAATTTAGGGTGATTTTTCTTGAAATAAGAAATATTTTCCTGTTTTTAGGGTAATTTGCCCTAATTTTAAGGTGTATTTTTCTAAAATTAAGGGCGAATTTTCTGTTTTTATAGGCGAATGCCCTAAAAAATTAGACAAATTAAAAAAAATCGTGTTTGAGCATGCTTAACTGAATTTGGGAAGCATGTTTTTTTTTAATCGTCTATATTCTGGGAGCTGGGACTGCTTTAATTAAACAACACCGGCGGAGGACACCGTTGCATATTATTGTATTGGTGTGTAGCTTATATGGGAGCCGCGTTAAGAGGGGGCCCGATCTATACAGCACAGCCGTTAGAACTGAAAAATCATGTTTGTAAATGAATTAGGGAAATAAATATGAGGAGAAAAAACCACTTACTTTTTTTGGTCATTGCGAGAATCGAACCCACGACCTCTCGGTTTAGAGTCTAACGTCCTACCGCTGCACCACAGACCCCTCGCGCAAGACGACGAACAAACTCTGCACACATCTTATTTTCTTGAGCTCTACGTTATAATATGACTAAAGGCAACTAAACCGTATATTTTTTTCCTGACGACTGTGACAATTAGTCCCGTTTTCTTGCCCGCAAACACAAAGTATGCTTTTAACTCAGAACTCCCATACGTTTTTAAGGTTTAAAGACTACTTTAATTTAAAATTCGGACGAAAAAATGTCCTCAGTATTATAATGTTTACAAAAAAAAAAAAAAATAAATAAAAATCAAGTTGAATCACACAGGGTTCGAACCCACAACCCCACGACCTTAGTCCTCACATAGCAAAGTTGAAAGCGCAAGTGATTAGACCGCTGGGCTACCGAATTTCACACTTTTGGAGTGATTTTTAAGGCAAATCGCCCTTGTATTTAGAAAAATTTTAGAAAAAAAATTAGGGCAATTCGCCGTTGGATTTAGAAAAGGTCAAAACGAAGCAAATCGAAAAAAATCGCCCTAAATATTAGAAAAATAGAAAAATTAACCCTAAAAATATTTTTTATGGTCACCTGCCTTAAATTTATGGCAAATTTGTCGTAAAAATAGAAAATTTTTCTCAGTTCAAAGGCGAAAAATTTTTTAGGGCGATTTTCTAAAATGTAGAAAATTATTTTTATGAGTGACTCATAGAAATTTTTACCCTAAATCGCCCTAAAAAACTGACTTTTCGCCCGTGGATTTAGAAAATCGCCCATAAATCGTATCCGCTGGCGATTCGCCCGTGTATTTAGAAAAATTTTCTAAAAAATCCCGATGGAAATTTGGTTTAATTTAGGGTGATTTTTCTTGAAATAAGAAATATTTTCCTGTTTTTAGGGTGATTTGCCCTAATTTTAAGGAGTATTTTTCTAAAATTAAGGGCGAATTTTCTGATTTTATAGGCAAATGCCCTAAAAATTAGACAAATTAAAAAAAATCGTGTTTGAGCATGCTTAACTGAATTTGGGAAGCATGTTTTTTTTTTAATCGTCTATATTCTGGGACTGCTGCTTTAATTAAACAACACCGGCGGAGGACACCGTTTCATATTATTGTATTGGTGTGTAGCTTATATGGGAGCTGCGTTAAGAGGGGGCCCGATCTATACAACACAGCCGTTAGAACTGAAAAATCATGTTTGTAAACGAATTAGGGAAATAAATATGAGGAGAAAAAACAACTTACTTTTTTTGGTCGTTGCGAGAATCGAACCCACGACCTCTCGGTTTAGAGTCTAACGTCCTACCGCTGCACCACAGACCCATCGCGCAAGACAACGAACAAACTCTGCAGACATCTTATTTTCTTGAGGTCTACGTTATATTTTGACTAAAGGCAACTAAACCGTATATTTTTTTCCTGACGACTGTGACAATTAGTCCCGTTTTCTTGCCAGCAAACACAAAGATGCTTTTAACTCAGAACTCCCATACGTTTTTAAGGTTTAAAGACTACTTTAATTTAAAAGTCGGACGAAAAAATGTCCTTAGTATTATAACGTTTACAAAAAAAAAAATAAATAAAAATCAAGTTGAATCACACAGGGTTCGAACCCACAACCGCACGACCTTAGTCCTCATATAGCAAAGTTGAAAGCGCAAGTGATTAGACCGCTGGGCTACCGAATCTCACACTTTTGGAGTGATTTTTAAGGCGAATCGCCCTTGTATTTAGACAAATTTTAGAAAAAAATTAGGGCAATTCGCCGTTGGATTTAGAAAAGGTCAAATCGAAGCAAATCGAAAAAATCGCCCTAATTATTAGAAAAATAGAAAAATTAACCCTAAAAATATTTTTTTATGGTCACCTGCCTTGAATTTATGGCAAAATTGTCGTGAAAATAGAAAATTTTTCTCAGTTCAAGGGCGAAAATTTTTTTAGGGCAATTTTCTAAAATGTAGAAAATTATTTTTATGAGTGTATATAAAAATCTGTAGCTAGGTAAGGTAAAAGGTACTCAATTATTTGTATACCTAGGTAAGGTAAAAGGTACCACTAAATTGTACCTAGGTACATACCTAGGTAAAAGTATCTAGGTATGTCCCAACACTGCACAAAATTCAATACTCAGGGAGCGTTAATTGTTCGAGCTGGCAAAAGTGGCTATTTTCGTATAAAAATAACTTTTAAACGTGACTTTTTACAGTAATGTGCTATGTACCAAAATTTAAGTAATCTCAAGGGCTATACAGTTTAAAGTTTTAAAGAAAATCGTTAGAGCCGTTTTTGAGAAAAATAAAAAAAAGCTAAAAAAAAGTTTTAAAAAATTGTCTTTTGTTCATATTTTTTTAACTATTACTTTTACACAAATTACATATAAGTGGCGTTTATAGCATTTAAAAATACCTTTCAAACGAGATGCAGCACAAGTCTGTAGCTTTAGTAGTATAGAAGTTACGGCTTTCCTAATTTTAGCTATTTATAGCTGTTTTCCCGCTAAACTAGCGAGTTTTTCCAAAAGTGGTAGAACAAAAGTTTTTTATATCGATGTGATGAACGTCATATAAAATTTTCAAAACTTAAAAAACATGTTTTGGACACACAGACAAACTGACAAACAGAATTAAATTTTCATTTTGGGAAGAAGAAAATCTTAGTTTGGCTATAACTTTTGAACGGAGCGACGTATCATTCGACGGGTATTTTTAATAGGAAAACAACTAAAACATTGCGAGGGGGCATTTATCCCCACCGGCCCCAACAGCTTAAAATTTCGAAATTTTTACTTTTACACTTTTACCGCTCTCTTCCCCAAGCCAATTGATTTTCTTAAAGTCTTGGTATGCAATCCTGTTAGTTTTCGCAATACCTTTCGATAGGTGTATCATTCATTATGATCGGACCATCACAGTAGATTTTCATTTTTTCGTGTATATATACATAGTAGTCGCCTTCGCACACTCTCCTGGTGCGCTTCGTCACTACATGGACTGCCGTCCATAGTGATAGCTAAATATAAACGAAATTATTTTCGGTTTACCGCTTGCCATCAATAAAAAAAGGAATAAAAAAAAGAGTAAAATAACAAAATAAAAAAAACTTAAAAAAAAAATAAAAAAACTTAAAAAAAAGGTAAAAAATAGTTTGCTGGGACTCGAACCAGGGTCGATTCGATTTCTAACCAAGCGCTTTAACCGTCTGCGCTACAAGTACAGCCGCCCGGCAGCTGACAAGTTCTGGCATTGAACATTTTGGTGTGCCAGAGCATGTGAAAACAAATATTTCTATTTTTTCGAAAAACTTTCTACTTTTTAGAAAATGTTTCTATTATTTAGGGTTAGCTTAATTTTAGGGTTAGGGCACTCATTTTTAGAAAAAGTGTTGCCAAAATATTTTATTATTTTCGTTTGCCTTTCTATTTTTGAGAAAATTATTTCTAATTTTAAGGGCATTTTTTCTAGATTTTAGGGTGATTTTAGTTCATGGTAACCATTTTCTACATTTAAGAAATACTTCCTGGATATAAGTAAAACTTTCTTGACTTAAGAAAAATGTCCTTAGATTTAGAAATAACTTTCTTGTATTTAGAAAAAAGAAATTTTAATGGCGATTTTCTAAAATTTAGGGTTAAATTTATTTTGAGTGTATGCAATAAGCTTATCTAAATTAATATTAATTGTGTCGTATTGGTGCATTGCGCCCTTTGGAGACTATTTCCCCAAGTCTGCACTATTTGGTCAGTCCATTGCTGGCCTTTCCACTGCGATGCCGAAAGTACTAAAGTTCCTGGCAATAGGATCGTACTGTATACTAACACCAACTTTATTTGCCATTTTGGTGCCTTGTGTCGTCCATAGCATTAGGTTTTGTAAGTCATTCGTATTGCTTTACTTTTAAAATTTTTTTAATACATTATATATTACAGCTTCTTGGGAGAAGTGTGAAAATTATCCTTTTGAGACTAATTTGATAATGGCGGCATTCACCGGCGCCAGCGGAGTGCTTTGGGTGACTGGGAATCCCAGGGTAGAATACTTAGAATACGTGTTGAAATATTATGTTTATAAAGTCATATAATATTCTAATACTATTTTCTTCAGGAATACCACTTTCTCTACAACTGGTTACTTGTCATCGCTGAGTTAATAGTGCTCGAGTTTCTCTATATTGCCTATGCCCATATTTTATTAGAAGCGAAAGTGTGGCAATGGCATCTTTTACTCTTTGGTAAGCTGAAGAGACGAAAGGTCGGATTAATATACTCATGTTATCTGTCTTTTCAAGGTTTCCAAATCTTCAGCTTTATTTTGGTTCTGTTACACGTGCTGGCATCTAAGAAGATTATAAACAAACGCTTGTTCGGAAACCTTTTGAATTTGGTGCATGATAAATAAGAAAATTTATTAATTAAGGAGTCACTCTTAGAATAAAAGATGTATAAATCATATTTTATTTAGAATTGTTAAATAACTAGTAAAGAAGGTGTGTTAAAATGCCATGCTAAGTCTTACAAAAAAAAAAACATCTCTGATTCACAAAAAATAAAAAACTAAAAGCTTTTATAAGTATCATGTCTGCACAAAACCCAATTTTCAATATAAAACATTTTTTTTTAGACTGTCTTCAGTTCTCCATACATGCTGCAATTTGAAAAGAATCATTTATAAAATATTCTCGATATTCTACTTAACGTTTTTGAACTTGATGAGTTCATTTTTCTGACCGTAATTAACTTTACTAATTATTATTAATCATAAACGATTTGCACCAATATATAATAATTACGAAATTTAGTCAAGCAACGCATTTGCTCTCTATTTTGGTTAGTAGGACCTATTGTACGGGATACGACACATCTAATCGGAATTATTAAAATGTGCAAGCCAATTTTTAAGGGTGTAGCATTGTTTTTATTTTTCATACTTGGTTTGTCTTCAATTTATTTTTCTTTTGCTTATATTGGTACATATTATTTTGATCCGGAGTTCTTTAACAAATATTACAAAGATTACGATTATTTGCAAACCCTGAAGAGTTCATCATATATTCTAGGCGCCATAGGAGTTTTATTGAATTGCCTAAAACTTAAAGTTGGTAAACAGGAAACTTGTTGTCTATCTTTAATAATTTTGTTTCTTAACAGGTTAAAATTATTCTTTGTATCTGGATTATAATTTTTGTTTTGTTGGAGGTCCAAGTATTCTTCTTAATCCTTCATGAAACCGCACAAAAACGTGATGCTGTTACAATTCTCAATTTTCTTCACATCTGTGGGTATTATGGTACATTTTCTTAATTCAAAAACTATTATTATTACTATATTTTCCTAGGTTTCGCCTTATATGCTATTGTTTCCGTTTACGGAAGCTGCCGAAACCTAAAATATTTCCCTACCAACGAAGTTTCCTGTCAGTTAGAACTTGGGGATCCATTTAAACCAGACTCAGTTGGAAATAAACCTCAGATCAATACGAGTTCAAACCATTTTTAGAAAAATAATACGATTACCCACTAACTCTTTTTGAGCATAAATTAATCACATAACAAGAGAGAACGCTATAGTCGGGTTGGTGTCGACTATCTAATACCTGTCACTCAGCTAAAGGGAGTGCGAGGGAGATGGATATATAACATTTTTTTGATTGCACATAACTTTTTAATGAATTAGCCGATTTGAAAAATGTCTTCTACATTTCGATAGGTATAAATATACACCACAAAATTGCATGTATACTTCTCGAAAACGCTTTCTTCTCCCTGTTACATACTTTTGCAAGAATACAATATACCCTTTCACTCTACGAGTAACGGGTATAAAAATACAATGTGTAATAAAACTGCTCGTGTTGAACAACAATTTTGGGGATTGATTTTAAAAGATTTTATTCAGCGTTTGTAAACATAAAACTAATATATTTCCATGACCCTCAAGAATAAATATAAATCCATAGTCCTATAATATTGACTTAACGATTACCTTTTATTTGTGGTAAATAAATTTGGTTTTAATAGAATATATTTATTACTGAGCTCCAAGAAGAACATCAGGAAACTTATGATAATTCCCCCCAAAAATCCCAACCATACAACGTAAAAATCATTCCCTTTAAAATTCTTTTATTTACAATTGTTAAAATAACTGATAAAGAAAGTTCGCTTAGGCGCTTTACAAAAAACATTACTATTATATGCTTAAAAGTACTGAAAGAACACATCCCTGATACAGAGAAAAATAAAAAATACTTTTTTACTTATACTTAAAGCCTTTAAAAGTTTTATTGTTTGCACGAAATTCTGTAAAAAATTTTTTTTAGGAAAACTTTAGTTTGAAAAGAATCATTTTAAAAATATTCTTGATTTTCTATTTAACGTGTTTGTACTCTTTGAGTTCGTTTTTCTGAGTGTAATAGACTCAACTAATTATTTCGAATCATAAACGACTTGTACCAATGTATAATAATTATGGAGTTTAGTCAAGCAAGGCAGTTGCTCACTATTTTGGTTAGTAGGACTTTTGGTACGGCTTGCTACACATCCGATCGGAAATATTGAAATGTGCAAGCCAATTTGTCTGGGTTTAGCATTGTTTTCATTTTTCGCATTTGGTTTGTCTTCATTTTTATTTTGTTTTATTTATATTGGTACATATTATTTTGATCCGGAGGTATTTTACCAAAATTTTAATGATTTCGATTACTTGCATACTTTTGAAGTCACAACATTTCTTCTAGCCGCCATTGGATTATTTTTGAATTACGTTAAATTCAAAGTTGGTAAACAGGAAACATTTTGGCTTTCTTTAATTATTTTGTTTTTTTAACAGGTTAAAATTATTCTCTGTATGTGGATTATAATTTTTGTTTCATTGGAGATCCAAGTATTCTTCTTAATCCTTCGTAAAACCGCACAAAAACGTGATGCTTCTTCAATTCGCCATTTTCTTCACATCTGTAAGTATATGTAAATTTTCTTGGTTCTAAAACAATTATTTACTCCGGATTCCTAGTTTTCGCCTTATATGCTGTTGTTTCAGTTTACGGGAGCTGCAGAGACCTAAAATATTGCCCTACCAACGAAGTCTCTTCTCAGTTAGAACGTGGGGATCCATTTCAACCAGACACAGTTAGAATTAAACCTCAGATAATTTTAGAAAATCAATAAGCCTTTTTGGGCGTAAATTAAAACCAATAAAAATACAAAGTGTAATAAAACTGGTCGTGTTGAACGACATTTTTGCATCTTGCTTTCCAAAGACTTTTCAATAGATAATAGCTTTGAATATTGAGCGTTTATTCATTCAATTAATTAATATAAATCGATAAGATTGTATATTACACAGAACGATTATCTTTTATTTGTGGTTTATAAATTGGTAATGGGACTTAGGAGATATATATTTTTTTAAGACCAATTAGTTTGGTGCTCTCTTCGAATGCCACCTGTAGTAACTGAGCTCCAAGAGAAACATCAGGAAACTTGTCATAATTCCACCCAAAAAGCCGAACAATACAAAGTAAAAGTCCTGATACTTGAGATCACAATACACCTCAAAAGTATCTTTTTTATAAGAGATCTTTGGGAGGCCCACTAGTTCGTTGAAGTTACGCCTGAACCAATGCGAATATAGTCCGCTATCAATACGTGTATCGCAGAATGGAATCGCAGAATCCGTCAGTAAAGCAAAAATATATATAAAATCTATGAAAACTGAAATGTCAAAGTTTTTAATTGGAAATGCTTTTCTAAAACCATATGCAAAAAATCACAATCGCTTTAAACCAGGGGTGCTCAAAACTGCCTTATGGCAGTGCAGTTACAAACACCATTAAAGGAAAAACACACGCACGCTAGTAACAAGTCACACACAGTCATGAAAAAGACAACAACACTTTGCATTGTGAGTTGAGGAGAAAAAAAAACTTCAATGGAATTTGTTGTTGGCTTGGCTCGCTCATATCTATTAAGGACAGCGACATGAAGAGGACTTGGGGTGTGCATAGGCAAGCATTGCGAGTGCACTGCCGTATGCTTAGTGCTATTACAAAAACAATTGTGCTCGTGTGCCATAGGAATGAGCACCCCTGCTTTAAACGACCATTACAAAGTATGGCGCGAGTTCAAGCGACTATCTGATTTGCTGCTTCATCTTTCTCACACTTTTTAAGCTCAGTAGCGGGTATCGAGACACTATAGACGCTATAGCATTTTCTCTTGTTCTAAGTGTAATGCACTTATTTATACCGAATCGTAAGTAATTTCCATTAATGTATAATAATTACAACATTTATTAAAGCATATGGTCACTAAAACGTTACTTTTTGTTGGTTAGTAGGACTTTTCTGCGCGATCCGACAAATTGGAACGGAATATTTTCAAATGTGCAAACAAATTTGCTTGGGCCTAGCATTGTTTTTATTTTTAATAAGTGGTTTAACTTCTATTTTTTTTACATCCTGTTATATTTGGGCCCTTTTTTTCGATCCCGAGTTCTTTTTCCAAAACGATGAAAAAACCCAAATGTTGTTTGTCCTGGAATTCTTATCATTTGCTTTTGCCGGGACTGGACTATGTTTAAATTTCCTTAAATTCAAAGTTGGTAAATAGAAAATAATTTAGGTATCTTCTAAGATTTTGTTTCTTAACAGGTTAAAATTCTTCTATGTATCTGGATTATAGTATTTGTTTTATTAGAGCTCGAAGTATTCTTCCTTATATTTTGTGAAACTGCTCAAAAATTGGATGATAGTTCATTTGTCCACTTAATTTACATCTGTGAGTATACATAAATTTTCTTAAATGAAAAACAATTATTACTTCTCTGTTTTTCCAGGTTTCGTCATATTTGCCCTTGTGTTAGTTTACGGGAACTGCAGACATCTCAAATATTGCCCTTCCAAAGAAGTTTCTGTTCAGTTAGAACGTGGAGATGAAAATAGTTAGATAAAGCTCGGCAGTTTACAATATTAACTTGCTGCAACAGATTTATTATTTATAAATAAATAATTCACATCTCAGAAGCTTGTAGACATCATGGGTAATAATTCAACTGTCGCGGTGTGGGCGATATATTTATTCGTTATTTTCGGAATTTTTCGAAAATGTTAGTTTGAGGAAAGTGTTTTCTATAATGTATTTGCATTTTCGTGCAAAGTCAATATATTAACCAAATATGTTTTAAGAACTGAATTCAAGTGCTTCCTTATAAAAACCTAATAGTTCCGCTATTAACTTAAGTAAGGGCAATAAGATGTAATTATTGCCACCAAGTAATTTGTGAATGACCAGAATATTTGGCTTCGAACTCTTTTAGCCCTTCACAATTCCGCGCGATGTGCCCTGGTTTGGTGATCATTTTGCACATTGCATTTGTAGTTTGTAATGTGTGCATGGTGGGTGTTTTTTGTTAAATATGTTGAAATATTCTAATTAAATTATTTCAGATTTTATCACTATTTTTTTCGGACTTTAGTAATATAATTGCTGAAGGTAGTATTACGATTTTTATAAGCCTCTTTAGTAAATTTGCTGTTTTAGCCTGTCTAGATCAGTGGGCGCTCCTCGGAATTTTTCAACTGTGCAATTCTGTTTATGGTCTCGTTCTGGTTTGTGCTAAATCTCAGGTTGGTTAACATTGTATACAATTCAAAAATATAACCACTAAACCTTTTTTAATTTTACAATTTAGTTTAAGCTTATAATATTTTTTTGGGGTTTCGTATCTATTTGGGTAAACACCATTTATGTTGTTTGGACTTTGGGATATTGCCAAATAGATAGTTCTGAGTTTGGTGCCATCGAAGCCATTTCTTCCGTTTATTTGGAGGGTAAATATTATTATTTTTTATATTGAAAAACTCTTAGTGAATGAAAAAAATATATGTAAATAATTTTGTAAAGCTTTCAGCATATGCACATTATATGTTGTTTTTACGTATTATCGTGAATTTGTGGTAAGTTCATATTTGTGAATACGGGCATTTAATATCTATTTTTTAAAAAAATTCGCTGTAGAGCTGTTCATTATTTATAAAATTAATTATCCAAACTATTTCCTAAGCAAAACAATTGAAACACTGTAGTGTATTTTGGAGAAAGTAAAACTGGGAACGTCACCCCCTCTTTGCAGTCTGGCAACTGCGACCTCTCTAAAGCTTTTCCGTTGAGCTTTGGAGAACAGCCGGCCGTCGCGTCCGCTCAGTCAGATTATAGACGACGGAGAAAACGCTTCTGATCCGAAGGTAGGGCCGCTAATAAGACGTTCAACCCGCCTCGGGAAAGTGCCTTCGACGATTTCCCACCCAGCATTGGTGATTGGTGTCAACGTCACACGTTGTAAGGTGGAGGAAAAGTGACTAAAAACACCGATCTTCCAGAGAATATCGTAAAAGCACTGAGACCCCCAGAGAGCGTCATCAGTGATCTCACTGAACGAATCTTTCAAAGAGTAGACGATTATTAAAAACAAGTTTTGCGGCAGCTTGCTCTGACTTTCAGGCGGCTCTCCAGGAATTCAAGGCATCCAGATCCAGACCACAGGGAATCCGAGGAGCATACTCCGCCATGGCCTCCACATCGAGTGTGAAGCTGATTGTTTACGCCCTGGACGTACTTTGCACAGTGAGTAACTTTCGCTAGTTTCCCGCCCACCTTCAAGATAGCCCACTCCAGCGATTACGTCAATTAGGCGTTGTAAACAAAAATATGGTACAATGACCACTTGAGCCGATTTCACAATGATCTCAAACAAAGGGAGACAAGTAAAAACATTGGATACATTCATCTTATCAATTTGTGCACATATGGATGAATAAGTATTTGTATGGCATATTTTAGCATGGGAAGAACGCCATGTGTTACTTTTTAGTTCCCAGATATATAGAACGCTAGTAAGCTCGTTTCCCGATTATAGTTTATTGGTTTATTTATACAATTTAATTGCAAGCCCCGGTGAGAAGGAGCAGATGCCACCAGAGGTCAGTGCATATATAATATGATCGGCCTATCCATCAGCTAACAGCTCATCAATTTTGAATTGCCAATCGATATTTAGACTGGTGCAATGGTCTTGTTTTCCGGCCGAAAGGCTTAGTCCATTACTTGGTATTGTAACTTTAATTGGTATTGTAAAGCGGAGATATCAACATTACTACCGAGTAAATAAATTAATCACAAGTCAATTTCAAACCGAAACATCTACAGCTCATCATCGATGGATATACACATTACGTCACTTTTTAAAAACAGTCCCATGCAGCATAGACAAAATTTGAATAATTTCAACCGACTCAAACAATCACGTTGGCAAACAAGCCCTCCGTTGCGATATAAGATATGAATAGTAATTAAGTGACCTTGTCTGTTGTCGTAATCCTGTCCGAACTGTTTGTTGTGGGTGACCTTCCTGTGGGCGCCATTGCGACACTCCAATCCCAGTTTCCCAACCCCTTAATCCCGCCAATTTCCTTGGCGTCTATCCCTGACGCCAGACAGGCTAGTCTGACGGACGCCCCCCGATTGGGTCCTCCAGTAAATGCCTTGTGCGAGGTCAAAAACATTGAAGCGATAAGTATTTCTGCGAATTCCCAGAACTGTTCTAGAGGGTGGCTGTGGTAAACAAACAGCAGTAAAAATGAGAAGCCTGCTAAAACATCAACGAATAGGTTGAGCTCAAAATATAATCCGATTTAATAGCTTCAAATAAAATTGTATTCTAGTCTCAACTATTGCTTACGCATTATAACCTCTTTTTGCGTGAGCTGGAACCTTATTAAATACAAGTTACAGATAAAAACGTAAAATTTAAATAGTTAAATACTTAAAAATCCAGAACACCTCTTCCCGTTCTCTGCCGCCACACACGCAGTATGTGTAATGGTAACGATACATCGATAATCTTGTGAAACCCTTCATATGCTTAAGTATAATTTGATTAATTTTTATTTCTCATTTAATATATTTATCAAGTTCAGGCTAAAACTCATAAGATTTTACCCCCAGTAACACTTTTTTGGAATATATTTATCAAGTTCATGCCGAAACCCATAAGAATTTTCCCCGATAGCATTTTTTGGAATAACCATTGATAATTTCAGTTGCTGGCCTTGGTGCTGATATCCTTTGGCATTTATGTGGTGGTGTCCTACGATCTGAACGAAGTGGGAAAGCTATCAGCCTACGGTTATGTGGGACTTGGAGTTGCTGCCCTGGTGGTTGTATTTTGGGGTTATCTTTCCGCTTGGCGCGAGAATGTGTGCTGTACGGTGACAGTAAGTTGCAGATCCTATACATATAACTTGAACATATATTTAACTGATTTGATTCCCTTGCAGTTCATTGTTTTCCTTTGCCTGGTCATCATTGCCCAGTTCGCCGTTGTCTACGTTATGATCACCCAGGAGAAAGACGGTGGCCTCTAACCTGGCTAATGCTTTGGAGGCCACATGGGAGGAGGAATTGAACAGTCCCGGTGCTATGTCGCTCTACCAGAACTGGGTGAGTTTTCAGCTTGATTTAATTTTTAATTCATGGGTAACCAAATATCCCTATTTACCAACAGTTCCAGTGCTGCGGTCGTGGCAGTCCGCAGGATTATATTGTCAACGAACGCCTGCCCCCGGATACCTGTTTCCGGAACCATGACAAGAGCAAGCCCGAGAATCTGATCCACTCCGGTTGCCGAGTGGAGTTCGAGAACTACTGGCTGCACCTGACCCACATTTTCAACATCCTTGCCCTGGTACTGATTGGAATCGAGGTGGGTACCCATATCATATCCCTTAAACAGTGCTTTTCAACCCTCTATATGTTTTTTCAGCTCCTGCTGAGTGTCATCTCTTGCCGCCTGTGCAACAGCATTCGCAACGATGCTCGCCGATCTTACTTTTAAAACGAAGAAAACCCAAAATACTCAAAATACGGATTGGCAGTCAACTTGTTAAATTTTTGAACCATATTACACCATTATTTAATCGGTTTGGCGTGGCTTGAGCGTTATTCAAGACTGGAAAATTACTGTTACACTTTTTGAAATTCAAACTCGTTGGATCAGCACTATATGATGAAGATTAACCTTACTCTCACATTGATTTTAGTGGCACACCGAAAGCAACTCACAGATAATGTTAGGAAACGTAAAATAGTTTTAATATTATTTATTAAAAGATATTTCCAAATAAATGTATCAAAACCAAAGCTATTACTTATTTTGGATTTAAATTTAATTTATGTTAAAACTTAGACTTTTGTTATCTCTATAAACAACAGTGGCACCATATGCCTTGTATCTTCGTTATCTTTATTCATATAACCTAAATATTTATCAACATTTTCGTACACATCCGATTAATGATCCATATATCGCTTTTTAATCATTTACAGTAGTTTGTTGTTTGTGTTATACACACCGGCTTTATATATTATATTTAAAAAGAAAACTGAGCGCACGTTTCTTCGCACAATGGAAACCTTTGGCATTCAAAACATTGCTTAACATCTGCCCCCAACTTAAGAAAATATGAAGATTCCAGATAAATTTTAAAAATAAAATGCGCCATTTATATGTTGAAAAGTAAAATTGAACAAGAAAGAGCGCCATATTCAAATGAGGTGCCTATGGATACCATATACTACTGCCATGACTCAAAGCATATTCCCTACCCAATCATATGGCACCTTTTCGGAAAGCCAAATATTTTTATTAAATCTTTTTCAAAAGACATATATTAAATCTGAGATTCCCGTGGGAGGCAACTAAAATATTTATAAAATTTACATATTTTTTGGTGCTCTGAAAAAGAGAATAACTAAACACTTAGTGAGATCCTATCTTTGAAATGTTATTACATCCTGTTACATACTCATCCTCGAATGCAATATACCCTTTTCGAGTAACGGGTATAAACAGCAAAAGGCCAACGATTCTCTCTCTTATTTTATTCAAATAGTTCGTCATCTATTTCTGTTTATATGTACACATGCTAACGAACATATATATATACGTAAATATTTAGTTGAGCAAAAAAAACATTGCCGTTTTTGCGGCCAAATGTTTCAATTCCACTTTGTGCCGAAGCTTTCGTTTCGTTTTCCCGCCGTTTGGTTCGCCAAACGCTTTTCGCGCCTATCAGCAAGTCGGAACGTTTGAAACACTTTTCAGTTAACAGTCGAGCGGTGAACATGAACCCGGTTTTGGGTAGCCCCAGCAACCGTTAGAATCAATATAAATATAAATATTTTCCAATTGTCAACAAGCCGCGAGTTGCCAAGTGTTATAAATAATACCGGAGTACCTGAAACCAAATATCTAGTGTTTGTTTCAAAAGTATTGGATTAACAAAGATGGCCTGCTCCACAAGCGTTTTAAAGGGGTTCGCCCTCCTCTGGGATATTATCTATGCTGTAAGTAGATGGATCCAATGAGATAATCGCCAGAGATAAGTTTCGTTTGCGATTTCGGTGGGGAAACGTTGCTGACCCCAAAAGACAGTAAAACATGAATTAACCCAAAGCTCTAGCCAAGGCTAATTGCAGATAAATTACTTGACTTTTGGCCGCCGTTGGCCAAATGCCAGATCTTGCCCAAGAAACGTTCTCCAGCTTCGCCCAAGTTCATTCAAAGATTCATCAGTCTTTGATGTGTTCTGTTGTTTATTTAATAGCGTAGAAAACAAACATTGGCCCCTCGAGCACAAATATTTTGTTGGATAGTTTTTCGTTTAGTTTGCGAGCATTTAAATAATTTGTTGTGTTCCATTTTGATGCAAATTTCGGGGCAGCAATAAAAAGCATTAATATTCATGGAATAATGTACGTTGGGGAATATCGAGTTGCAAACCAGATAAGGGAAACAACTTTTTGCAATATTTTCTCCTAAAAATAATATAAAAAAAAATGATATAATATTAAACCACTTGTTTTTTTGTTTATTTTTTTGCTGAGCTTTTTATTTAGGTTTTTTCAACATTTAAAGGCTGCCAAGTCGAAACTTGGTCACCCACGCCAACACTTAACCCTGAACAAAAATATATAGAATTTTTATTAGATTTGTTGTGTTATTTTAGTAGGTTTTACTTGAAGCAGATTTTGGTTTATATATACGTCGGTTGATGTCATTTCCTAGACATTTTGGGCATCTTTCAGGCATTTGATTTAAATGGAATGCGGCCGAAGGCTGAGGAAATATGCCAGCGAGCACCACACGGCGTATGAGCGATTTTCCGCGTTTGGTTCCAGGCGAGTTAGCACTCGATTTGCACGTTGGGAGATTTCAATTATGTCGGAGCCCGGACTGAAATTACTTCATTCTGCTTTAGGGTAGGGCTGAACCTTTGTGTCTCGCCTTTGGTGATCCCCCGCCGACAGAAACCCACATAAATCTGGGCCGCGACATGTTTTGGACATTTATTTCGGAGCGCTGACATTGGCATTTGATCTGCCTACTCAGTCTACTCAGTCTATGTGGTGTCTGCCTTATCAAACTATATGCAAATTAGTTGGACCCAGTGTTCTACTAATTCCTGGCCTTGGTTACTCTGGTGATAATTGCGTTTAATTGCTTGTCTGCGTGGGGAAATGAGAGCAAATTAATAAAACGTTGCCATTACTATTACTCTGTTGCCAACACATAGCAATCCTTATCTTATTTTTATTGGACAGCACCTGAGTGTCTCCTCAGCCTGTTAAATAATCGCGACAGGCATAATAGTCCGCTTTAGATACCAGAAAGTTGAGTGGGCCTGGCAGCAGTGTAAATAGCGATCATAAGGTTCTGCCTCAAATTAAGTCACAAAACTGGGCACTCAATTAAAAAGTCTAATTATGGTTCGATGGTCGTAAGTAAATACAGATTGTGTGGCATGCTTGGCTTCCATTTCAACTAATACAATCTGTTTGTTTCCGATTTTCGAGCTTTCAAGAACGTGCCTCTGTGTTTTTGGTTTTCCGCGAGCCCTTATGTCAGCGCCTATTTGGTCTCGGCGGGATTTGGGCGCCGGAGCATAATAAATTACAATTAAATGGTATACACTCGGCTATCCACACAAAAAATAATGCCAGATGTCTGAGTGCTACGTGTCCGCAGCTCATCTCCATTGTCTCATAAACATTAATTGATGGGCCAGTGATGATTCCACCATTCGATTGTAACTCTATTAATGTAAATGTTATTTTTCCGCTGCCTTATTCAGTCACAAAGCTCATTAAATTGTGCCTTAAGTGAATATTTATTTAACTGCCTCTTAGCCGGAGCTACACCCAGTTTAGGGCACTTGAAATCAGCCATGGCTGCCGTTATTAATCGTCGAAATCATTCATAATTACCTCGTAGGCTTTGAGCCGAATTGGTGCCGACCGTAACGTAAGCTTCTTCTAAGCCGGGCCCATTTAGTCGGGGTGACAAACAAACAAGGCACGTCAAAGCCAACTTATTTGTTGACTGGTTTTCTTGTTTGTTGGAGGGGGCATCCGACAATTGTAAAAATAATTTACAAATTGGTGGCGACAACAGGTTGCCGTGTGCAAACATCATCGCTGTGGATTTATAATTACTACGCATTTCGGAAACTTACTTTCGGTAGCAAAATGCTATTCGTATTCTTTGCGCTTCTTTGGGCAAGCTGCCAAGTGCCAAATTACAAAGAGTCTACAGTTGGCAGGAGAGTGCGAAATATCGCGTTGTGTTTGTGGATCTAGTGAGTCATGGCGGTTATTTTAAAAATGCAACAAGCGGTGCATTCAAAAAGTGAGAGGCGAGCGCGTTCAGGAGACACCTCTGCGTATACGTAATATTTCATTATGGAGACATTAGTTCGCGAATGAGTAAGCTGTATTGCGGGGCGAGTTGTGGTTAGTATGCTTTAATCTTCTAATCCAACGCCTGGAGAATTTTCATCGATTCTCTACACAGAGAACAACCGACCTCATTTGCATATTGACTCAACGCAGAACCTTCAAGCGCTACCGTTTTATCACCTTTCGGGCCAAATAGAATTTATTTAGCTTTTCAATCAACCACTTCCCACCTCTCTCGTTTCAACAGCTGTTCGGCCTGGTTGTGATTGGCCTTGGAGTGCACATCATTTACAAATTCGAGCACTTTAACACCGCCGCCTTCGTCATCATTGGCGTGGGCGTGGTCGTCGTTCTGGCCGCGCTTTTCGGAGCTCTGGGAGCAGCACGTGAGAGCAGCACCGCTTCGAAGGTGGTAAGTAAAACATATATTAAATGGGAAGGAGTAATTTAAATAAAATAATTTGTTAAAATATATTTTTAGAATAGCCGTTTTTAACGTATAATTAAATTGTAATATTTATTTTTCTAATTAAAAGTAGTTGACAATACTAAAATGTACCTTAGAAATATAAATATAACATAATATAAGTCTACATGACGCACATTCATACAAATAATTCGATAATTTTTTTATAAAATAACCAAATTTTAGTCATATTAACAGCTTTGAAATATAAATTTTGTATGTAAAAAAAAGTAACTTAATCAGTTGTATTTATAAGTCACACATCCTCGAGCATTCTCATTTAAAAACAATTTATTTTGTTTTAATTGATAAATCGTTCAGAAATCACTTCTTGAATTAGTAATCTAAAAGTTCATGCTCTCTGTAAAGTAAATATTTAAGTGACTTGACCAATACTAATTTTTTCTCTTTTGTATTTCCCTACACAGTTCGTGGTTATTGTGGTGATACTGATCATTCTGGAAGTTATAGTGGTGGGCTTCCTGTGGGTATTCCAAAACTCGCTGCTGATAAACGTGGACAAGACATTTGATCAGCTGTGGAACGATCAGCCCGTGCCCATCAAGCCTGGAAACCAGAGCCAGATAGCTAGCCTTGAGCGATGGGTGAGTGATAAAGAAGGCCATACAATGAGCATGTCTTTAATAGTTCCCCTTTGGATTTCCACAATTTATATAACAGTTGGACTGCTGCGGAAATGTGGGACCCACGGACTATGTACTGCCGCCGAATAGTTGCTACAACGGCGAAAGTGACAAACTGAATCTCGAGGGCTGCCGGCAAAAGTTCCTGGACTTTATCGCCGATCGCTGGACGACATTCAACATTGTCGCCCTGGTGCTAGTTGGTGTGGAGGTATTATTATACTAATTAAATATTTCTTTAAAACTGAATAAAAATCCCTTTCCTAACAGATCATTTGCGCCTTGTTGGCCTGCGTCCTGGCCAACAGCATTGTGAACCGCTGGCGCCGCTCGAAGTACTATACAAAATAGGTTGTTGTACAATTTTTGAAAGTATTGCATTTCAAAAAGCAATTTCAAGTTTAAGATGCGCATACTTAAGGCCAAAGAACTCTCCATACAAATACTTATTTCGAAAACTCACCAGAGATTCCAGAACAAATTTACTTAAGCGAAGTGCATTGTTTGTATTCTATTTAACATTTTGGATAACTGTAATAGTGAAACGGTATTTAAGCCGTTTACGTGGTAATTTAATCTACACTAAGCTCGACTTAAGCTACGATTTTTTGTAACATCATTTCGAGAAGCCAAAACCAAAATAAAGAATTGTTCGTAGACCGATGAGTGTTTCGGTTTTCGGGGCTTCGGTTCGGAAGATCTGTTGACATCATTCCTATGATAATGAGGCGGGACCCGAAGAAGGTGAGGGTGGACACATGCTGTCTCATATTTGTAGAGCGCGTGTGGGCGGGCGTATTCTATATTTCTTTTTGTTGTATGTTTTGTGGCCCGTGCTCGCCTTTTGATTTCCCCCATGGTATGTATTTATTTGCTCTGTGTTCTTTGGCCACTGCATCTGGCCAAACGGATCGGGATCGGAACGGACCGGACCGGATGGCGACAGAATCCGAAGCAGCCAACGAATCTGCGGGTTAATCGTTTCCCAACGACAGACAGCTCCGTGAGTCGCCCCAGACAAACAAATGGAGATTATGCGACTTTAGTCGATGGTTTGATGGCACTGCTCAAGGTGTGCTCCCAGCCCCCAGCGGAAAAACTCTTGTGAACACTGAAGAATTGTGAATTGTGAAAAGCGAAAGCTAGCGCGCGTCATGTACTGCACCACCCGACTGCTCAGATCCGTTCTGTGTGTCATCAGTGCCATTTGTGCCGTAAGTGCCCGAAAATAGATCCCCAAATGGGCTGACATTGAAAGGGATTTTGATTGTGGGCCATTTGTTTAGCTAGGTGGCTGCCTGCTCATCTGGTATGGCGCCTGGCTGCTGGACAGCCTCTCCGACGAGCAGAGAGTGATGGGCCTGGATCACGGCGAGGATCTGGCCGCCGTTCTCTGCATCCTCCTGGGCACCGTCATCATAGTGGCCAGCATCTTTGGCACGGTGGCCGTGGCCAAGGACTCCAGGAATCTGTTGATCTGTGTGAGTAATCAAATTATCTTTAAATCAGCAAAGAAATGATTTTAAAAATTTTAAATTAATTATTATATTAAATATATTAATTTTAATTTCTAGTATGCAGTTTTATTGGTCTTACTTCTGATCATTCAGTTTGTGATGCTTAGCATAAGTTATGCAGCCAGCCGAGAATCTTTGCCGGATTCGCTGAGACAGGGATTCGATGACCTGTGGGACCTGCAGCATGAAGGCAACAGCACTCTAAACACTTACGAAGAGTGGGTAAGTTTGGACAGGTCTGAAATATTATTTACTTTAAAACTAATTGCATAATTTATGTTACTAGCTCCACTGTTGTGGTCGTAATAGTGCCGAGGACTATCTCCACCTGGAGAAGATGCCTCCCCCGAGCTGTTGTCTCGATCAGGACTGCGCCCAAATCTTGAATCTCTTCATGACCGGTTGCGAAACCAAGTTCAAGGAGTATGTCAGCGGAAAGACCGCGAATTTTCACTCCCTTAGTTGGTTTCTAATACTCTTTGAGGTAAGTTGCTTCTCTTATTAAAGTCCTAGTTTTTGGGTTTAAGTTAATTCAGAATTTATTAAAAATAAATAATAATAATGATTTTGGCAGATGAATTAAACTAATTAGTACTCTTACTCACTTCGAGTACCCAAGTTGGTTATTCTTCTTTCTTCACCTCCTTGGCAAATTAAATCTTTAAAATTTTAAATTCTTAGCATACCTGAGTCTTGGGTTAATGGCTTATTGGAAAAACTGAAAAATTAAAATTAATTGACTTTATCACTGTACCTATCTATACAATTTATGTTTAATATTATAACTTATTTTAATTACAGTTTGCCGGCTCGGTGACCACCTGCTACCTGGCAGACAGCATTCGCAATCATCGCGACCGCATACGATTCTATAATTAAATTAGTTTTAAGTGTTTTGCACGAACTGTATTATCGTTATTCGTTGTGAGTAATTTCCTAGCCACGAAGCCCTGGCGAAATGTGATTGTAATTTACGATGATTAATCAAGTTAGGCTACAGATATACCAAGTATTCATTCATAAAACTGTAAATCTGGCACCCACGCCTTCGAAAATAAATAAAAACCCGTTGCCATTGACTAAACTTTTACAAGAAATCGTTGGCCAGCAGAAAATTCAAAACGAGTGGGGTTCTGTTGTGGTATTCGGAGATAAACAAGAAAAGCTCGCACAAGTGGGCGATTCTCGACGCTCCGCTCTCGATTTTCACTCACCGATTTATAGATAGAATGTGCGAGCGGTGCGTCGATCGTTGTTTTAGTCAAAACAAAACACACTGTTTCACGGTTTTCATCTCGATCTCGCATCGAGTGCCAGTTGATTCGCACAGCTGAAACACGGCGGTCAGACGTCGATTTAGATTTTAGATTTGCCGCACCGCAATATCCGAGGGATACGTATCTGAAACTGGCTGCTGGCCATATAGCCATATATGTACGTTCCGCCTCTGATGCATTCTGCTCGCCTTCGTTGATTTCGACAGTCGGTCTCCAGTCGCTTCTTCGGTTCGATCCACAGTCATCATGGGTCTGGGCGCCACTACAGTGAAGCATGTGCTGCTCTTGCTCAACTTTGTGTTTTCCGTGAGTGGCACACCTGAGAGTTTAATGAGGGGTATGTAGTATGCCAAATCGTTGACTCGTTGTGATTTCCACAGGTGCTCGGTCTGGCGCTGATCGCCTTCGGAATTTTCTTTTTGATCTCCGCCGCCGAGAATGCAGTCAGCATTGGTGAAAATGTGGCCGGTGGCCTTATAATTGGCCTGGGCGTTGTCATCCTGATCATCGCGATCCTCGGCTGCCTGGCCGCCATTCACGAGGCTCCTGTCCGACTGCTGATCGTAAGTAACAAATTGATTGTATATTTTCTTTTAAAATTCATGATATATTGGAAAACACGAAATTTCGGGATCTGATCTAAAATTTTACTGCGTAAAAGCCCTACAAAATATTACATCAAAGCTTGTTTTTTATTAAATACCATTAAGGTGAATACTACAATAAACTTACCCTTATATTACCTATTAATATCACCACCATTAAATTTGAAGTTGACGAATCTTACTCTCAAAACTCAGTTGTGTTTGGAGAACATGTTAATTGTTAAAAATACTAAACAGTCAGAAAGCACAACAACATGTGCTTTCTGTTCGAACTAGAATTAAGAAAAAAATAATTTAAATTTTAGAGTTTATTTTAATAGTTTTGACTCCTTGAATACCCTAATTCCTTTTAATTTTCTCCTTATCACTAGTACGTCATCGCTGTGGTGCTGCTGATCCTCTCCCAGCTGCTGTTCCTCAGCATGGCCTCTCACGGCACCAAGGATGGAATCTCGGGCAGCATCAACGAGGGATTCGATCGCCTCTGGCAGTTGGAACGCAACGAGACGGGTGCCCTGGGCTTCTATGAGAGCTGGCTGCAGTGCTGCGGCGTCAACAGTTCCGAGGACTACTGGATCATCCATCATGGAATACCCTCCAGTTGCTGTGTGGACAACAAGTGCTTGGACCAACCTTACAGGGTGTTTAAGCCAGGCTGCAAGGCCGAATTCGTCAAGTATCTGGACGATAAGTTACTGGTATTCAAAATTGTCTGCTGGCTGCTCGTCATCGGAGAGGTTGGTTAGATCATTTTGCCCAATATGGATTTATTTAATCAGCGTTTCCTCGATTTTTAGGCAGTGGGAGCTGTTTTCGGTTGGCTGCTCTACAGCAGCGTCAAGAATCAGAGCCGTCGCAATAATGCCGTCTGGATGTAAAGCGTTATCTAAGTCATCTAAGTAATAATTAATAATATTTTGTAGCAGTTTTCTAATCAAATGTTAAGTTTTTGAAATTTGTAACTTCTGTTTACTAATGAAAAAGGTCGAGTCCCAAAATCTGAATGAAAAACTCAAACTTTTTAAGAAAAATGTTTATGGATAATATGGACATTTTGATAACCAAGGTTGTTCTACGAATTTAAGATTTAATATAAAAGCTCTTACAAAAATATAATGCTGTTATACCTTTATTTTAAATTTTTAATGCCAACATTTTTTACTGGAATTTTTAATTCAAAAAATAATCAGGGTAGAAAAGACATATCACTTTTTTTAAACACTCAAAACTTCAAAGTAAAAGTTGGTCAGAACTCGCGTTATGTTTTCAGTTGACCACCTGGTAAACAAGGAGTAAAAACCCTTGGCCATTGGAATACCACGAATCATGCTAGAGACTTCAGTATTTGTAACGTCATCGATAGAAATGAATTTCTCTTTCTGAAAGTTAATAGTATTGGTAAAATGTACCACTCTGTATTGGATTCCTTCAACAAACCGTATAGGGGCAACTGTGGTTCAGATTTGAGTGGCCTTCTATAAATTCAAACACCATCTTGGCCAAGTGATTGTGGCGATTCTTCCAAAATCGACACATATCAAGGTTTACAGCGTAGAGAAAGGGTTGCCAATTTGGAGTCCCGTCGACACTTTCACTACCCTTCGTCATTAGCTGAAAATGAAACTGCAAAGGAAGGCATACAATGGAAAAACAGAATATGGTACCTCTTATATTCATAGATTACCCCTATATTGTCGAATACTGGCTGGAGCATACTGTAGCGCAGTCGAATACTGTTTTTATTCTTTCCCAGGGTCTTCACCTCACAGTACTCCACTCTACTCTTGCTGAAGTCCTTGCTTTCGCAAGTCACATTTGTGAACTTCATGAACATTCCCTGAAAATTATAATTTCCTGAATCAGAAGTTTGATTTTTCACAATTTTACTTACTTACATGTAACTGTGTTACACATTGCAAACACATCAATAGACCAATAAGTTTTCCTACCCAGTTAACCATTGTACTGCCTCTGAGTAAGTGATTTATTTCAATTCTATACTAGCCAGCTGCTGAGGTAATCCACTTATAATTGCAATTTTGATAGCTGTCGACTAAACGCATGGCTGATTTTAGATCTTTTAGTTGAGAGAAAGTATTATATTCAAAATATTTGTAATATAGGACAAATAAAGCTGTATTAAACAAAAACTCTTCTTGATCTAAATTTTCATGATGATTACACCTTGAATATACTTTAAAATGTTCCTATTTAACGAATAAGCAAGATTAATATCAATTTGATTGTAATGTAATCTTACAATATTAATATTTAATATTTAAAGGTAATTTGACATATCATTCGATTTCTTTTGAAATTTATATTGTGAAATATTAATTTTGATGATTCACTTATAAAAAAATTAATTTTTAAACTGTGTTTTAAACTCCCGACTGAACTCTCCCTAAAATTATAGTTAACAAGAAAGGAAGCTACCTTCACCTTATATACCCTTGTAGATAAAAGAATGCTCACTCGGTGCAGTTTCAGGGATTCCAGATTCAGCGTTTCTATTTATTTAAATTTTGTTTTTAAGTAGTCAAGAATCAAAGCGCCTACTTCCTACAATTATATTTGTTTGAATATTCCTATGGGAGCCTTAAGATATAGTGGTCCGATCCTGCTGAAACTGGGCAGTGATTAGGTGCTGAAACTGGGCAGTGATTAGGTGCTGAAACTGGGCAGTGATTAGGTGCTGAAAGTAGGCAGTGATTAGGTGCTGAAAGTAGGCAGTGATTAGGTGCTGAAAGTAGGCAGTGATTAGGTGCTGAAACTGGGCAGTGATTAGGTGCTGAAACTGGGCAGTGATTAGGTGCTGAAAGTAGGCAGTGATTAGGTGCTGAAAGTAGGCAGTGATTAGGTGCTGAAAGTTTGCAGTGAATAGGTGCTGAAAAATAAATATAAAACAAGAAAGGAAGCTACCTTCGGCCAGCCGAAGCTTATATTCCCTTGTACACACAAAAAAATTTGCTTGGTAAAATTGACCAACAAAGATAGTTACGTAACTATTAAAATAGTTACGTGTACTTTGTTTTTGCTTTGGGTTTGTGTCTTTGCTAATTGTGTGTATTTTGTTGTTGTGAAATGACTATTTACTTAGTAGAATTGACAATTTTGCTGGTTGGGGCCTGTTTGACAATTATTACAGTTGATTTTACCAAGTTTTTTTTTTGTGTGTAGATAAAAGAATGCTCACTCGGTGCAGTTCAAGGGATTCCAGATTCAGCGTTTCTATTTTAATTTTGTTTATACATAAGTAGTCAAGAATCAAAACGCCTACTTCCTACAAAGTTACAATGAATTTTCTTATATTTGTTAGAATATTCCTATGGGAGCCTTAAGATATAGTGGTCCGATCCGGCTCTCTCCGACATATGTACTACCTGCAATAGGAAGAAGTCTTTCGGGAAAGTTTCATCGCGATAGCTTTAAAACTGAGAGACTAGTTCGCATAGAAACGGACAGACGGACAGACAGACAGACGGACAGACGGACAGACGTACATGGCTAGATAGACTCGGCTATTGGTGCTGATCAAGAAAATACATCTGAGTGAAATTATAGTACCCTCTACAAGGGTATTAAAATTTAAGCTAGCTTCTATATGTAGGTTAGACAATTATTGGTATAATTTTCTGATTCCATGCATATAAAGAATTATTTTCATTACCTCCAGCAGTAGATAGAGACACCCTGTATGTTAATTTCAAAACGCGCCTGCGTCTTTGTCACCACGTTGATGATAGTTCGCAGTTTGTTTTGGTTCCGCTGGGTTCTCTACTTTGGTTGGTGGTGAATATCTCACGAGGGTCTGCGGCACCTGGCGCTCTCGCTTTTTTGGCTCAGTCGCAGGCCAGCTTTTGTGGCATCCACACAAGCCCCCAAGCCAGGGAGGGCTTCAGTCTGCCAGTCGAGTCTACAGAACGCAAGTAAACAATGCCCATCCCCAAATCCAGAGGCATAGTGTAAATCGAGCGAATTTTCAGAGCCCCCGAGGTAAACGATTTTGTTTTATCGCCAGTCGGGGAATTGTGTTCAAAAGCACGTAGGAATCATAACTATCGAGGGGATTGAAGTGCTAAAAATTTTAACTGGTCATCATGGAGAAATCGTTCGCCATAACGCCCTGGAAGTACGGCCTGCTGGCCACTTGCATTCTTATTGTGGTAAGTAAAAATAGATGCGCATTAGCCCGTTCCATTACCACGACCCAGAACCAGACCTTTCCCCTCAAATGCCGCAGCCTGTCCTGACCTAAATGAGAGTCGTCTTGCACAACACCCGGTGATGCGAAAAACAGCCGAAAAATCAATAATGTGCTCATGTGCTCGAAGATTACCCAAGAGAGCACATATTATTGCCAAAAGGCCGCTAAAGACTATAAACAAATCGATGCAATCTTAAATATATATTTATAAATAAATACCTGTTCACATATTTACATAATTCCGCCGGCCAGCTGTTTACAATTGCCACTTTCACAATTCTGGCTGGCTTACGTCAATTAAATTTATTATTTAGCTCATTTGGTAAATTAATTTCCTTAGCTATTGTCTACAAATGTCAACCTAATATCCGACATATTCAAGTGCATACCAGCGATAGTTTTCCTAATATTTACACATTCAATACTAATAGCTAAATAACTTATTTAATTTTAAATTTGGCAGCTTAATATGGCCATCGGAAATCAAGACAAAATTAGAATAAGGGAATCAGTATTTGGCAAATAAAGTCTCAGAGCCGCTAGCAGAAAAACATTTGATTTCTCACAAAAGCTAGTAGATTTAACTATGGAATGTTAATGAATCAGTTAATGAGTTTACACTGCAGTTGATGGGAATGTAAATGAAGTCAGTTACTAAACACAATTTCTCACTCATTGATTGCAGTTCTTTTGAATGAAAAGTAAATCTTACTAGCTCACAAAAGTTTTATAGTCTTCGGAGTTTATGTTTTGGTTATGTTTGTATTTTTTAGTGAAACTTTAAACTTTGTAACGTTAAAACATTAAGCAGAGTAACTCATTTTTCTTCATTTTTTATGATTCTTTCAGACATGTAATGTGTTCTTCTTTTCTTGCGGCGTGGTGACCTGGGGCTCGGCGGTCTCCACCTATGGCAGCTATGGTTCAGCCCTTTGCGGGGTGGCAGTCTTCGGAGTCTCATTTCTGGGCATGTATGTGGCCCTCAAGGAGTCCTACAAGTATTCCATATATGTGAGTAAACTTCAGCTTCCCAAGTTTCAGAACATCTTCTAAGCCTTCCGTTTTTGTAGTACTTGATTTTCGGCGGTCTTGTAATAGCCGCGCTGGGCTCATACCTTTTCACCTTCACGGCGATGCGGGAGGAGCTGATGGGAAGGTTTGCGGAGCGCATGCGCGACCTGTTTGAGCAGAAGACGCACAGCGACGACAAGATGCAGCCGGTGCACAGCCTCTTCGGCTGCTGCGGACTGGAGGGACCGCAGGACTATCTGAATGAGGAGCAAGGGGCCCTGCCCAGCAGCTGCTGCTACGCGTTCGACTGCTCCAAGCCGGCCCACATCTACGAGGAGGGCTGCTCCACCAAGGCAACCGCCAATCTGAGGATGCAGGCCGAACTCAACTACTACAGTTGCATGGCCATCATTGGCCTCGAGGTGATTAATACTCATAAAACTAACGAAGTTGCATTTTAACATAATTTTTATGTTTTTCAAAAATCAGTATAGAATATGTAGATGCTAGTATCCAGACTAACTATAATCTATACTCGATTATTATTTATTACCTTATTAATTATTTTTATAACCATTCCGAAAGTGATATTTAATAATTATAATAAAAATATTGCTATGCAATATCCTAAAGCTCCCATAATTCCCTTTGGAATTGCCAACAGCTTTAAAAAATATATTTTTTTAAATAAAATCCTTTTACAAATACTTTACATTCCACGATAATAATAATATTATTTATTTTACATCTACAATAATTGCAGTTCTTGGGCTTGTTCACTGCTTACTATTTGGGCAAGGCTCGCAAGTATGCCAAAACCAAGATAAAGGACGAGGAAACCCCCATCAACGACTGATGGCCGAGGACACCCCAGCATAAATATTGATAATAAAAGTTAACCAAATTAGCTGATTGCCATTAGTGAATAAATACTTTCCATAGTCTAAACGAGTTCCTTGCTATTGTGTTTCTCTTTCATGGAATTCGGCAGACTGGGCAAAGAGAGAAGATCCGAAAAAGATCAATAAAGAGCGACAATCCGGTATTTATATTTGGCGCTGCCGGCCATTATTTGCATTTAAAATTCATTGTGATTCTGAAGTCCGTTCAGGCTGGATCGTTCCACCAATAGATTCATATATTTATAGTTTTCGGGGTAGTGTCTTCTTTAAGAAAAGCTTATCCGTTGCCTAAAGATGGGCTGCACTTCCGGTTGCGTAAAGTGTTTCCTAAACGCTCTCAATACCCTGAATGCGGTAAGTTCTAACATATATTTTAATGAGTTAATATTCGTGAAATGAATTGCTAGTATATATATATAAGTAAGCAGTGTATTTTTCTGATTTTTTTGCTCTTGATAATCAAGTTTTTGTCCGCGATCGGAAATTTTAATTCTTTTTATATTCCCGATGGAATTTGGATGCATACATATTTGCAGGGGTTTGATAAGCTAGCTTATATTCCGGTTTAATGGAATAATTTAATTCAGTCAGTAAGAGTTAAAAATATATTTTTCATTTGTCAGATATGAAAAACATTTGGTGCACTTCAATGATAAAGCCAAATGTGTTCAGTCTTCTATTTCAAAATGTTTCATCTTAAAATGATTTACGACTATGCCATATGTTGCAAAACGTATCGCATTTACATTTGAATACTACAAATCTTGAAACGAAATTCTTGATTTTAAAAAACTTGTTTTAAGCTTTTATGGTTATATTGCCTTGTATTAGCTAAATGCCATTCGTAAGCAAAGATATTTGTCGTAGAATTCCATAAATTAGACAAAACGCTATGGTGGAGTGTACCGAGTAAAATATACTTGATATCCACTACTTTGCTAAAAAATATGTGGTCTGGACATAAGGAGAAGTTTAAGCTGAAATCTCACAAATAATATAAAATCTTTTTATGATTTTAAATGTATATGCCAAAAGTAAAAAGGTTTCAGGAGCAAGTCGCAAATTTAAAACTTGTTGGGTTGTGTACATATTATATAGTAATAAACTCGACAATAGCGTTCATGTTTTTTGATTGTACCCATTTATATACATTATTTTTAACATTTTTGAATCAATTTTAAGCTCGACCAAAGTCAATGACATTATTTATTGATATTGCTGACGAAACCTAATCTGAATTTCCAATGGTGAATTTTTTCGCTCCTTTTTAGCTTTCGGGTCTTTTACTGATAGCCATTGCAACGTTGGCCCTCGCGAAAGCACCTTTTGTTTACATCGTGTTTCTATATGGACTGGGTGGCATTATCTTCGTCTCGGCTATTCTCGGATGCTGTGGAATCTGCCAGGAGAGCGTGTGCATGACCGCAACGGTGAGTGGAAGAGGGTCTCTTATCTTCACCGCGGTTAATTTACTTTACTGATATTCTTTTATGTACGTCCAATGTCAATACAGTACGGCTTCCTACTGTTGGGCCAGCTGATAATCAGTTTGCTGGGCATCTTCGGCTTCAAGTTCAGTGAGGAGTACATAGAGAAGTTCGCCGCCGAGGAGGTTCAGAGGAAATGGAACGAGGAGCTGGTGAAACCTGGCGCAATGGACCCTTACCAGGAAGTGGTTCGTATTCTATCCGTTCAATCATTGCAAAGATCAATCATGTCATATACCCGAAATTACAGAAGAGAATATCATATTTTATCAGATTATTTGACACCCTCAACCAATTTAATGTTATTCTAAATGATGCTCTTATTTCCAGTACGAGTGTTGTGGACGTGATAGCCCCGACGACTATGTGGCCATCGGTCGTCAAACCTTACCCACAAGCTGCTATCCTCAGGGGGACACCCAGAAGATCCATTATATGGCTGGATGTGTCCAGAAGTCCAGTCAGAACTATGTGGCGCTTTTCAGCTACGCCAACGACACCAACTGGATCGCAGTGGGCATTACCGTAAGTTTGATGTGAAAATAGTAATAAACTTGGAAGGATCTGATCAGTTTGTTTTTCACAGGTTCTTATGGTCATTGCTGCCTTTTATTTAGTCGGACGATTCCGCAAGCAGCGCATTCGCTACAGCTACTAAAGACTACTTTTATGAAATACTCCACAGAAATTAAAATTTTTTTATATTCTTGTTCAAATTTATCCGAAATAATAAAGTAAAAAATATGTTAGCATATATGCTGAAGAAACGAATATTTCCAAATTTATATTTAAAATATAAAATATTTTAAAGCCTCTTGTGGAAATTTTGAATCCAAACATTTTTCATTCTGAAATTCTAAGAACTATGTGTCCAAATCTTATTTTCCATTTGTATATGGACAGTAAGAAAAAAACAAATAATACCGATTCGTCTGTTAATTTTTATTAGGAATTTGTATACTTTTTAAGATCGGAAACGATTCTTCCTGTATCAGTGATTTTTTAAAGAATTTCAAATAAATAAGTTTATATAGCTCAGTTACTCGTTTATTCTTCTATTTGAGAATCTTTCTGATTAAGCGAACAATGTTAGGTTTCCGTTTCGGTTTGCGACAGACACGATTCTTCTCCCCGCTCTGAAGTCTGAGCTAATCTCTTGATTTGCCAGCGGTGGCGTCATTTGCTGTCGATCGCCTGACGCAATCGAGTTGAATCAATCTCACAAAATCCGATAGCTGGTAAATTGCTTGGGGAGAGGATTACACATAAGACTGGGGAGTCGATAGCACACAATACCCGGCTAAACATCTGGCAAATGGAGCTATATAGAGTTTACCCCCAACTTCAATATCATTTAAGTTCTTTCAAGCATAACCAGCTCCACGCTTCGAGCTTTCCCCACCTCGCTTTCTGTTTGTTTGGCTTCCGAATGGCAGCAACAGCACTGAAGTTTGTTCCCCACCTTCAATTTGCTTTTTTTGCCTTTGCCTTTTGACTCTGCTCTAAGTGTTTGCCTACAGTGAGTATAGACAAACTTACCTAAGTTGCGTTTCTTGTAATTGAAAAAAAGGTTTTTTATCGAATAATTTCCATAAATTGATGCCTTAGCAACTGGCATTTTTCTTTGGATAAACTTAATATTTGGAAAAGATCATAAGCAAGAACATTTTTAATAAATAGTAAAATTTAAAAATGGTTTTTTTAAATTTGTTATTTACTTCTTATTGTTTGATCTTGGAGTTGTTTACAATACTTTGGCTAACATAGTAATTTATACGTTAAGCTGTAATGTAATGCTATGGTAACTACAGGAAATCAACTATTGTTGTTGTTTGCAAAGCAAATTATAAAGAAATTTATCAACAAGTTTGAAAACAAATTTGTTAAATACCTTTTTAATTCCTAGTGGGGATTGAGTTACTCTGGTTTTACTGTATGTTGTTTGTTTGCCTGCGCTCTTTTTGTTTGTTTTAACAAACACTGCTAGACGGCAACAGCGCATTGTGGGGCAAACAACCACTTTATGTGGCATTAATTACTAATTTGAATATCAAGCGTCATTAAGGGTCGTTTTCTCGTCCGCTGTTAAATTTAAAGAATGTTTTAAACTCTGAATTTAAATATAATTGTAACCCTAAGTTATTTAATTTAATAGGCAGGCGAGAAAACGGATCTAAATGTTTATTTAACAACAAATAGAAAATATTTTAAGAATCAAGTGTTAAGTAGACGGTTTTTTTCCTCTATAATTTAACATTTTCAAATGGTTCGACAAACTCATTTTATAGGGCTTTGAAAAAGTGTATTTTGGGCAGAAAAAGAGGCCGTTTGCCCCATAGTGCGGCTACGTCAGCTTTGGAGCTTCGGACCGCTCGACTTGGATCGGATTCCGTGCGAGAGAGTTTTTGGGGAGCTCAGTTTGCTCGTGACCGTGGCCGCAGTAGTGCGCACTCTTTAACCGATTCGGTCTGGCCGCGTCGATATAGTCTCGATATTTGAAAAACTTGGCGCAGAACAGCAAACTGCCACACGTGTTGCATTGCGATACGATTGAATCTAATAAAAAACTTGAGTTTTAAGTGGAAAATATAAAGAAAAATCCAAAAAAATGGGCTGCGCAACGGGCACCTTAAAGTACTCGCTCTTCCTATTTAATGCGTTATGGGCGGTAAGTAGAGCACACAATTTAAATTGGCATATGGTGCTGGGGCTTCAAGACTCTGAATGCTATACTTTGTATCTGCGTATCTGCCGGTTCGTTGCCACAAATAGCCAGCTAATTGCGATGGTGTCTGAAATTTGTTTGGAGAACTTCAATGTTGTGGGTTCTATGTTGCCCGTTCAACGTTCACCTGGTCAGTAGATGATATCATCTCGGCTGCGTGTTTGGTTTATGACTACATTTCCCGGCTATCTGTGTGTGTGCTAGCCCAGTGTCTATTGTTAATGGCTTCTGCTCGGCCTTTGGGTTCCTTGAGCCAAGAGGAGAGCTTTGGCAGCCAAGCGGCGAAACGAGGCTGCTTAAATGCGTCATGCATTCGGATTTCGTTTAAAAAGCTAACACAAACGGAATATGGAAACCGGAATATTCAAACGATGTGACAATAGCGATGAGACCAAGCCGACAAATTAGTCGTCGAGATTATGCGTCAAAACTTTCTATGGCCTTCTCAAGGTTGCACAGGTCTGATGTTAGCACCGATTTGTTGCTATCAAACTAATAATAACTTTAATTTTTAAATTTAAGGCATTTAAAGCATAACTAAGAAATTTTTAAAGTTGTACTTTATCAAGAGTTGATTTTAATCTTGTTGGCGTTCATTTCAACAAATAATGTTTGTTTTTCTTTTTTTTTTTAAGATTAGAATCAACAAGTTGGCATGGTTAGAAAGGTCTTACAAGGCTTTGCTCAGTTGTCTGAGTCATAAAATTATAACACAAAAACGAAATAAAAAAAATTGTGACGATATCAAATGTTGTGACAAAGAATGAATAAAGAATTGACTAAAAAAATACAATAATTTCTAAAATAAGAAATTTGGGAATTTGTATAACATCGGACTATCAGTATAAAAATATAAGTTCTTCGAGCAGGCTCCCCAAGAGATTCATCACTACGTCGACTGCCTTTTAGTGATAGAAACAATGTTTGCACAATTACTTGCGTATCAATAACGCCCCTTATATATTATATTGAATAAATTTGCTCGATGGGCGTATTTATGTCTCACTTATCTAATTAGTCTGCCCTACTTTTAGATACTTGGCATCCTGGTGCTCGTTTTTGGCGGCCTAGGCTGGGGAGCGATGCCGGAAATGTATGCTATAGGGATTCTGGTCCTGGGAGGCATTATCCTCTTGATATCATTTTTCGGATGCTGTGGAGCCGTTCGTGAATCACCGCGCATGCTGTGGACGGTAAGTGCCTAGCGGATGAAATAACGTTAATTGCTCCATGAGTAACTCATTTGAATTTCCTTGCAGTATGTCACTCTGCTGCTGGTGTTGCTTGGTCTCATAGTTGCCTTTATCATCCTGAGTCCAAAAGGTGTGTTCAAAGACTACGCCCTGAAGGAGGTCGAGAATCAATGGGAGCTGGAAAAGACCAAGCCTGGCAGTATGGATTTTATTCAGAAGACGGTAAGAGTGATTTGCGTTTGTAAAAATATAGATACTGTTATCACAATATTCCTCCTTTCCAGTACTCTTGCTGTGGACGTGATGGCGCCCGGGATTACCTGGATATTAAATTCTGGAACAGCACCGTGCCCGACAGCTGTTGCAAGGAGAACAGCTGTGTGAATCCCCTGAATCTCAATGTGGACGGCTGCCTGAAAAGGGTGGAGGAAGCTTTTTCGGATGAACAAAACACATTGAGCTACTTCCAGTGGGGTCTGCTCGGATTCGATGTGCGTGTTATTTTATTTTACATTCTTAAAGTCATTTCTTACTCACTTATTCCTTTTTTTTAGGCTGTCATCCTCCTGTTGGCCATCGTATTGGCCATTCACTACACGAATCGCCAGAGGCGATACAACTATTAGTGAATAACTACCAATTAAGAATTCCATCTCCTCAACTTCTCATTGTTAAGTGTCACCAATGTACCTTTTTTCTTATTTGTAAAACACAGAAGCACTTGCCAAGCAACCGTAGATGCCTTAAATATTTACAATACATACGTGAACGTGTTTTTGTTAAAAGTCTTGCAGGCTTTAGTTTGTGCTATACTTAATGACGTCGAATATTAAAATATTACATGTGTAGTTTCGAAGAAATAAAAACCAAATATAAGAAAAAAGAAGCTAAAAAAGTTGAAAATTTTTCTGAGACTTTTTGCTGTTTAATTAAGTTAAGTTCTTAGAGACAGCAATAATTTTGATCTAAACGTAATCATTTTTAAGGGACATGGGCTTTTTTTAAAAAGCCTATTTTTGGAACACAACGATGACCATGATGTGATTTTTAATATGATATTATAACTTCCAAAACTATAAAATGTTGGATAAATATGTTTTGTATTCTTTGAAATATAAGATAAAATAAATTAGGACTAAATTCCATCTCGTTGAAGAAAACTGCCCGCTACATAGTTCGAAAGTCTGGAGAACTGAAGTGTGCCTGATGGCATATGTATATCGAAAACCAAAGCCAGAGACAAACATAATTAAGATCGAAATGACGACTCCTCCTCAAAATACATACATATGTACAATATACAATATATATATTCATATGTTTTCAAGTGGGAGGAATTGGGGAATTCGGCTGGGAATGGGGGGAATGCTCGACCCCAGACATAACAACAAAAACAAACTCGTAAACAAAGCTCTTTTACAATCTCAAGAGAGGAGAGGCCAAAGAAAGAGCTTGGCTCTAGATTGAGGATTGTATGAGTACTTATTGAATAAGCATCAGCTTACAGTTTCAGATGTTTACGAAGGAATACATTTATGTTTATCTGCACCAGTGGCGGATTTCGGATTTGGTTGTGGGGGTTTTCACAGTACATTTTTGTATAACATACTTTTACAAGTGCTTTTTATCGTTATCGCGGATCCGAGCATATTAAAAAAAATTTGATATCATCTTACCGAAATTTAAGGAACAATGACTTAAAAGATGAGTCTGCCATTGCGATTTACAGATTATTAAGTGCGATTGATCATTTTTGAAACCCATACATGAATGTATATCGTTAATTAATAATTTATTAAATATATTTTAATAAATTTGTTTACGTCTTAAGTAACGAGATGGTTTTGTTTTACTTAGTATTGGTACTGAAAGCCTGTCATTATAATAATGACTTATACCTGAATTATTCTATATTTCTCATATTTTTACATAAGGAACTGAAAGTCTCCGATAAAAGCCCCACTGAAAGAGACGCTCATCGAAGTAAAGTCTAATTTATTAATTGCTTATAGCCGAATCTTTTCCATCTTTTATGATTTCCCTAATGGGACGTAGAGTCTCTGATAAAAACACCACCAAAAGAAACGCATATTAAAGTGACGTCATGACTTGGAGCGGTGACCCCAAGTGCAGCGCTCTCTTCGGAGAGTGCGAGTGCGCTCTTTCTGTTTTATTTTGACTGGGGAAAAAACAAACAGCCACGGGCAAAGAGAACAACAAAAACTTTTCCCGCTTTCAGTTCGCCAGCGAACGCAGAACGTGCCAGACCAAAAAGTTCAGTTTCGAGAGCGGATATCCCGGGCGAACGTTCAACGGAAATATATTTGGTTGTTAATTCAAATCCAGCAAAGCAACGAAAATAAACAAACAAAGGCAAACTTTATTCGAGTGCGGCGAGAGAAGTCAAAAGGTTAACAGACTTTTATTTGGGAAATGATCGAGTGTTTTCGGATATTTGGGAATGGATATTTAATGTGCCTTTTTTTAACATGTTTTTCAGCTCCACAAACATGGGCTGTGCCACGACCAGCGTTAAGATCACCTCCATCGTTCTGAACGCCATTTTAGGGGTAAGTCATCGCCTCATACATGGATTACTAATTACCTCGACCACATCAGATATATAGTATTATGGATATATAGACCGTGTTTCGTGCAAGGAAATTAGCATGACATCATGTGGGATGGGTGCACAAGTGAACGCACTTCAAAAGAGCCTCGAAATGGAATATTTTTCAAAATATTCTATGCCATATACAATAATTTTGAAGAGCACACAGTCGAGAAGAGAATGTTTTTGAAAATTTTCATACGCTTCAGATATTTGGCGTTCGTTGGATGTGTATTTTTAAGCGACGTCTGTCATTTGTCCGTTTTCTGACCACCTGAGATAGACGGCCTGGCCTCAAGGTGGCCAATATATTCTACCCGTTCTCCCGTTTATCCACCCGTCAGTACCACCCGTCTGGTTTTCTGGTTGCCATGACGGTCGTGTTTACACTTTGGACTATTCCCTGCTGTCCGACTTTCGCCAGAACCTTCAATTGCTCCCATTTCCGTTCCCGCAGGATGATGTCATGCCCAACGTACCCTCGACCAATATTCGCACTCTGGTTTTCACTCTGACCCATATAGCGAAATCGAATCACTGGAGTTCCGGCAAGGGAGGGACCCGAAATTGGGGCACGAACAAGGGTGCTTCGTCAACCCCCAAAGGGGCTTCAAAGGGAATCGGGGGCGGGTGTTCATTACATTATCACAGCTCAGTCAGGCAAACTTCCCGAACGACAAAATTATGTGATGCACTCAGTTGCGGCTCTTAATTGTCACACAAATGAATGGCAATTGCCCTTGTAATTGCAACTGCAATCGTATCATATTGTACAGTCGATCTTGTCTAGCAACAAATTTGTTATAGATTTCAAAAACCTAAAAGAAAGTAATCATAATTTTAAAATAGATAGGATATTTTTAGATATAATTAGGATACATATTTTTTAGGATAATTAGGATATAGAAAATAATTATGGTAATGATGGTTCGAAGATATAGTTATTGGATTAGATTTATAGATATAACTACCTTAGAACACCCAAGTCTTAATCTTTCTGAACCACGCTGTCACCATATTTCAAAGTGCTATAAAATACATTCGATCTATCATAAGTTTCACTGTAATTAATTTCAGTTGCTAGCTGTTGGGGCCATAGGATGGATTGCTTTTAATGCGGACACGGAGACCGAAGAATTCGTCATAGCTGCCTACATAACGTGCTCGGTCATCCTGGTATTCGCTTTGCTGGGCATCTTTGCGGCCATTCGGGAATCGGTGGCACTGACAGCAACGGTAAGGCCATATATACCAGGAACTTTCTCCGAATTTAATAATGATTATATTTGTCTTCCCTAGAGTGCCGTGTTCCTGCTGATCCTGGCCATTCCGCAGATCGTGAGCACCTGCATGTTCCTGCATCAGTATGAAGCGAAAAGCGGCCAGGAGGTGGTGGAGCTGGCCTGGCAGGCGAACAACATGGATGGACTGCAGCAGAAGCACGAGTGCTGCGGCAAGAGCAGCGCCCAGGACTACATCCATCTGAACCAGGTAATCCCGCCCAGTTGCTACGCCGATCTTAAGCCGGATCCCGACCATCTATATCTGGAGGGGTGCATCGAAAAGCTGCAGAGCTTCTATGAGAGCGACAAGCTGCGCTTCATCATTGTCTCCTGGGTTCTGGTGGCCTTTGAGGTGAGTTCCCTGTTTGCTTAATTTATTCTTAAACTTACTTACGAATTCCTTGATTTTCTTCCAGTTAATCTGCTTCGCCTTGGCCGTTTTCCTGGCAATTAGTTTTAAGAACAAGCAGCGACGCATGGAGTTCTAGGTCTCCTGGAACTTTTACATTACCCCGCAGTACAAAACAAAAACGCGGATTTCTCGCTTCGACATTTCATAACCAAAAGAAAAATCGACAGTCATAAATTATTCACTCCTACCTTAAACTTACCTGTAATTAAAGTACATATTTATAGTTCAATTACACATTATAAGTATCATAATAAATGTGCGCGATGTTTGTTTTCACATGATTTGCCTTTTGTCAGTTTGTTTGTTTGTTCAGCGGGATGGAAATATTAAGCATACGACGCATAGTCCCGACGAGCTTTAGATGGCCGAAACTTTTTGTTTTTCGCCTTTCGAGGCCAGACAACTTGTTGCTCATCACGTAATTTGCTGAATGCTTGGCATACAAATTGGCGGGTGAATAAGCAGGCTGCACATAAATACCACAATGGTGTCCTTTCATCTTCCTTATATTTCTGCGCACTCCGATGAATGAAAGCTTAGTATTAGTTGACCCTTTTCCCATTCCTAAAAACGGATATGCGATGAAAGCTTTCATCGCTGTGACATCATACCACCCACAAGAAGCCATGACACCAACACATAAAACAGCCACAAAAATGATATAAATACACTCAGCAGAAATGGGAATTTCATAGGTAAGATTTAAATTTTAAATCGTAGAATGCAGAAAAGGAAGAATGATATTCTAGGATATGTATGACAAAGAATTAACCTCATCAAATATATTTAAAAAATGGTACAGTTAAATTAAGTTCAATTCTAACGATACAGTTTTTTTGTTTTTATCAATTTTTAAAGATATTTATGTTTTTATTTAATTGTAACTTATCCTTACATCAATAAAAAAAGTATTCTTTTGTTTATCATTAATTTGAACCTTTAAAAACAACCAATAAACCACCTCCATATGCTACTTAATTCAAATGACACTAATTTGCTCTCTTTTTCTTCATGTGTATTATCGAGAACCGCCGCAGAATAGTTGATTTCTGTCGAGTGGCGGAACCTACATACTAACTGGCTCTTTCGGGGGGCGCCACATTTCAAATAGAAAGCGTTGCGCTCAGTCGCACGTCAACGTTTATGGCAACAGGGCTGGCGGTATTCATTGAGGTATTCGCTTTTCCCGTGGTCATCGCAGCGTAAAGAAAAACAGGTGCGGGTATTAAGGATAACGCAGTGGTTAATTATAGTGATTATTGATTGGGAACCATGGCCTGCCGCGAATCCTTCCTGAAAGCCATTCTTATCATACTTAATGTGCTGCTTTCGGTGCGTATGAGTGATATAGGGTGTCCTACCATTAATCGATTGACTCAATATTATTTTATTGGCAGCTGATTGGAGTGACTCTGATTGCCCTGTCCGTGTATGAGTTGAATAGCTCCACGCCGGGCACCTTCGAGCACATCGCCATCGTTGTCCAGATCTTCGTGGGCACCTTCGTGGTCCTGACCTCGTTTCTGGGCTGCTTTGCCACGGCTCGGGTTTCCCTCGGACTCGTTTGGAGCGTAAGTGAAAGTCGGATGGCCCACTTAGATTTTGATTAAATTTCCAATCCCCGTTAGTTTGTGATCTGCCTGCTGATCCTGCTGTGTCTGCAGATCTACATCATTGCGGCAGCGCACTCAACGGACTACGTGGAGCGCTCCAAAAGAGACTTTTTGGCCATCTGGGCGGATCAAAAGACCAATGGAGACCGCATATCGCTCATAGAACGAAAGGTACATTGTATTTTATATGGTGCTAGCTTTTATTTAAGTATTGACATGAATATTATTGATTGGTATCAAGAAGTGTCGATATACCCATGTAATCCATATCTTGTAAAGTAGCATAATAATACAAACAAAGCATCAGTCTAGTAGACATAGGAATAGTTTTGGTCAATTTAAAACAGTTTATTTGTTTAAAAAACTAAGTCAAATTCTTTACCTCTTAAAATAATTTAGCAACGACTTTCTTTTTTGCCAATGAACATATTGAATTATTTACTTTATGTTTTATTTATTTACTTTGCGTTTTTCCGTATTTTTTTAAGACATATAAACCTCAAATGTTTAGATTTCAAAGTAATTTTCGATGTTATCATAAGAAATCGAATTTTTTGAAGCCGAATTTCAGCAATCTCTTATTGGCTACACATTGGTTTTACAAAATCAAAATTAGCTTGGCCTTAAATCTAATTATGATTTCATGAAATTATTTTTTAACTAATCAAATGAAGCCGTAAATCTAATTTAATCACATGTTTTATGTCTTACTGACTTTAATTTACACAGTACTCCTGCTGCGGCCAGTTGGGCTCCCATGACTATATCCTGATGGGCCGGGCCATACCCAATAACTGCTACAGGGACTTCGAGCGGCAAGCGGACTACCTCTTCACAGAGGGATGCCTTCAGGCCGTGCAGGCGCATGCCACCGACAACGTGGCCGTCGGACTCGTCATCAAGTGGCTGCTGCTGTTGGTCGAGGTAAGTTCCATGGCGCCGTCCTTGGCCACATATTTCCGAGGGCTCGGGTGGCCAAGGACGGGCCTTATAAATAGCGTCCAGATATAGACGGTAGGGTCTCTAATCAAATTTTCCGCTATCTCCGCACAGTTCGCCGCCCTGGGAGCCGCCACTCACTTGGGCATCACGGTGCGCAACAAATTGCGGCGCGAGAGATTCTAACAGGTCTCCTTCGCATCACCGAAATCGGTTGTTGGGAACACATAAACCAATATGTATGGATTTTTATAGCAGCTTAAGATGATCTGGAGGCAACAAAAACGTAGAAATAAAAAAATAAACCAAAATCAAAATATTCAATAAGTGTTGTTTGTGCCCACTATATGCGAGATATCGGCGGAGCTGCTAAGTAGATATATGTCTGCCTATAAAGACGCATATATAAATATATGAAAAAATTAGGTACACTTATAGAAATATTTTTTTTTAATTTCTATAATTTTTAATTATGACACAAAATCTTGTTTTGATGGTGGTGAAATTTGGCTTTCTTCAAAGCTTTAAAGTAAGAGAGCTAGATTTAATTTAATTAATTATTAATTAAATGTTGCTCAGTTTAATTGGCAGTTTAAAGTTAAATTTTATTTAATTTCAAAATTTCTAAGAAAGAAGTTATAAATATATGGGAAAAATAGTTTTCCAAACAAGGCTAATAAATCTTTGGAGCGAACTCAGCGGTATTTTTCCTTGTGTAAGGCGGAAGAGGCGGGGCGCCGATGAGATCTGGTGAACGCCGGTCTCCTGAGTAATGACCGGCACACAAAACGCCGAAACGGAGACCGCGACCGACACGGACACTCGGGGGATTTGTAAACAGTTCGCAGCTTCTTAGCTCTTTTTTCGTGTTTCGCTTTATTTTGGCCCGATCCGACGGCACTAACAGTTCGAGTTCGGTCACCGCCACGCACAGTCGGTCGAGAGTGGAAAGCGAATTTTCCCGGGAAACGCGTCCGCTGCCTGGAGCCGCTACCCGAACGAGCGCAGAATAAAATTGATAAAATATAGGAAAATATTGCTTATGCAAATAATAAAATGCCCACGATTCGCGTGTGCCTGCAATGGACTTCGGTTGTCTTCAGTACAATCACCTTGGTAAGGGATTTCTACTGGAAGTGCAAGTTAAATTACTCATTTAGCATCATAAAATTTACACAATCAATCCTGGGAAAACACAAATCAAAGATCAAGCCCACTCATTGTCACTGTGGGTAGATCGTTTCAATGCAACAGTTGTCATCTGCACTTCTTGAGTCACACACTGCGTATGAGTAATGGAGGCAGTTGCTCGTGGAAATCTCAATTCGAATTTATCTCGCTGGCAGTATGTCAAAGCAAGATCATTAAATGTCTTACATTCTCGTACAATTTTTCATTGACGATTGTAATGTCGTGTGGTGTCCGAGTAGCTGGCCAATTTGGCAGCCAACAAATCCCAATCCAAAATTTCCATTTCTACCAGACAAGATGTCACTTGGTTTTCATTTTCTGTTGGGCAGCCGAATTTTTGGCACAATCGAAGCGACAGCAACAAGAAAGGAAACTGTGTATGTGCCATTTAAAAATAAAGTCCAAAGTAATTTAATTTATTTTTGCGTCAGTTTTGTTTTTATTTTGGTTGTTCTCGCAATGCCCAATGACGTCGTCGCCGAAAGTTTGTCTCTGAAGATTTGGTTTGTCCATTTCATGGGCCATTAACAAACGCTTATTGTGCGCGGGCATAATTCATAATTTTAATACCGCTTCAGATCGTTGGCATCCTGGCGGCACTGGCCGGTGTCTATGAGCTGGACAAATACAGCGAGGGCTCCGCGGAGCATCTCGAAAAGTTCATCCAACTGGGCATGGCAGGTGCTCTGATCTTGGCCGGATTAATCGGTTGCCTGGGAGCCATTTTCGGTTCCATCAAAGTGATGGTTGTGGTGAGTGGTACACTCAAAATAAATTTAACCCTAAATTTTAGAAAATCGCCATTAAAATTTCTTTTTTCTAAATACAAGAAAGTTATTTCTAAATCTAAGGAAATTTTTCTTAAGTCAAGAAAGTTTTCCTTAAACCCAGGAAGTTTTTCTTAAATGTAGAAAATGGTTACCATGAACTAAAATCACCCTAAAATCTAGAAAAAATGCCCTTAAAATTAGAAAGTATTTTCTGAAAAATAGAAAGGCAAACGAAAATAATAAAATATTTTAAAAACACCTTTTCTAAAAATTAGTGCCCTAACCCTAAAATGAAACCAAGCCTAAATAATAGAAACATTTTCTTAAAAGTAGAAAGTTTTTCTAAAAAATAGAAATATTTGTTTTCACATGCCCTGGCACACCAAAATGTTCAATGCCAGAACTTGTCAGCTGCCGGCCGGCTGTACTCGTGGCGCAGGCCGTTAAAGCACTTGGTTAGCAATCGAATCGACGCGGGTTCGAGTCCCAGAGCAAAATTTTTTAACCTTTTTTTTTATGTTATTTTTTTTTTTTTATTTTCTTTTCTTTTTATTTATTTTTTTACTTTTTTGTATTCCTTTTTTATTGATGGCAAGCGGTAAACTAAAAATAATTAGGTTTGTATTCAGCTATTTACTATATACTACGCATAATATAAATTGCGTTAGCATAAATATATACATATGTATATACGTATGTAACTAAGTAAAACGCGAATGGTCAAAATTATGCAATTAGTATTCAAATGTGTTGTCCGCTTCACCCTTTACATACAATGCTCGGTTTGCCACAGCAAGTATAAGTGCTACAATGGCCCAGTATGTAGGCCATTCGCTCCTCGCGCGGGAGACCCGGGTTCGATTCTCACGACGGACAAGTAAAAATTGTACGTTTTTTTCATGAATATAAAATATTAACTAATCATAATTTCTACATTCCCAATCTTCCGCAGTCCCGTAGTCTACATTTACAACCACATTTGGCTTTGGTTAGATAAGAAATCCAAGCGCAAATACATAATAATAAATATATAACCTTTAACATTCACAATATACATGACACACAACGCCTGCATATGTATATAGGGAGGAGTACATAATATAAACGGATATACAAAAAACAAGAGGCGCTATAGTCGGGTTGTTGTCCCGACTATCTAATACCCGTCACTCAGCTAAAGGGAGTGCGAACGCTGTGTCGGGTTGGTGTCCCGACTAATAATCGTAACTCAGCTAAAGGGAGTGCGAGGGAGATAGATATATAATTTTTGATTGCGTATAACTTTTTAATGAATGGTCCGATTTGAAAAATGTCTTCTACATTTCGATAGGTATAAATATACACAACAAAATTGCATTTATACTTTTCGGAAATCTTTAAAGATGTGGGCGCAGGACCCATTTTAAAATCGTTAGTGGGCGATTGTGGGCGTTAGAGGGGGCGTGGCGCTCGGCTAAAATAAACTTGCGCTGCGTAGGAAGCCAAAGAATATGTGGGGGAAATCTCAACCTTCTAGCTTTTGTAGTTTCTGAGATCTCAGCGTTCATACAGACGGACAGACGGACAGACAGACAGACGGACAGACGGACAGACGGACAGACGGACAGACGGACATGGCTAGATCGACTCGGCTAGTGACCCTGATCAAGAATATATATACTTTATGTGGTCGGAAACGCTTCCTTCTAGCTGTTACATACTTTTGCACGAATCTAGTATACCCTTTTACTCTACGAGTAACGGGTATAAAAATCATGATTGAACATGTTTTTTTGTTTTGTTTTTAATTTCTATTTTTTAGGAAAGTTTCCTAATTTTTAGAAATTTTTGCCCTTAAATTTAGTAAAATTACCCTAAAATTTAGAAATATGACGTCAAAAAAAATCAAAAATATAGAAATATGTGACCCTAAAATTTAGGGCGAGCTTGTCTTGAAGACAAAAGTAGGGCGATTTCCTTGACTTTAGGGTTAATTTTATTTTGAGTGTATATGATTTGCCATTGGATTTGTTGATTGATTGGAACCTGTTGAGTTGTAGAACCTGGCTGTGCTTCTCATTCTGATGGTGGCGCACATCTGGAAAGTGTCCCACTACAACGAGACCAAGCAGCTGGACGCCACCGAGGTGTACGTGATGGATCTCTGGATGAAGGAGCTGACACACCCCGGCGCCATGAACCACTTGCAGCAGGAGGTGGGTTTCTGTTATGATATGATATGTGATATTAAACATGGTTCTCCTCTATCTTTCAGTACGAGTGCTGTGGCGACAAGGGCTCCGCCGACTACAAAAGCCTCAACATTAAGATGCCGCGCAGCTGTTATCACACCAAGGATGGATTGCACGCCCTGTTACCCTATGGAGAGGGCTGCATGGCCGTCGTGAAGAGAGCTTACCTGCAGATTTACCGCTACGAGAGGTTGGTCCACTGCGGACTTATTGGCTACGAGGTGAGAAAATAGTAAAGGGAATGACTGGATTCCTCTATAACTAGTAGTAATTAACTACTCAGGAAGCTAGAAGAAGTGCTAGAGATATCTTTAGTTTATTTTATCAGTATTATAAAAAATAACTATCGAAAAAGTTAAGATGGCCAGTTAAAATATGGTATAAGCACGTTTTTAGCGTTGGCTCTTAGCTAATAGCTATAAAAAAAAAATTTGAATCTTGAAGAAAACGAAATAATTTTTTTAATAATGAATTTTATTTTGCAATTTAAAAAGTGTTAATGTCTAAAACCCAAAAGTGCCAGATCGAAACTAAATTTTTCCGCTGGTATGGTAATTTGGTATATGGTAAAAATTTGGTTCTTTTTTATTCAAATTGGCTAGTTTTAATTTTTGGCTCAATTTATTTTTGTTTAAGTGGCAACCGTGGGTATAAGTCTAGCTAATATCAATATTACAACTCAAATTCTTCAAAACTTTAAATTATGTTGATGACAAATAATGGTTCGAGTTATAAAAGTCAACAATACATTATTAAAATTCTTTCAAGCAAATTTGGAATTAAAAACTGGTTTTATATTGCTTTATTGAAATATAAATCTCTTTTATTTTTCAAGAAAACAAAACAGATAATAATTCCTTAACTTTTTTCCGCCCCATTTCAGGTCGTGGGCATCATCTTGGGCATCACCTTGTGCTGCCAGCTGACCAACAAGACTCGTCGCTACAACTACTGATCACCCATGACATTTATACATAAGCACTTCCCACTTGGATATACAATAAACAACACATCCGATAAGATCTTAAATCAAGCGTCGACGAGTAGCTGGGCTCGTGAGGCGGACACATGGTTGGAACGCGGTTCCCGGCGCACACCTGGTGGCACCTGTCGGCGAGCGATTCGCTGCCGCTGACGCAGCCTGAAGAGCAGCACACTGAGCGCCACGGTTTGCAGCAGTATGAAGATCTGTGGGCGAGGGAGGTCGATTCGATAATTATTCGAGAAACTGCAGTCCCGTCCGAAGTCAATTGCCCACCTCAAGGCCAACGATGGCCCACATATACAGCTTAAAGCGCTGCTGAATGTACCGCTGGCTGTGGTTGAGCGTAGCCAGGCAGCCGCTTGGATAGATGTGCTGGGCGGTGTCATTGGCAGTGGCCTGATAACAGCTCGCCGGCACCAGCAGATGCAGCCGCTTGTAATCATCGGCGCCATTGTAGCCACAGCAGTGCCGCGTGGCCTCGTACTGGTGCATCAGCTCCGGTTCCCTGTCCAGGCCATGCCAGGCCAGCTCCAGCTGCTGCCAGGCGCCACCAGAGGTTTTAAGGGACGGACTGTGGTAGTGGTGCAGCTGAAGGTATTCCGCTGCCAGAGCAATCAGTATGAACAGCGTGAACTGCGGATATATAAATTAACTTAGAAACAGAATATCTCTAGTTTAAGTATCCAATCATCTTACAATCAGATTGACACAGAGCAAGTTGCAGACCATCCCATAGCATCCGAACATCACGATCATGCAAATGGTTCCGCCCAACACCAGACTCTTGACGAAATATGTGTGCTCCGGGGTATTGGGCTCCGCCACTTGCAGTCCCAATCCTGCTCCAGACATCACTCCTATGCCCAACAGCTGAAAGTCCAAAGATTATTAAGTGTTAGAAGACAAGGCTTAAGATTCAGTCTTACCATATAGAGCAGATTGGAGAGCAGGCCCGTGTACTTTATTGTGTTATAGCAGCCGTTCATCGCGAGAGTGCTGCAATCGGCGGCAGATGGGCCAAATTTAAAGCAATTGCATCGCGACCTTTCCCAGGGGCCAGCGATAAGCGGTCGCATAAAGAGAAACAGATTGCAGCGGCACTTTCTACATTCGGTTGCTTTATTCAAGTGTTGTAAAAAAGTAATTTCGAAGGTAGTAAGTACGGCTAAAAGTTACCTAAGACTTGCTTAATAAATATGACGTAGATATAGCATAGAACTATAGAGTCGCAATGCGTGGCGGGAGAAAAGCTCTTCCACGCACTCGGTTAGTGTTTTAAAAACAATTCATGTGGGTCTGTATCGGTGTACGGTTGCAGTGGTGCAGCCCGTTTCCACTGGCACATCGTTACGTTGGGTAACGAATGGAAAAGTGTCCGAGGAATCGGGAATCTGCAGGTGTCTGGTGTTTGTGTGCTTGTGGGCTAGTTACACTTGTTTACATAAACAAATCAACGAGTGAATTTCGTTAAACAATTTCAATAAATATCACATTGCGTCAAAGAGTTGCTGGCAGGGTTATTGGATATAATGGCACCCCTTAATCTACATGCGCCATGGCAGCGGTATGAATCCCCACTTCTGGGTGATGTCCTTGAAGTCGCACTCCATGCTGAGCACCACCTTCTCGACCTTCTGGAGGCGCGAATTAGTCGCCGCCTTGAGGGTCAGGCACAGCTTGGTGTCTCTATGCGAAATTTGTTGCGTCTGTCGATGGAAGATAATTATAATAATGTATATTTTAATAATAGTGAGCCACTTACATCCATGTCGTAGGTCCACAATTGACTGGAGTCGGAGGCGCACTGCGCCAGCATTACGTTCGAGGTGGTGGCATTGCGGTTCTTCAGCATCTTGATCACGCCCAACTTTGGCTGCCGGTAGGTCAGGCAGACATTGTCGTTGGTCATGATCTGACCCTTCGGGGTTATGACAAACATGTCCATCGTCTGCGCGTGGGATGTGCAGTCGCCAACGGTCACGGGTGAAAGAGAGGATCGCGGCACATCTTCTTTGAGGGGCCGCAGACACTTGTCCCGCTCCAGATCGATCAGCGCCAGCAGCTCCTCCGCCTTGCCATCGATCTCCTCGAAGGCGCGCTTCCACTCCCGTGAGAGGGCGCGACCCGGAAGGTTCTTCATGTGCTTGCTGTAGGCCTGGGCGCACTCCGTCTCCCCATCCAACCAGATGATCTTGCCGAAGAAACGATCGGGGGCCGGGAAGAAGTGCTCCGGCCAGATGTTCTCCAGATACCAGGAGAAGGGCTTGCACTGCAGCCTCTCCCTCAACGCCACCCTCTCCGTCACATTCACCTTGTCCTTGGCACCCAGCGACAGTCCGGATGTGTAGAGCATCACGAAGTACTGCCAGTCGTCCATCCATACGGTGGCCGCCCTGGCCAAGTTATCCGTGAGCACCTCGCTCATGCCGCCGGGGAATGTATAGGGAGTGCTGCTGCGGAAGACATGGCCCACGTGGGAGCAGGGACTGATCTCCACGCGGCCGCCGCACTGCCAAATGCGGAAGGACATCTCCACGTTTTCGCCGCCCCAAACGCGCATGTTGCTGTCGTAAGATCCCATTTCGTAAAAGTACTTGCGATCGATGGCGAACAGTCCACCGGCCATTCCGGGCGTGGCTATTGGGGCCGTGTTGTCCTTGGAGCTGTTATCCGGCTTCTGGCGTTTACGATCCGAGGAGAACCAGCGGAAGCTTAGCTGCCAGTTGAAGGCGCCCCAGTGGTTCTCAAACGTCTTTGTGTAGCTAAAGTTGTCGTCGGATATAATGTCGATTACCGGGCAGATGACCACCTTGCGCGATTCCTTGATGCGGGCGAGAAGTGGCTCCAGCCATCCCCGCGAGCACTCGCAATGGGCGTCCAGGAAGGTCAGCACGTCGCCGCGAGCCTGTTCGGCGCCCAAAAGTCGAGCGGGCACCAGGCCACTGCGCTTCTTCATTCGTAAGATCTTCGTGGGCACCGACAGAACTTTCACGTAGCTCTCCAGCTGGCGTTTCAGGTAAGCTTTTGGAAGAAAAATATGAAAATTAGTAAAGGATTTTAAATGTATTATGAATGAAATCATATAAGTGATATTTTAATTACCCTATGAAATAACAATTATTCTTTAAATTATCTATTAAATCTCAGCATGAATCAACTCATGATTCCATCACAATATTTGTATAGCACGCTATAAAACTGATATCACTATGCCTTTCTTCAAGATAAGGAAAGTATATTATGAATCATAACAAAACTATGATTCCAACGTACAGAACAATTCATAAAATGTATGCTTTCTATTCCGTAAAACTTCAATTACTAAATCTTTGCTTCATGGAATAAGTGAATCGTACGTAAAACGTAATTCTAAGATTGTACAAAATTTTATAAAAGTTCCTTTAGCTCTATTAGATTTTCTGAGCATAATTGTGTTTAAGTTGGGTAGATGGTAAAGTAGGTAAGATAATCATAACTTGATTGGATTATCCCTAACGTTGGTAACTCACAGCGATCGCTGGCATCGTCGACGAGGATAATTTCCTTTAGCAGGTGGCGTGGCGATCGGTTGATGACACTGGTGATGGTGCGCAGGAGTACAGACCAGGCCTCGTTGTGAAAGACAATTATGACCGAAGTGCTGGGCATCCCGCTGTCGTACTTCTTGTCACGGCATCTGTACGATAAAAAATCTATAAATCAAGGATACAAAAGAGTTAGATATTCTACCTACTCTGGTGTGCGGTAGTCCTTGAGCGTGCGGTTCAGCGGGATGCGATCGCTGGCCAGCAGGTTGAAGCTGTTCAGCCGGAAGAAGCGCTGCATGCGAAAGCGGTCGCGCGGCGGCACCACTACAGGTCGCCCATCGGCACCTTCTCCGTTGATGGGCTGGAACAGGTTGGTGTTGTAATCGTCTGCAAGCGAGTGGATATTAATGCATTGCAACGTTGTGTCATTTGTGGGAAACTCTTGTATAGTAATTTTCCATCAAAGATTACCCAAAGGTGCACCTTGGGTTCACCGACTTGATTAGCTTCTGGGCATGTTGAATTGGAAAGTATCTCTCAAATTAAATGTGTCACTTCTGGTTATAAAGTTAATTAACAAAGGAACCATTTACTAAAATTAGTTCGGATAGGCATATCAAATCCCTTACAATGTTAACTATTTATTAGATTAACCGAAATAAAGGTAAAGAGTACTTAGTGATACCTAATAAATAAACCATTTTTATGGCTAGATAAATAAGCGTTAATGAATGAAAGTAAAAAGTTAAGAAGAGTAATATATTGAAAGTAAATTGAAATAAAATAATGAAATATGTCGAATAAAGTTTTTGACGATTTGTTAAGTTAAAAATATGATAGCTCAGCTGGATTAGATCCATTTTAAGGTATAAATTTTATATGTAAAATATAGGTGACTACTATAGTACTAGTATTATTAGACCTATGGTTAGTTCTTCGTTTTGTAAACATCATCTCATAAAAAAATAAAATAAAATATAGGTGAAGTCAGCCTGACTCAGTCGGTAATATAATACCATTTAATATCTCTAAAATGATAACTAAGGTTCAGAAATAAATCGCTTTATTACCCAAACGATGGTGATCAAGTGGAACCATCATGGAACTCACCTGCAGTCATGTTGCCGAAGATGTCTCCCTTGCCGATGTAGTGGGCCACGATGTTTTTATGGGGCCAGAGGGAGCGGCGCTTGGGCGGCGGTTTCGGATGACTGTGCGGAAAATCGGGGTGATCCAAAAGAGATGGAGGTGTATAGGTGACAATGGTATTAAAACATAGCGTTTACAATGGGCCCCATCGAATAACGCGAGGCGAGGGCCAAACAAACAAGAGACGAGACCCAAATCAAATGCAAAGTGCCTCCGCAATCGAAACGAGGCACTCGAGTGGAACACTTGCATTTGGCAACCTGCGGGGAAGTTGAGCAATCCGAATGGCACGGATCGCCGCGGATCCTAGTGGGCTAATTGCCCAGTTAACAGGGCCAAGTACTCACCGCATCCCCGGATCGGAGCTCTGGATGCTGGTCACATACAGGTTGATGCTGATGGCGAACATGAAGAAGGCGAAGAAGAGCAGGAAGAGGTAGAGGAGCCATAGTTTCTTCAGCTGCTGGAACCGCAGACCCATCTCGAAGGCCCAATGTATGGCTTATAATGACTTCTGGCCAAAACGGTGAGCCAGGTGTGCGATGTGCGGTGTGAATGACCGGTGGCGATGCGATCGCCAGCTCTGTTTACTGCCAACTAATCAAGCTACTGTTGTTGTCCGACCGTTTTAGTCACCGATTCGAATCCAAATCCAAAGCCAAAGCGACGACTCCGCCGCGGAACGTTCGCCGAAGAAAGGCGGCGCTTCTGCTCCGGGTCCGCTTTAAATTCCAGCTCGGTGGTCCACTTCAGGGGCTTATGAATACATGGCGCTTGTTCGGCAATCACTCGTTTACTCAGCAATTGTGCAAATACGACCAAAACATTTCATTCTACTGCTTTCACCAGCATTTCTAACAACAATTCACGGAACCAGTGGAGTTGGGTGGAACTAGCGGTGTAGTGCTGCCTATCTAGCTATTCTTTTTCCACTTATAAATATAAGTAAAGTTTTCAATGTTTAAATTCCTATTGCAAATTAGATAAAAATGATTTATTTCTATATATATTTTACCTGTTGAAAAACTCAAAATTTGTAAATATTCAAGGGGCATAAAAAAAACACCAACGGGCTATAGCTATTTAGCTACTTGAAAGTCAAGTTTTTGGCATTACTGTTGATGCAATCAGCTGTTTTCATTGCCTCGATAAATGTGGTGAAAAATAAAGTTATCACCGCGCTCTTATATCGATATTTGGTCATTTGAATATGCTAAATCTAACCAATTTGACTGTCGCCCTCTTCCGCGCCCAAAAACTTGGATATAGGATTATATTTCCCATTGTTTGTTGACACTCTTATTAGTTAGTGTTGGAATAATATACCATAGGCAAATTTATAATGATAATATTTTGATAATGATAATATTTTTATTGAAAGCATTATTAAAACGGCCACTTCTTGTATGAATGTTCATTGGGTTAAACGGAGAAGCTGATAATGAGGATTTTCACATTTAATATGGTACATTTATGAGTGTTTGACCCTCAGTGAATTAATTCCACAGGAGCTATGATATTACTTTCAATATTTACAGATTTAGGAACACTTTTACTAAGAATATTCGTACAGCTTTTAATACTGTTGGCAGATGCTGTAAGGACTTAGCTCTTATCAATAACGACGACGACGCTCCACATTCTGTAAGGCTATAGCCAAAAGGCCGGCGATAATAACGGTGAGTGTCTAATGAAATTTAAGAATTTTAGTTTAAAAATCTCAATAAATGGAAAGTAAATTATTTTTAGTTACCTCCACGCCCACAACAGACCAGTCACTGATCCTTTCCCAGCGGGTTCCCTTGATAAAGGCTGCTGCCAGTTTCTGATCACAACCAACGGTATAGAGATCCGTTGCCACCGTCGCATTCTGGTTGAAGTAGCAGCTCTGCGGCACTCGCAGTCCACTATCCGGATAGTTTGAGGGCCCTGTCTGCCCACAGCAGTGATACTAAACGACAATAGGTTAATATTTACGTAAACAGAGATAGCGAGTTTGCCAAATTAATTCCGATAAAATTTCTCAGAAAGCTCATTGATAGTATAATATTTCTTTAATTCCATTACCGTGAAAAAGAAAATGGTTTTTATTTTTAATTTAGAGGTTTTAGGGAGACTGGAGAATATGAAATTGGATCTCTAAGAATCTCGGTAAATATTGTAAAACTCACCTTGATTTCATAGTAAGGCATTCTGCTCTGATTATAAAGCTGTCCCTGCCAGGCGTCGTATATTGTCTCGTTGGCCAGCAGCTCGTAGTTTATGGGTTGGGCGAAGATCACGGTGATCTGTCCGAAAATCAGGGCTAGCATAACCACAGCATACTTTCGAGCGATAGAGGAAAAAAAATTAAATAATAAAAAAAAAAAATAATAATAATAAATAATATATTATAACAACGAGGGTCATCTGGAATAGGACGCAATACTTACGATCCAGGTCATGCGGATGTTCTCTCTCAACGCGGCAATGCAGCCAAAGATCGTGCTGAGAAAGAGCAGGGATCCCAGGACTATGCCCAAAATACAGGGCACTCGGATGGCCGCGCTGTGGCTGAAAGTGATCAGGGCATAGGAACAGGCCGCTATGGTCAGTGCCGCCAAAACCTGAGAGCGAGAGGAGAACATCTATATGTAATGCGGGCACTATCAGTTGCGGATTTGGCGATAACGACTCACACAGCACAGAAAGTCCAAAACGAAGGAGGACACCTTCAATGTCTTGGTGCCGCAGCTCATTTTGCTTCGGTTTTTAGGTCTAGGTTGTCAGTTTTGCCCACGCTCGCTATCGGAAATCAACTGAATGGCATCGCCCAAAACCAAACACCCCACGCCTTAGTTCGGTGAGGCTTAGAGTTATCAAAAAGCACCCGGCCATCGGCCTGATAAGGTTCTCCCCGAAACAGCTGGGCTCTGAGCTATTGAGAGAGACCGACTCAACTACACCTTGCCCAATTATTGTATTTGATAAGCACTCGAGCATAGAAATTCGCTCGATATTTGTTTACCCCGCCGAAACACCGAGTACAAATGGGTAAGAGTGTGATTCAGGCGGACATTTTTAGCAAATAGCGTAAGTAAAGCATTTAAATACAAGTAACGGGTCCACAAATCTACATATTTGTGGTTTTAGTTGAATTATTCATAGCGAAAACAAAGTATTAACTTCTTTTTTTCTAGCGATTAACCAATAATATTACTATCAGCCAAATAAAAATGTCCACCCTAAAAAGAGCAAACGGTTGAAAAGGTAATAAAGATAATTTAGTAGGAGAGAACTTTATAACTTATCAGATATATGGGGCACCTAGTCTGTCGTTTTCATGGTCATTGGGGTTTTCCTAAGAGAGGGAAGCATATGTGATCTCACTGTGAATCAGTTGAGAACAACGCCTCTAGTTGGAGATAAAAAATATTACTAAATATTGTGGCGTGCCTCATTACTGGGTAAAGTAACATTTTAAAAAAATTGTAAACTAAGTTTTTTCTTACAACGCCATTTAAGGAATTCTAGACTTAAACGTTTCTGTTAAATCTTATCATGTTTATTCATAACCGACTCACTTAATTACTAAACATATGTTTAAGTAATTTGTTTCAGTGTATTCTCACACTTGATTGCCAACGCAAACGAGACTCAATCGGCGATCGTATTTGCTCAGCTATTTAGTACAGAAATAACCTTCCAGGAGTAAGCATCGGAATAAAAGCTAGTAGCTTTCGGAAAAATAGAGCACGCGTCTACCGAAATTTCGTATTTGCCATGGCTTGGTCACCGTTGATAATAAGATATCTGGCATTTCTGTTCAATTTTCTTTGTGCGGTGAGTGGTGATTATCTTAGTTTGTGTCTGACTGCTGCCGAGAAGATATTCGTAATCTTGTCTACCCATTTTATCTTTGTGACTGTATTTGTTAAATTGAACTTTTGTTAATTAAAAATAAAAATGGGTGTCTCCTGATAAAACTGTTAATTCCGAAATGAAAATTGAATAATAGTGTAAAAACAAAAAGGTTTATCTTTGCATATCAACTGAAAGTGAAAATATAAATATTAAAAATTCATACCAAATTATGATTTACTTATAATCTGTTAGGTCAATATAATATTTCCTTAAAGCAATACCAAATTGTATTTTTATAGACTTTTTGTATAAGTTATGAATAACTATTGTGTTGTATGGTGTTAATAAGGCTTCTAACTTACTTAATCTAACCTACTTTATGACTCATAAAAATTGTGTTGTCGAACGTTATCTGCCCAAATGGATTTGGTTGGAATGATTAATGTGAATAGGGAGTTGTGAATATGTGTAAATGTAATCGGAGAATGTAGATGACCACATCCATTTATTATACCCTTGTAGAGGGTATTATAATTTCAGTCAGATGTTTGCAACGCAGTGAAGGAGACGTTTCCGACCACATAAAGTATATATATTCTTGATCAGCATCACTAGACGAGTCGATCTAGCCATGTCCGTCTGTCCGTCTGTCCGTTTCTATGCGAACTAGTCTCTCAGTTTTAAAGATATCGCGATGAAACTTTCCCGAAAGTCTTCTTTCTATTGCAGGTAGTACATATGTCGGAGCGAGCCGAATCGGACCACTATATCTTAAGGCTCCCATAGGAATATTCAAAGATATATAAGAAAATTCATTGTTTTGTAGGAAGTAGGCGTTTTAATTCTTGACTCTTTAAAAACAAAATTCAAAAATAGAAACGCTGAATCTGAAATCCCTGGAACAGCACCGAGTGAGCATTACTTTATCTGCAAGGGTATATAAGCTTCGGCTGGCCGAAGGTAGCTTCCTTTCTTGTTTTTGTTTCAATTCTTATGTATTGTGAAATTATTTTCAGGTCCTGGGAATTGCAACTATTGTGATTAATGTAATTGCAATTGAGAAAATTGCTGAAAATGAGAGACTCATTCTCGGTTTATACATCGCCGTGGGTTCGATTGTATTCTTGTTGTCCTTCTTTGGCTGTTTTGGGGCCGTAAAGGAAAACATCTGCATTACCTGGGCGGTGAGTAAACATTATTTAAAGAATATAATCCACTTATTAATGAATTCTTTTTCCAAACTATAGTACGCAACTTCAATGCTGGTTATGCTGCTCATCTCGTTAGCCCTGCTCTTCGTTTTCCGCATGCATTTCGATGAGGCCTCCCTTACTAAACTGCAACAGACGTTTGCAAAGCAGACGAATAGTTACGATGCCATGGCTGAGTACCAAACTAAAGTAAGAGCAGTCAAATAATTCATATGTTTGAGATGTGTGAAACGAGTGATCAGTTGTAAATCCTGGATCAGAATTGAAAAATGCTTGAATCTTTTTAATATGGGAATTTAACAAGCCAATTCCAAAGATTCCTAGTGATTTTTGTCGAAAAAATACATTTAAAACTAATTTACGAAATACAATGTACATTTTACGCATACGTACAGTATTACAGTATAAAATTGAACAAAAAAAAACATATCTCACGAAAACCCATTCATCTGTTATTCCAGTTGAAATGCTGTGGTATTTACAAACTAAAAGATTACGGTGACGCCCATTTACCAGTTCCTAGTAGCTGTTATGATAGCGATGATGTACCACATAAAGATGGCTGTCTATCTAAAATGGAGTCCCAACACGAGGATGTTCTGAAGGGTCCTAAGATGGTTGGCTGGATGCTAATGGTCATTGAGGTGAGATTAAATATTTATTCTTAATAAATGTTTGTGTTATATAAATTATTTTATTTCAGATCGGTGCCTTTACTTTTACCACAATTTTGGGAGTTAGTTTGAGGAACGAAAGGCGCCGCTCAGCATATTAGGGAATCTTATCATTATCAAAATACTAGTTAATCGAATGTTGTGATCCACTCTTTTGATACTTAAAATATGAAATTATTATTGATATATGTAGAGGAAATTAACATAAACATATATTTAATAGGACTTTTTATATAAATAATAATATTTAAAAGCTATCCAGTTTTATTCGAACTCGGACTTCGGATAGTAAAACCTAATATTCTGAGGACGTACTAAATAAAAATACTTTAATTTTTTGTGACGTCACGATGTCTAAAAGATTATTTGCAACATAGATATTTTATATAATTTATTGTAAGTTCTTTATCAAAATTTTGTAATTTTTGCTGACTAATTAGAAGAAAGACTCAAGTAATGAGCTCGCTTTTGATCTGTTTGCTTTTAAACCATTTTCTTTTCATTTTTTTCCCGCTGTGTATCCTGCAGTCTATCTTCTTTTCGCGCTTTCTACGTATTTAGAAACTATTTGGTTTGCATGCGGCGCGTCGACAGTTGGCAACCTAAAATTTTAATTGCCAAACTGTCTGCCGGAGTCAGGCGATGTGTGTGTGCAGGCGAGATATGCCTTCGCTGGATGGCGAATTACTCAAAATAAACACAATTTAGAATACATTGGCACACATTTGCTGGTTGCCCCGAGCCGAAAATTGCCGCTGAGTTGTCCTTAGACATGCTAACTCAAATCAAATCGCAGCCGAGCGGAGCTAACGAGTGACATGAAGAAGTCCTCCCTCCCCCATTTCGAGCCCCCTTTTGGGTCGTGAGCCAATCACCATCAAAGCGTACACCTTGTTGGCGCACTCAGCTCAACCCTTTCACCTTTCTCCTTTCTCCGGTCTTCAGCTTTGCGCTTTTATGCTTCCGAGCTCCCGGAGCCGGAGACTTCAGCCAGTTTCATTTGTGAGTTTCATTCGTGCAGTTTTGCTTAGCCCCGAAAATATTTATACCCATCGGCTGGCTGGCTGAGTAACGTAACACTCGGGCGAAGTGAGAAGCATAGCTGCCATGAGTCGCATGCAAGCGTGAGTTCTATGCAAATTTTCACGGGTCGCGTGCACTCAGGTGCTAATGAGTTCGAGCCCGCTCCGAACTGCCACTCCCCCCGTCGATTTCCGCCCATTTGTGGAGAGCAGGGCGGTACAAATTGCTTAATTTGTTTAGCTGTTGTTTAATTTTCACCCACGCACACGTGAACCCATAAATATGTCGCTGTTCCGTTCCGAATCCCTCATCCATTTGGCAGTTTGTTCGGTAAAAGTTGGATATTGCTAACCTGGTTTCTGGTTCGGGATTCGTGCAGCGTTCTCGTTTCGGCGGTTAGAGGAATGCGTGCTGTGGAAATCATGGGCTAATCCAAAATGGATTTGTGTGCATCGGGCAGATAAATAACGGATTTCAAGAGAAATCCTTATTAATGGCATTTTCGTATTAATCTGCAGTTAATCATAATTTCAAGTATTTATGTGATTATTTTTTACATTATTAAGGTTTCGTATTGGAATTGTGTAGAAGGAGAATAAGAAATTCCGAGCCTAAATATATATTTCCTATTATTCCTCTGCCTTAAATTTTCTGTCTACCTTTAAGGCAGGACATTTGTAAAATTAATATAAAGTGTTAAGTGGTTAAGAGGGACACCTCTATTTATGAGCTTTTCAAATTTGATTTTCACTACACTAAATAAGAAAGTAACTAGGAATACGAATTTAATCTTAAATACTCTGAAAAAGAAAGTAATTAGGAACTGTATAAGATGATTGGTCGATATAAATTCCTTTTTAATTAAATATAAGGTAAATTATTTATTTAATTAATTCAGATTGACAATTGTACTCTTGCAAGATTTTTTAATTTATTTATATATTTTACTTTTGTATAATGTTTAACATTTTCGATTTTGGTAAACATTACTGTTGTAATAAATCATTCTGAATTGATTCATCTTTTGTCGATTGTACACCCAGAAAAAAAATGACCTAAAATGTCAAAAAATGGCCTAGAATTTAGGTAAAATTGGCCTAAAACTGGAGCTAAGTCCTTAAATGGCCTAAAATTTAGGATTCCATGACCTAAAATGTTAGGCCATTAAAGGCTTAAAATGGGGGTAATTTTTGGCCTAGATTTTAGGTAATTGGCTGCCTAAAAATATGAGAAAACCCCTATCCAAAATTTTAGGCCTTCTTTGGCCTAAAAATATGTACTGAAAAATTTATAATATTATAAAGTAAATACAGAAAAGTTTATAGCTAACTCGAGGTCAATGTCGGCTTAGTCTTCAAGAAGTCGTCATTATACCAACACACAAAAAGGAGCGAGGAGGCTTCACAGTTCAGCAGTGAAATCGCTGTCTTATTCAACGATCGAAGTGGGTTACCATGCAAGCCGCGCTATAACTGGTTGGGAATTATAGCGTCGCCAAAACGGTATCAGAGTTCAGTGCAAATTTATTTAGGTAAAAGGCATTAATTTTAAGGCCCACGCTGACCTAAAATATTAGGCTATACGGGACCTAAATAGTAGGGCAAAAATGTTTTAGGCTATGCATGACCTAAAATGTTGTCCATCATTTTTCTGGGTGTAAGCAATTAATCTTTACGATGTTTGGCTCAAAATATGAGGTAAACCTTTTTGCCACCTACTACTATAAATAAAAAATTCAAATCTTTTAAGGATTTTAACAGCTAAAACGAAAACAGCACAAAATACCAGGAAACAGCTTAGCAATCCAACCGTTTTCAACACCTTACTGCAGCCACTGTTCCTATTCTCGTGCCCTGTGTCGTTCGGCTGTTGTTTTGGCAATAATGCCGACTATCATGCCCTACCCCAATAGAAATGGTCCGCCGTCGAATGCTCAATTCCTCTTTATTTCCCGGCCACTTGTATCGCCCATTTGGAAGCAATGAGGAGTCGTCAACTCCGCGCTTCATGCACGTGACTTGACAGTTATTTCAATTTAATAACTTCATATATATACGGCTGCCGATGCATGCCGATAGATTAGATTTTGGAGCGCCAACGCGAACTTTGCATACGCTGCCGTCGAGCGGGAAACTTTTGCGATAAAAAGTAATCAAAGTGCTTGAAAGTTCGCGCCCAGGACGAAGAAAGACACTCACCTCGCCGCGAAGACCGCGCCCAGGTGTCGCAGGGCAGAGAAGCCAAGAACATCGGAGGGAAGTCATCAACTTCGGAGGGCAATCGCGTGCCGTCGAGGCCCCCAGTAATTCCCCATATGGCAACACTTTTCGTACGGCTGGAAACCCAGTATATATCCTGCCGAGTGGCTGGTGGCGATGACACCCACGTCTCCGCCGCCATCCGGCCGATTGCAATTGGAGCGCCCCGCCATTGGATTTATGATAAGCGGCACGCAAGCCGGAAGGCCGAAGACTCAAAGCCCCAATGTCGGCGATGGCATCGTGAGGATAATGCACTGTTCTCTGGGCGAAACCATAGCAAATCCTGCCATCTCTAGGCTCCGCAGGTTGAAGAGCGGCCCTAAACCAACAAAGCTTCAAAGAACTTTTGACGATGTGTGGATACCCCGTCAATCCGCGGGGCCAAAGGCCTTGCTGATGGCCAGGACTCGTGTCGGCATGTCGCTCCTTTCGCTCCTGTCAGTGTGCAGATAGCAGCGCTCGGTGTTTGTTTTCCGCTGCCGGCTGGCAGAGGCAGCTCTGAGGATCGACAGCCCATCGGTGAAAGAAGGAGCACCATGACCAGCTGGACTACCATGAAAACGCGGTACGAATTGACCGGCATAATAGAGTTCCTGGTCGCGAACCTCCAAAAATGAGAGTGCTTATGATGTGAAATGATAGGAGTGCGAAAAAAACCTTTAGAAATTTGAAATATTCAAAGCATTATTGTAATCATATTTGGGTTTATTTGAAACATTTTTTTCATCCTTAAAAAAAGAGTTTGTTATTTTCGGCAGGGATTAATCTATTCCCCTCGCTTGAAAAGTGAAAGGAAATGTGGTATTCAAAAAGTGTGCAACCAAATTTGTTGTTGTTCTACTGAATCCTCTAAGTGACTGGGATTACTTGAATAGAAACCCTACTTTAATGGACTGTAAGAAACAAAATAATTTAATTTAATTGTGAGAACCAGAAATCGATGAATTTGTATCTTTAAATCCAGTTAGTTATTTTGGTAGAACCTGTTCTTTCAAGTCCTATATTTCTCTGGGTGTAAAACTCGCCATAACTAAATCCATCGAAAATTGTATCGTTCATGAGGTCTAATATTTCATTGATTACCATCCGCAGGATAACCGCATCGGTGCGCACCACCAACCGGATGAATGCCCTGCTCTCGGAGTCGATGTTGAGCCGGCGGCGAGCGGCCCAAAATCCGGAGGGCGAGGCAACCGCCGGCGGGGAGGGCGGAGGGGAGCCGCGGAAGGAGAAGCCCAAGAACGACTGGAAGTTCTTCCACACCAATTTTAATATGGAACGTGCCCAGAAGATCATCGAAGATTGCATCGAGGAGCGGCTGCTGTGGGATCGCTTCAGCCGCAATTACGACTCATGGCGGGCTCTCCAGCTGGTCGAAGGTCTGGCGGCCGAGATACGCGACCGGGTCAAGAAGCTGAACCACAGGCGGTAAGTGGTTGTACCCCACCTCCTCTGATATCTAATCACTTAGCCTCCATGGATAACCCCCCTTGAATCCGCAGCCACCGCATCGTCTGCCTGCTGTCGATTGTGGAGAAGCAGAACCAGGGAATCCACCAGCGGATGTGCCACCTGATGGACGAGAAGCGGGACAACTTCACCCAGCTGGTCTTCGAGCGGCCCACGTATTTCATGATCGTGGTGTTGTATCTGGTCTACAAGGATTAGGTGCGAAATAGATGGGATATATGTACACTCAGAAAAAAAATCGCCCTAAATTTTAGAAAATCGCCATACTTTGAAAATCGCCTTGAAATTCAGAAAATATTTCTATTTTTCAGAAATATTTTTCTAAATAATAAGAAAAACTTACCCTGATTAGATCAACTCCTCTTGTTATCCACTTTTAGAAAAATTTTCTGTTATTCAGAAATTTTTCTTTCAAACTAAGAAAAAATCGCCTTACATTTTAGGAAATTGGCTCAATCGGTAGCCTAGGGGTCTAATGCGAACGGATTATTTGTTTTCTACGCTTATATTCGGAAACGTGTGTTCGATCCCACGTCGAGGCGGACATTTTTTGCGTCTTTTTTTTTTTTTTGGCGCATTAAAATATATACTTTAATACAAATAAGGATTTAGGTAAGCTAACACACACATAATGGATAAATAAGAGTATAAACGTAGAACCCAAGAGAACAGAATGAGAATGTACTTTGTACAGCGCCTCTCGTGATGCTTCCCTGGCGCAGCTAGTAGAGTGTTTGACTGCAAACTGTGAGGTAAGGGGTTCGAATCCCGCGAGCGACCAAAATGTTTTTCTCAAGATAGTAAGTTATTTGATTTTTATGTTTATCATTAATAAATAATATAATAATTTCAGTTATTATTTCAGTTACAATTTAAGATTAAAAGTGTGCTTGTGTACAAGCATCGTGACGTCATCCATATGTTTAAATAGAGGAGAGAAAAATAAGTTGAGAAACGAGAACCCCAACAACAACACCCCACACTGACAGAGGGGTGGAGTCGGCATAACTCCCGATTCCCCGATTTTTTTTTCTTCTTCTTATTCAATTTTGCAAAAACTAACCCTACATTTTAGAAATTTTTTTTCTAATTTTTAGAAATATTTTTTCTAAAAGGCAAGGCGAGCTGCCTTTGGCTTAAAAAGTATGGCGATTTTCTAAAATTCAGGGCGATTTTTTTTCTGAGTGTACTTGCTCCCATTGCTTGTTAATTACTGTTGTTAGGTTTAGTTAAGTGTTGACCCACAAATACTTATTAGGTGATAGAAAAATAAATAAAAACATTGGAAAAAAAAGTGGAAAACTCAGTGTCCTCAACTGTAGGCCCCGGCGAGATTCGAACTCACGATCTCCTGTTTACTAGACAGGCGCTTTAACCAACTAAGCCACGGCGCCGTTGTGACAGCGGGCGTAAAACTACCCAACTTGAGCAAAAGTCCGCACTCCGTTAGGAATTTTTTTGGTTAAAATTAATTTTTGGAAGTGATATTTGTTCAGTTGTTTCAACTCTAAGATATTGATTGAGAGATATGATACAAACGGGTTCTTGAGATAGTGTAGTATACTGAAACGTAGGAAACGTTACGAAAAACTTTCAGATACGGAAGTTCTAACGTAACGGTAAGGAAAAAACTGTACGAAAAGTGTTATACAGCCGGAATACTTGTGGTAAAAGCTTGACGAGGAGCGAGGACAAGAACCACTTAATTTGAAATTTTGGAATTTTTTTTGAAAATATATATTGAGGTTTTTTAAAAAGTGTGAAAATGTTTTTTATCATTTTTAATTATAATAATTAAGGTTAATTTCGAGAAGCTTTCCGTTTCCATGTTGAGCTTTTTATAAAAGCTTTTCCCTTAGCGATGGGGATGGTAAATTACCGTGCCAATATTATAATGATTATTGAAACAATTATTGCCGCAATTGGAACACGTTAATGGCTCTCAAGGCGTCACCTGGCAAGCGGAACCATAAACAGCCGTTAAGAGCAAAGAAAATAGCAGTTACTGGGGGGCACATTCAGGCAGCAGAGGGTTTAAAGGGGGCTAACAGGGCGCTTCCTCCAATGCGGAAAAAAAAGAAACACCCTAGAACTGAACTTTCCAAGGGTTAGGCCCCGGCGAGATTCGAACTCACGATCTCCTGTTTACTAGACAGGCGCTTTAACCAACTAAGCCACGGCGCCCTCGAAAGCTTCTCGGTGAGAATGGCGCCTTCAAGCTACCGCTGCTCGGCGTAGAACAGAATTCATAAATAAACGCTCTGCTATATTTGCCAGATACTTATGCTTCGAGATACTTATGCTCGGATATCCATATGTATGCTGCGGCCAGCGGGAAAAAAGTTTCTTGCGACGCAAAACTAGTTGTGTAATCTATGCCATATTTATCTACAACTTGTGCCGTTCGTATCGTTTGTGGCGACGACAAAAGTATTTATAAGTAGACATATCTGCCTGCTATTTAAATACTGGCGGGCATGTTTGTCTTTTGTGAGGCTGGGCTGGAGAAATATGCAAATGCCGCCGCTTTGGCCAAATGGAAATTATTTGTACTTTGCGGTTAACTCGTACAAACAGACACACACATTGCGAAGAGCAGAGCAAACTTGGGCACTCGAAATGTATCTTGGAAATTGCCGGGGAGCCCAGGGGCAACTGTTCTGTAGCTCCTTTCCTTATTTTTTGGTCGGGAATCGGCTTATTAGCAAGTCGGCGAGCGTTATTTCTTTTTGTTCTCAACTGAGGCAACCGAGGCTTGTCAAAGAGTTCAGTGGAGCAGCAAGAGCACGAAACCAAACCGAATAGAACCGCTGGCGATTGTTAAGTATCCATGGTTCCGTTACGAAGCGAATGTCATTCCGGTGCCAGGGGTCATGTGAATGGGAATTGTGTGGAAATTGCGGGGAAAATTGCTAATCAATCCGAGCGAGAATCGCTATCTGTATCTGTAGCTGTATCTTCCCTGCGGACTGCCATTCCCCCAATAAATAAATCACTCGGCAAACTTTTCGGGCCTGCCTAAGCCCATTAGCACCGAATGGCCGGCCAATAGTTCCGTATCTCCGTCCCAACTCCGAGCAACAGTTTTGGCTGGACACGCACTGGCAAGCGTTTACCAAACTAATTGCCCGAAGTTAGTTGCTCATCAAATTGCCGCATCATTTTACGCAGATTTTTATCGCGCCATCCCAGCACCGTAGCTCCATCCTTGGGGTTTCGGGGGGAATCCCAACAACTACAACTCCGAATCGGGCAGAGGTATCGTATCTAATGCGTTTCCTGTGTTTTAGCCTTGTAGCAGCCAGCAGTCCGATGTCCGGGTCCTGTGCCGGTGTCTGTATTTGTGTATCTACTTGTTTCCATCTCTGTTTGGGTACCCTACTCAGATGGGTATATTTGTTGGTGAAATGAGGTGGAGAGAAAATATTGGGTAGTTTTTCTGGGTTTATTACTTTATTTTTGAGTGAAATGTAAAGAACAATAATGTGAAAAATTTTGTTTTATTTGTTTACAATAATTTTATTGGTTTAATACACGTTGTAAAATATTGCTTCTATACAAATTTAAAATAATTAAAATTCAGTAAAATAATCATAAAATTAAGTTGAAAAACAAGGTATATTAAATAGGAATTTTTTCATCACCTCGGATACTAAAAATGAAAAGTATTCATCGTATCGTATTCAGCCTTCTTTAAATTTAAATCGTAAAAAACCCTTTTACCTCTGAAGAATTCAGAAAATCAGCCATAAGGAGAATCTTTTGGTGTTCTTTCTATTTTTATTAATTATTTATGAACTGGTAATTCAACTTTATCTTTCTTTTAGATTCCCTTCCGTTATTAGCGTATAGAATGTTCGTCGTAAAGCTACCGATAGCCCCCAGCCTCTAACCGCTTGTAACCTTGCAATTTGGCATTGGCATTAGCACATGACTCCAATAAATTCGTTTTCACATTCCCGTTTACCCTGCCCCCCTCAGCCATTCCATGCCAGCGTTATCTAGCATCTCACTCAACCCGGGACCCATGTCGATCCGGACTGCGAAGCCCCACCGCCGACCTCCTCGTCAAATGCGCAGCAATTGAGTTTTTACGCATTTCGAAAACCTCCAAAAAGGATACGTGAAATGGAGATAGAGATGGAGCTGGAATAGGAAGCGCAGCTTTGGCTGGAAACGAAGCTGAAGCTGGAGCAGGATAAGGATTTCAGCCTTGGCTGCTGGCCTTCAGCCCGAGGCAGTCAGCTTAGCTTTCAGTGTGTGTGGTGCGGATTTTCTCGTTTTCCTCAGCGGATGGGGAAAGACAAATCTGCTTTTGTTTTTATCTGATGCCGTTTCGTATTTAGCCATCTTATCCTGGTGGGAAAGCGAGCACATTCGGGCTGACGTCGAAAGTCGGATTAGGCAACCGGAAAGTCCATGATAGCCTGGCTTTAATGATGGCCTCGAGTTGAAATTCTGTAATTATTATTGGCCACAAAGGGGCCGTTGGACCTCAATAACCCTAATTGGGCGACATTTCCCGGGCCATTACAAACAGAGGGCCCGCGAAAATAAAATGTAAATTAAGGCAATAATTGGTTGAAGGGAAAAGCAATTTATTCGCGTGTTTCCGCTTCGAAAGAAGAAACCGAGTTGGTCGGAGTTCGCGGAACATTGGGGGAGGTAATGTCGACGGGCTCACGGGTGAAGCTGAAATGGAATCTGGGATATAGTTTTATATTTACAGATTTAGGGATTATCACTCACTTGATGCTCAGCTGTCGACAGAAGAACTGAAAATCACTGACCATCGCCTCGAAGAGATTGTGGAGTAGGATGCGCAGCATGGCCAGCTCCACGCGGATCTGCTTCCTGTTCCGTTGGTGGCACTTCATGGACACCAAGCTCTTCCGCGTGTTGTCCGCGTGGTTGACATGGCTCTCCATTTCCCGCCGGAAGGTGGCGCAGTCCATTTTGTGAGTCTTCTGGTGCTCCCAACGCTCGATGCACAGACCAAAGTGGCCAATGACACGTGGCCTAAACTCCGCGAACTGAGAAAGTTGGTAATTCATCTTCTTAATGCGGGATTGAAGCAGACAGCGCCAGCCCTCGAGCTCCTCTAGCTCCTTGTGCGTATCCTTCAGGTGATTTTTGACATCCTTTAGTCTGCAAATTAGTTGGCACTTCTGGCGACGCAGCTCCAAAAGCTGCTGCCCCTGGGGGGAAAAGTTCTCAGGGACTTTCTGATCCTCACAGCTATCTGGTTTTAGGTTCAAGATCTGGGATCGCAGTTGGATCAGACGTTGCTTCAGGTCCTCCAGCTCATCGTAGGCGGCGTCCACGTCAGTGGCCTCCTCCAAGCCGCTGGGATCTTTACCGCTGGTCAGCAAATCACTCTCATCCTCCAAATTTAATTTAAGGAGACCCGGCGCCCGACAATCGGCTATTTTCCATGTTTCCATGGCGTTGCAACTCGGGATTTTATTTTATTTAACTGTCTAACTGGAAAATGTGTGTTTTATGGGAAATATAATCGCAGCAGAATCAATCTGAATGACAGCAAAGTAAAAACTTTCATTTTCTTTACCGGATATCATATTAGTTTCTTTTAAGTCAACCGACCAATTTAATTTATTTTAATTTACGTTTAATGTGATATGGGCATGACAGCGAGTGTTTGGATCGTTAAATCAAAGTTTAACTGATTTTCCGCCCCTCCGCTTCAACTTGCTCCCAATTTAATTGAGTTTAACGAATCCGTTAGCCCCCTCGTTTCGCTTTCAATTAAATAAACAACTTTTCAGCGGCTGTTTTGGCAGCCTTTCGCATCCCGTTGTTATGGCATTTTAACCCCTAATTTATTAATGACTGCCGGCATTCATCACAAGCGAAAAGTTCATATTTCAAAACTGGCGCAGAAAGGGTTGGAAATTATTGGGCGGCGTTTGATTAATGACACTTGTCGCTCCGCAGAGGGGGAAATGTGGAGCAAGTGGGCTTTTGTGGGGATGATGTTTCAACAAAATATTTGCCAAGTTTCACTTTTCGTCGAGTCCTGTCACGTGCAATCTGCAGCCGGGGCCCAAAAACTAGGATGCCAAAGTCAAGTCTGGGCTTATCCGTATAACAATGTATTGAAGTTTCACCCTCTGGGATGTTTCTGCATACCGTTGCGCATTGTGACATGCCAGATGAATTTGTCCGAACATGTGTTCAGCAGCTCCTGCTGCTGCAGCTGTTCGAGGAATCCCCTCCTCGTCTGATCCTTGGGGCGCTGGAACTGATACAGATAAATTTAATTTCGTTCGCTTTGTTTGCCCCTCGGAGGATGTGGAGTGCCATCAGCCATTGAACTTGCATGCCAACACGAATTTTGATTTTTCTAGCTGCTTCTGCTCCCTTCTCCATCGCTTTCCATATCCCAGCCGCCCCTTTCCCCCGGAAACAGCCGCCCCGTGTGTCCCACATTCCTTGTGGATCTGGGGCTGTCGGGGGTTATTGGCATTATAATCACGTAGCCATGCATACGACTCCTTCTGCTGTTATATCATCCCAGAAATGGGTTTATTTGTGGTCCTAATGGGAGCTTTAGTTGAAATGTGGTAAATGAGATATGTATTAAAGTTGAATTCTAATTTATGATTCAGGGGTTGTATTCAAATTTGTATTTATTATTTTTCCTGCTTGGATTGAGGAATTTTCTTTAAGAGTCCTTACCAAAAAATTCTCTTCTTAAAGAAGATTTATTTATATAAAATTTCACACCGTTCTGTGAGGAAAGAATGAATAGAAATTCCCTAAAACAATAAGTACCGTCTTGAATCCCAGTAAATCCATCAGATATTCTCCTGCAACTGCGTTGTGAACGTGGCTTTTCCGCTTTCCAATCGAATCCATTCGCTATGAAAACTTTACTATGCATGTGCGCTTGTCGCTTCCATAAATCACACGACGCCAATTCCCAATAAGTTTGCATTCGCGGCATAAATCTGAATATTTTTGGGACCCGAGCGGAGCAGACAACAAACCTAATCCCTGGGCAAACGTGACTCAATTATATGGCCAACAATCTCTGCCATCGCATGCGATGTGTGTGCGATGCCACTCAGATTTCATATGATGTTTTTTACACAATGCATAATTCGGAGCGAATTTATGTGGAAAACAATAAAATTAAATTGTTTTCGCATTCGGCATTCAAAGGCAGCGCCCCCGACTGGCAACTGCTGTTCGCATAATGAACTCATCTAGACGAGAATAATAAATTTACCCAACAGCATCGGAGGCAGAAATGGCGCAGCCATTTCAGGGCATTCCCATTCCCCTATCGTCCTGGGATCCGTATGTGATTTTATTTCCGCCACCAGGATCCTTCGTCCTTCGCGCTTTCTTCTCCTGCCAGCCAGCCAGGTCGTAAACCACAAGTGCCCGCCTTCAGTCGAGTTGGGTTCGTTGGGTTTGAGTTGGCTGCAGCGACTTTGTCACTCCGCTGGCTCCTGCCTTTCGTCCTTTTGGTCCTTCTGCCTCGTGCCTCCTCGAGTGTTTAACTCATGAACGCCCACTTTGATTTCTATTTGAATTGTGCGCGCAGACGGCGACGCGAGCCACTTGTAAAGTTGCCATATGTGGCACCGATTTACGGCAGCGGCAAGTGGCAAATTCGGAAATGGGTAGCAGCTCCAAGGGGTTGCACCAAACTGAAATTTAAACTAAATTTATTTTTTCCACCCTGTGGGATGTCTTAAATGTAGGAGGCGATCTTATAGCAAGGAAGGAAGTAGAATTTGACTTAAAACTGGAAGGCAGCTATTTCAGACCGGGCTTGGTTTAACACTAATTTTATAACAGCCCCTATTTTAGCTTATGCTTTTAATTCTGTGATCTAGCTTAAAAAGCCATATGAAAATTCTACAAACTTCACTTAAATATTTATTTCTTAATGTGTAAATAGCTGCAATTCATTTAAATTTCTTGTTAGCTTTACGTAAAAATAGAAATAAAATAAAATTAATTCAGTAGAAAAATGTCTGATTGGTTCTTCAAATTAAGGTTTTAAATGGTTTTAAATTAAGGTTCTTTAAATGTTATAGCAAAATGGGATACTGAAAGCCATAGTTCTTCATCAAGCTTTATTGATCGATTCATTATTTCTTTGATGCTTAGCTTAGAGGAATTCCTTCAAGCACTCAGCGTAGGATCAACTGGGAGATGTCCCTCCTCCTCGGACCAATCCCCCGGAATCCCATACAATTTTCCTGCTGCACGAAAATACTTAAAAATACTTTCACCTGCTGCTCAGACGATTCAATTAAATGCAATTCGCACGCACACATGCCATCCGGCTCTACCTTCCCCGCCTGCCGGCCTGTCATGTGTTTCTTTGAAAAATAGATTTCTAAAACGTTTAAGCTGCAGCGTGTGTCTTGAATTTTAAACCCCTGGCCACCCCCGCCACATAAACATATTAAAATTGCGCCAAGGTGGATGCAAGCTAGACAGCCACCCCCAGGATCCCCGGGTTGCCGAATCCCAGAATCCGAGGACTTCGAGCATATGCCTTGGCCGCCAAATAGCACAAACGTGACCAAACTTTTTGTGACTCTTTGTGCATTGTTGGCAGGCGATCATTTATCTTAAATGCCAGTCCGTGGAAACGGCCGGGGAGTCCTTTGTGCGGTTCCCCATTCCCATACCCAGTAATCATAATGAAGAAGGGTATGCTCGATCTGGGAATTTATATATTTTGCTTAGTTATAATTAAATAATAACTTTAAGAACTATAGTTAACTACTTTACTTATGGCAAGACTGAAATCTCAGTAGCTCCTTGAATTGTATGTTTTTTAAGTATCAGGTATCCTTTAGTCGTGACACTCTACTACCTCAAGCTCTTCCTGGATTTTTGGATGCTAGGCAACCTTCTTGGCTGACAGGGCGGAAGTTTCCCAAGGTGAACGCGGGCTGCCTAATAAGGAGCATTGTGGACGATGGAATTCATGGCCCTAAGCCTCTTTGCAGGCAGGACAACCGGTCGTCTCGTCCCGTATAATGGTCAGAAAACCTTGAAAGAAATGGAAATCCTGCAGTTAAAAAGGAAAAGTTTTTCGAGGCAGAAAAAGTTGATTCATTGAACGGAAGCGAAGTTCAAACACAAATTTTTGGGGGTCACTTAGGTACAAAGAAAACCTTAAGGGGACTTTTGCTTTAATTCGAGAGTGGCAACTTTGAATCAGTTCAACCCGTTTTCTTGGCCGCCCACTTTTCCGTGTAATTTAAAACAGTTGGCCGAAAGTAGTTTTTCCCCTTTTTCCATATTTGCATTGCAGCTGAGGCTTATAAAACTTTCGGGCAAAACAATTACGGGGCATGCATAGATAAACAAACAATGTATAGCTTCTGCCCACCACCCACCAAATGTTATATCCTTTTGCCCCAGCTTTTGTTTAAAAAGAACTTTTGAAATTTTTGTTTGTTTGCCCAGCGACTTTGTCTGGAAATTGTGCTCAGATCCTTCTTCCTCCTTGGACGGATATTAAAATTGCAAAATTTTTTAATCTTTTTTGCGAGAAGCGTTTTACATATTCTATAGATTCCGGCGCACGACATAATGTCCCTATTGGGCGTTTGAGGTCCTGGCAGTCCTCGCAGTCCGGAGTCCGGAGTCCTTGAATCCGGCATCCTGGCAGGAGCACATAAGGCTGAATTTATGTATGTATTCGGGCTACCCAATTTCCCGTGCCGCTCGCACGGCAATAAAAGGAATATCCTGCATAAGGACGCCGTTTCCGTTCAACCAACACCCAATCCTGGCGCTCCTGTTTTCTGCTGCTGAGTGGCAAAAGTTTTTTGTCCTTGCCGATGCCAAGAACGTAAAATTTTTATGGACACGTAGGTGAGTGTGCGTGTGTGTGGGTGGGATGCTTAAATCCCAGTTTACTACTTTAGGTGTTTACCACACAAAAGGCCAGGGGCGTAGGTCCCCCTTTGCCCCTGCTCCGCTGGCAATCGTCGAATTATGCAGCAGAAGTTGAGTCTGAAGTCTGAGCTGAGCTGGGACTGAGATTGTTTCTGCTGGCGCTTGATGAAAGATTTTTATCATGCAAATAGTTGGGGGATTGGCTGGGAGTAGGGGTGTGACTGCGGCATTACTCCTACATTTTATGGGATCTACTAAATTGGATTTATATCAGCATCTGCTGCCGCCCGCCGAGAGCTTTAAGCTGGATTCCGCTGGAGATATCGCCGAGAGAAAAGTTTGGCGCATTTATCACCCGATGTGGCTCGGGAAATATGTTTTAATCATATTTATTGCGCAAAAGTTTCGCAGCTCTGGGTGCCCACTTAACTTATTGACATTTGACCTTAGAGCGACCCTCCGAGAATCCAACGAATCATTGTTGTGCCAATACAAAGGAAATGCGGGTGTTGTTATGGAGAGTCCTCGAGCAAAAAAGGACGATGGGTAATCCGGCGCGTGCCCGCGGCAT